ACCTAACACCCTAACACCCTAACACCCTAACACCCTAACACCCTAACCACCCTAACACCTTGACACCTAACACCCTAACACCCCTAACACCCTAACACCTCTAACACCCTAACACCCTAACACCCTAACACCCTAACACCTAACACCTACACCCTAACACCCTAACACCCTAACACCCTAACACCCTAACACCCTAACACCCTAACACCCTAACACCCCTAAACACCCTCAACACCCTAACACCCTAACACCCTAACACCCTAACACCCTAACACCCTAACACCCTAACACCCTAACACCCTAACACCCTAACACCCCTAACACCCTAACACCCTAACACCCTAACACCCTAACACCCTAACACCCTAACACCCTAACACCCTAACACCCTAATCACCCTAACACCCTAACACCCTAACACCCTAACACCCTAACACCCTAACACCCTAACACACCCTAACACCCTAACACCCTAACACCCTAACACCCTAACACATAGTGTAAATTTTGATAAGCCCAACAGTTAATATTTTTAAATATTCACAGTAGCTGTTTAATTAATAAAATTCAAATTTTAATTATAAATAAATTTGCACTTAAAGGATTATAAATTTATAAATTAAGAAAATTTCAATTTTGGTTACTTCTAGCATTTTACTTAAAAATAAACTATTAACCAAATGCTGCAATCGAGCCCTTTTTAATTTAAAAAAAAATAAAGAAATTCTCGTTTAGCAATCAAAGCCCCTCTATCTCAATATAAAATTTAGTTTAAAATTAAGAGGATGATTAAAGTTTAGTAAAAGTAACATTAACATCCAATATGCCAATTTAAAAATAAAGAATAATTCATCAAAAGAATTTTAAGGAAATATTATTTAAACACTTATTGAGTTATAAATAATGCTTAGGAAAGAAGTTAAAAAATTTAATAAAATTATTTTGAAGATACTTATTTAATTTCAAACCTTTTTTTGGAAAAATCAAACTCATAATTAAAAATTTATCGAAAATCAACTAAAAATGGAATTGAATATTTTTAAGTAGCGTGTATAATGCTAGTATCCAAGTTTTTACGAATCATACTCTTTATGGCTATTTTTGTCAAATCTCAGCTTACTGCTAATATTCTTTATAGTTCTTTCACAAATTTAGAACTTGCTTTGAAAATCTCTTCTTTGCTACTTCAAAATTTTCAAGGTCAACTTGACCTTAATGTAACTTATATAGAAACCTCCGAAGATCTAAAGCTGGCTACAGATGTTTCAAATATAGTTTTCGACCTTACTTATAGCGCCTCTTTATCTGAGCTTATAAAAGAGCTAGCAGAAGAAAAACATTTTATTATCGCTTCTATTATAGAAACTTCGAGCACATACTCAGAGTGGGAATTTTTTATTCATAATTCTTTGAAGGATCAGATTGGAGCTTTGATTTCAATTGTTTCCTATTTAAATTGAGAAACATTCATTGTAGTTTCTGACCAAACTTATAGCGAAGATGACGGATTTTTAAATTATTTTTCCAATAAGAATTATCAATGATTTTATTTCTCAAACAGCAATGATCAAAGCTTGGCAGATTTATTTATTGGGAAAATAGTTCAAGCTTCTGGGATAAGAAATATTGTAATTCTAAATAGGGGGGAAAGTACAAAATTATTATTAAAAAGTTTAGAAAAGAGCAATTTGCTTTATATTGGGACTGGAGCCATTATAGGAAATAAAGGGTTTTGGGGACTTTATGGTAATGGGGTTGTTAGTTACTGCGAATCAGGACTAGAATTAGCTGATAGCTATTATAATTATGAAGGCTTAGCATTTGTGAAATTTTTAAAACAAATTCTTAGTTTTATTTCAATATATGACTCTTTAGCCCTCAGAGAGTTTCTAACTCCTCTCTCTGTGAACGAACAAAACTATTGGAAAAATCCCTATTTTTTGCTTAAAACCCATCTTCTGTGAGCGAACATAAATTTTGTTAATAAAAACAATTTTTATGAAAAAAACTTTGATATATAAGTGGTAGTCAATATAATGAAATCTCTAGTTTAATTTTGAACAGCTTGAGCTTTAAAACATAAATTTTACATATTTAAATTAGTTTTTACTTCTCGATCTTTACAATTGGATTTTTTTTTATTTTGAAAGAAAAACTTACTGTAAAATTTATATATAAATTAACCCCCTTCATGAGCGAGCAAAATTTCTCTTTGTTCACTGATGGAGGGAGCATTAAGTAAAAATACAGAGGATCATCACCCACTGTCCAATTTTACTCTAATCAATACCAAAAATAGTGAAAATCTTCTAGTAGGAAATATTTTTAATGGAATTTTGACATTAGTAAAGCCTTTAGTATATCCAGGAAATTCTTCAAAAATTCCAAATTCTCCTACTACAGATATTGCTATATGAATCGCTGATGGGACTTCAAATCCAGGGAGTTTGTCTGAAAATTCAACATTAAAATTTGTTTATGGAGAGCTTTACGCTTTAGAACTGTGGGAAAATAAGCATTCATTGGACAACTTTAAAATAAAAGTAGTTGATACCGACTGCGGAGTGTTTTAACTTTTTAACTTCGATTATTATAGGATAACTCCGGGTAAGCTATAATGCTTTTTCACGCCTTTGCTCCGCTCTGCCACTGCTTGCCAGCCTAAGCACGGCCTTTCACTCCTTTGCTCCTCCCAGGTGAGGGCATGAACTCGCAATCCGAAATTAAAGATACTGGACAAAACGGGGTTACTTATAATGATTAGGCCGTCGGCCAAGATGAAAATTTTAGCCCAGAGCATCCCTTGATATAACGCTGGATGGCCAAGTGATTATCTATTTGGTACTATTTATTTGTGAGGCAGAGAAAATGGTGAATACTCGAAACTGAGAAAAAGCTACTTCAGCGTATAGCTGGAGATTTTGCAGTAATTGCTGCTGACTCTGAAAAAGAAATTGATGAGGCGTTTGATGAGCTAGAGAAGTTGGAAGATGAACTATGGGAATTTGAGGATGAAATGGATGAAGCTGATATAGACGATAAAGATGAAAGGGAAGAAGTTGAGGACATACATAGGGAAGCAGAAGGAGAGATGGAGGAAAAACTGCTGGCCTGAGCTGCAAGACTTGAAGATGAGGTTTTGGATGAGCGAGAGTTGTCATCGTCAGAGATTTGCACGAAAACAGTTAGCGAAAGACAAGATGAGGGTAAAGAAATTTGTAGAGAAGTGGAACCTAGCGGACAAGGCGAAGCAAAATTGAAAGAGGTGAAAAAGGCAAAAATGGTAAATTTAAAAAATCAAAAAAAGGTAAAAAGGGCAAAAAAGGCAAAAGAAGGAAAAAAGGTTAAAGCGGTTGGAGCACTGGAACTTATGATACTTGGCAATTAGGAGAGTCGGTCGTCAGGGTGAAAAACACCAAAAGTGGTAAAATTACTTGAAGAAAGAGAAAAGCATCCAAAATAGTTAGGTGAAATAGAAAAAATAAGTGGGAAAAAGTTCATAAGGGTTTGCTATGGGCCCTGCCCGCTGAAGGAAGCACGACAATGTGAAATTGGCGCTTCAGGGTTGGGAGATTGAGGAAAAGTTTAGGCAGATGGTGGGAAAAGGAAAAGAAGTAGAGCTGAAAAGGATAGACCTGGCAATAAAACGGTTCCACAAGAAGGTGCTAGTAGCAAGAGCAAAAGAAAACCAAAGGAATGAGGATGAAATAAAAGAAACTGAAAAAAGATAAGCAGACTAGACTTGACAACTGGCTAATTAAAAGGCCATAAGGCCTGGGGCAGCTCCGCTGCTGAATAGTAATCGTAAATGATTATCTATTTGGTATCTCTGGCCTTGCTAGACTTATTCCCTGTAGGTACAAAACTGTCAAGTAAATGAGGCTTTATCGCTTAGCCTGACTCTGCTGCTCTACCAAATTTGGAAAATCCTGCGGGCACGCTACCCTCCTTCCAAAAAGTCTCAAGACTCCTTTCGGCAGGTGCTAAGAAGGCAGATTGTTTATTCGCGCCAGATTTTTCCGTTTGCGACTGTGGAGTGTCAATTTATGATTATGGTTATGCATATTCCTGCTTTTCTCAGTTGCTCAATACTCCTGGGGTGGGGTTTTTAACATCCCCATATCCTTTTATGGCAATCGGCTATATATATGCATTGAGGTCTTTAAATTATTCGATACCTAACGTTTCACCATATGCCATATCAAGTCTTTCGCAAAACAAATCATCTTTTCCTGAATTTATGACTGTAACGAAAGATGAAAGATTTAACACAGGCGTCATCTTAAATCTTGCAGGAGTTTTCGGCTGGAAACATTTTATTATCATCTACGACGAAGATAATTTAGGGACTTATAATTATTTTGTGGAAAAAATCGCAAAAAATAATATGAAAATTGCAAATAGTCCTGATCTTCGAACTATGGACATGTTTTACACTAAAGATGAGTATCCTAAATGAAAAAACTGATTTGCTAACTCCCCATAAAATGTCGTAAAATTAGCTCCCTTTAAATTTAGATTAATCTTTATTTTTCAATTGAATATATTAAAATTCTAAATTCTATTTAATACCTTTGCTAGATTGACGGAGAGAGTTCAAATAGAAATCTACTAAACAGTTAGCATGCTAATATGATAATATTTTGAGCCAATTCTTCATAAAAATAGATTAAAATTCAAAAAATTGCATTAAAATTTGAATATTATAATTAATTGTTGCTTTCAGACAAAAATAAACTCTTTTTAAAACTAGAACGGTTTTTTGTTCCAAGCTAAAAGCGGGTAGTAAAATAATTAGCTTAAAAGTGAGACTTTTTGTTATCTTTTTAACTCCTCCCTTTTGGTTTTATATAGTTGAAAGTTTTTATGACGCAGGATTAAGGAGGGGCGACGCTTTATTTTTATCTAATGCAAGGCTCGCTTATTCTATTGTGTGGGAAACTGATTTAGTTCAACAAAGAAAAATTATTGAGCTGCTGTATGGTACAGTTATAACTGCCCAAGGCGAATGGATTGGTGAGTATGGACAAAAAATAAAAAACGGGTTTATAAAAGAATATGGAAATGAGACAGATTTTCGCTGCTTAGCATTTGATGCGACAATTCTGCTTCTAAATGGAATAGAGTTTACTATAAAGCAAGGCCAAAACGTGAATGATCACCAAGTAATGAATGAAAATCTTAGAAAACAAAAATTTTTAGGATGCTCTGGGTCAATATCGATTGAGCCGGAGGGCAATCAGAGAAGCATACCTACAATTGTGATTTTTAACTTAAAATGAAATGAAAAAGAGCAATTCATGTATGAAGAACTTGTAGGACAATATGATGCTAGTAGTTCTCAATTGATTACTTTTTATTCTGAAATTATATGGTATGATAACACTACAATTGCACCAAGTGACTTAGTAACATATGAAAATGATTGCCCATTTCCTGCTCGGAATATTTCTCATTCTGAAAGAGGTGCTGGAATTTTATATGCAATTACTATCTCATTTATTTTTATTACAATTATTGAATCTTTTTATTTATGGAAAATATTCTGAAAAGATATAGTGATAGAAAAATTAACAACACCTATCCATTCCCATTTCGAAGATTATATTGTAATGGGGATTATAGTTATAGATTTGTTTCAATTTATTTCTCAAGGGCCAGATATAAGTGGATTATTTCCTTGGCTTTCCTGGTTAAGTAATTATTCACTACCCAATTTCATAATTTTTAAGTAACTTGCTTTAATGTTTTAATATAATTTTTCTTCCAATTTTAAGAGGAATCAGTAATTCATTTTGACTCTAATGTTTCAGGTGATGCTTATTGAGACTACTTATATTTAGCATTGATTATTTCTTGCTACTGTGTTGCTTCAGCATTTTTATTAGCTTTCAAAACATTTAAGATACTGAATTATGCAAGAGATCTTTCAATGATTATGCTGCCAATAATAGGAAATATGATGTTTGTACCTATGATTTCAATAATATTAAGTATTTTTGAATGTGACAAAGGAATTGGTCCAAACGTTTCTGATTCTTTTATTAAGCATGACTGTGCAACTTATTGCTGGGGCGATAAATATCTTATATGAGGAGTTTTCTCAATAATTTCCTTAATTGCTTATATTCCTCTTTCTCTTTATTTTAGAATTTATTATGAGAATACCAATGATTACATTAATATAAAAGCAAAACCTCTTTTTACCATAGAAAAAACGATTATCCAGCTTCTCATTGTTGTGTTAACTAAAACTTCAAAACCCTATGATGAGTCTTTGCATGGCCTTTTCTGCATCATCATTTTGGTATTAATACTGTTTTTATGCTTTAAGCAAAGCCCTTACAATTATCACCGAGTCAATCTTTGGTTGACTATCTCATATATAGCTATTTTATGGAATTATATTTTGTCATCTCTTTATTGATTAGCACGTTTTGACTCTCCAATCTTATGGCTTATGCTTCAATTCTTAGTGTGGTGTATCTTAGTAGCAGTTGGTATTACCATTCAGTGCAAGTTTTTTCCAAGCTTATTAATTGCTGATAAAGTCGTCGATATCACCATGTTTTTCAAATTTTCAATGGGAAATCAAATTAGCGCTATGGAACTAGCAAAGCTTAAAGGAAAAATTATAGAAAACAAAGACAAAGTTCCGAATTTTGGGAATCTATCAAATTCATCTCAAGATCATATTTTTAATAATAACTATTAAATATAAAGTTATCAATTCATTCTAGTTTAAAGTATTTAGCTGATAGCTTGAATAAATTGAATTTTGGCTTATCCTAATCTCGAATATTGTGTGCTCATTAGCCTTCCAATTTTGTTGTTATTAATTCAAAAGTTATTTTTTCATTTTATTGCTTTCATTTAGAATTTTAGGAAAGTACTATTTCAATATTAAATATACTCTCTTTGATGAGCTCGACGCCCTTGAGGACATTGGCTCAACTAATAAGGCACCCATGCTTTAGCATTCTCTAGGGCAAATCAGCATATATGCTGACAATAGTACACAACTTAACTTTTATGCAATAAATAAATAGAATGATGAATATTGATATTGAAGATCAACTCTCGGCTCTCCATTGAATTAAAGAAGAAGGAATTACTATAAATGGCTACCAACTGAACTCAATTTCTGGAAGAAATTCACGCGAATCTGATTTTTCGTGAAGGCCGATAGGCTTTTCAAGATCTATTTTGATAATGAGGTCTTGGGAGAAACACTGACTGATTTATGAAGATATTACAATAAAAAGCTATTAGAAAAGCAGAAGCAAAAGATTTGAATAGCCCTGAAATTGATATATTGAATGAAGAGTTCTCACAGCTGATCATTGAAGAAGCAAAAAAGATAAGAAAGAATCAAAAGCTCTGACGAGCCACTTAAAGGTGGCAAATCAACTTCAAGTTGACAAATTTTAGCAATGGATGTGCTTTTGTCAACTATGAGTTGGCTTACCGCCTTAGGTAGCTGGTCAGAGCTTCAAGTTTCTGTGGAGAACTCAGCATCAAGGCATGCTATAGCAGTGCAGACGCTATATTCCATAAGGGATGACAACAATAAAACTGAATCGGAATCAATAAGCATTTAAACAAATCACTTTTATTGAAGATTCAGTAAGAAATCAGTGGCCATATATATTAGCCAGGTGCCAAAATGGAAAATGAAGAATGCCATAAATCAAATGACCATGAAAAGGGAGAAATTTTTGGGTAAAGAAATAAGTAAGGAAAGCAAGTAAAAATGAGTAAGATTGAAAAAGAAAATATGCCAAAATATAAGACTGGTCGGTAGCGCTCACTGCTTCGTAAGCTAAACTTATTTACCTTCTTAAAAATCTAAATGCTTTTTGCCTATTCTTTTTCATACTACTTCAAAGTGAGGTAACAGAGTATTATTAAATAAAGCAAAATTCGCTCAGAAAAGATTCTGATTATTAATTAGCTATGCTAATCACAGCAAATATTAATAGAGCCCATGAAACTACTAAATTATTTCCCGACCCACTATCATTTTCTACACATTGGAGACCTTGAGGGATCCAATTCTTCGGGCAATCACACATATGAGCTGTTTCATTAAAAACATATCCCGAATAAATGCATCTGAATTTTCCATTTCCTTCATTTGCCATATCAAGATCATCAAAGCAGCCAAGACAATTTGTTTCAGATAGGCAAATTTCACATCCTTTTCCACAAGGCGAGCATACTCCATTATTAGAGAAGAATCTGCCATTGCATACGCATTTATTATTAATAAAACTTGCGTTTTTATCTTTACAAAAGCACTTATTGTTGGATATAATAGAATTAGGCTGATCAAAACATCCTAGGCATAAATCTGGCCCATTACACATTGAGCAACCATTTGGGCAGGGCAGACAGTTTGGATCATGAAGATAATAGCCTGGCATACAAGAATTGCAAGCATTGTTTCTGGGCAAGTATTGCATTGCATTATAGTTAATTAAAGTATTTAAGATGTCTAGTGCCACACTTTAACGAAAGGGACAGAACTAAAATGGTGATATCACCATATATTTTGGATCCAAAAGGGTTATTATCCCAAATTTCTACCATTGCTTCTCACCGGACACAATGCAATCGCCCTTGCCTAACTCAGCTTCTGCGCGTGCTCCACCTAAGAGTCATAATCCTCAGATTTAGAACCCTGAGTCTCTTGGTTTCAATGAGCACCAGTTTATCTGTTACACCCAAAACTAAACTTCTTTTGCTATGAATAAGTTCTCAAAAGAAATCCAAACCCCATAAATAAAATTCCATGAAAGATAGAAAACTAGTAGAGCTAATTTCTCTTTGACCGAATGCAATTTTATTTACCTAACAAGTATTGCAAGATGGAGAAATGCAGCATTCATTACCAAACGAACTTAAATAGTATCCAGTATTGCATTGATCACAGAGTTCAGGGCTGGCTTGAGTGCAGTTTTTGCATTGGCTTATTGTAGGATTGCAATCTTGGGAAAGCATTTCTGAATCTACAATCATTATCAGTTCATTTATATTTATGTGCTCAAAACGAATTTCTTTTTCATAGTAGTTTTCGATATTAAGATCTTTACTTATGAGAACTTCTCTGATGTTTTTGATATCATCAATATTTAAAAATGCAAGATAAATGCTATGATTTTTGCATTTTTTTAGGCTGATCTTATCATCTTGGCTAATTTTGCCTAAAAGAAACAAAATATATTCTTCGCTTGTTTTAGTTGAAAAAGCATTATAATATCTTTTGCAAGATTTTTCTTCTTCAAAGCTAAAATTATTAGTAATTAGTCTTGAAAAAGCTTGTTTTGAAAGAGCTTCAAGCAGAGGCTCATTTTTAAATCTGAGGTTCTCAGCTGAATTAATATTATTGAAAGAATCCTCAACAAAGAATACATGATAATATATATGGTCTTTTAGGTCATTTTGAATTTTATCGCTAATATTCTCAGCCTTTGAATGTGAAGCGAATAGGAATGTCAGGTAGAAGAGACAAAAGATTGCTTCACTTTTGATCATTAAATTATAAATGGATCTTTACCACTTAAAGGCATTTGAACACTATTTTTGATTACTGCAAAAAGTGTTAAAATATATATTTTACTATAGTTAACTCCCCCTTTAAATTGGAGCAAAACATCGGCAAAATTTGCATTTTTTGAGTTATTTAAACCCCTTTAAATTGGGGGGAAAAATTTTTATTTTCAACAGGAAAAATTTTATAGGTGAAAATAAGATTTTTATAAAATTAGTTTTGACCAAATTTCATAGACAAAATGCATATAGAGCGTCATTTAAATAGTTTTAAAAGTCAATAAATTATTTTTTTTAATTTATATATTCTTTACGAACTTCGCTGAGTTCCAGGTGAGAACTAGAAATCTCTTTATTTAATAAGCAAGGTCTTTTAACTCTTTCTCTATTTCTCTATTATTCGATCTCCTCAAAGTGACAGATCTTTTGTTTTTCAATTGTTGAGGATTCAACGATTGATCGTTAGAATTTTGACTGAGACAGCTTTGAGAATCTCTTATTTCATCAATTAGAGATTCTACAGTCAAATTTTTTGGGAATTAACTCAAACCATTAAAAAAATCCCTATTTTTAGGTAAAAAATCACCCTCAGTTAGCGACAAAAATTTTTAATCTAATTATTTTAATTTTAAATAGATTGTATTTTAATATATAAATTTTGCATTACTTTCAAGTTTTTAATTTTTTTATTTTAAAAAAAAATTACTATAAATATATTTTTTTTTTGTGGGGGAAATGAATCTCTCTCCTGAGCGAACAAATTTTTTTGTTAGCTCATGAAAGGGTGAGTAAGCAATTCGAGTTGATTTCAAAATTTTGGCTCCATATTATCCTATTCAGTATTTTAGGCAAGAATAGCTCTCCTTTGAATTGCGAACTGCTATTCGCTTCAAAACAAATTTCTTTAAGAGTTCCATTGCTTTATAACTTACCTTTGGTCTTCATTTAACTAAATTTTACTTAAACCTCAATGCTAATATCTCTAGCTCACTTTTTTGATAATTGATGACAAAGTACATCACTGTCTACCTCAGATCATACAAATAGGAAAATTATAAAGATGATTAAGCTATATATAGTGAGCATGCAATAAGTGTCTTTACACTAAACTAGATAGAATTTAAAAAGCATATTTTCAGATTAAAATTTGAATTATCTTTCGATTATCAGCCTAAATCTCAATTTATATATTATTAATAAGATTCGCATATATTAATCATAATGATAATCACTTTCAACATGACTTGCACTTTCCTTTGAAAAATAATGGGCAACATCATTAAAGCTATAGCATGTTACAAGTTTCTGCTGGCTTTGGCAATGCTGAATAAATGCTCCCCAAGTTTCATCAGATATTAGGCAGTCCGCCTTTCCAATTACCCAGAGCCCAAACTTGCTTCTTGTAAGCGAGACATTAATCCTCTTTTTGTTCCATAAGAATCCAATCCCTTCAGTTCTTACCAGCGATAAAATAATCACATCTTTTTCCCTTCCTTGAAACCCATCTATAGTCCCAACCTCTATATGCTTTTCCCATTCTTTCTGATGAAATCTAGTAAGTTGTGTTTGAATTGTTTCAGTTTGCTTCGCATAGGGTGTGATTACCCCTATTTCGATATTTTTGCTTGAAGATCTAGTTTTTATATAACGGTAGATTTCTTCTATAAATATTGCTTCTTCTCGGTTGTAGAAGCTTGTCTCGCTGTCTTCTTTTCTTTCTTCAGAAGATGCTAAATCGAAAAGCATAATCCCTGAAGGATTAATTCATTCTGGAATTGGTCGGCTCTCAAAGAACCCTGGAGCGCATACCAGTCTGCTATTATAAAAGCAGTTGCTTGGGAAAGCACAAATTTCTTGATTCATTCTGTACTGAGTGTTAAGGAAGTTATATTCAGCCCCATTTGTTGCTAGTCTTTCAAATAAAGAGCGGCCAAAATTATTTTTTTCGGACTTTTCTGAAAGCATAGTTGCTGGAAGTTGGTTTGGGTCTCCTACTAAAACTACATGTTTGGGATTGTATTGAAAAGGAATTAATGAGCTGAGTTCTATTGATTGGCAAGCCTCATCGATAATTACATAATCGAAAGTTTTAGCTTTTAGCATTTCAGAGCCAGCACCGCTCAAGGTTGTTAAAACCACATTAGCCCTTTTCACTAAGTCAGCTCTTATAGACTTCTTAGCATCATTGTAATCTTTCAATTGTTTTTTAAGTTGAACTAATTCTTGCTGTAATTGCTCGATAAACACATTTAACTCAGTTGCATCTTCATCAAAATCCACCAATCCTTTAAATTCATTAATTTGCTTATTTACGCTTTCAATATCTTCTCTTGTATCTTTTTTATTGAGCTCTCTTAGCTTTTGCTCAATAAGAAATTCTAGCCTTATAGACTTGATTTCGTCTACTTCTTCATTATCATTATCTTTTCCTTCCCAATGTTTTCTTTTGCCAATTCTTATGATCATAATGCTTTCAGGATCTTGGCCTCCTATAAAAAGTCCGTCTCTTACTATCCTGAGTCCGATTTCATCATTAAATCACATTAATTACTCAGCTTCTAACTTTTTGTCCTCTAGTCCATCCTTTTAACTTCATATAATTAATTTGGTGCAAATTTTGGGTATTTACCACCTCAATAATAATCAATTTTCAATCTTATCAAAAATTTTTTACAATAACCCACTAATTAGCAAGTATTTGACGCCATTTATTATTATCAGCCAATTTCATCAATTGCGATGTTACTTGGCGCACATATCAGGATATTTGGGAACTTACGCAGCCTAGTTTTAGTTAAAAATCCAGAAAGAATTCCTATAATGGTTTTAGTCTTTCCAGTCCCAGGAGGACCTTGAAGCAGTGATATCCCTTCAGTTACCTGTAGAATTTCTCTAATAGCATCAAATTGAAATTCATTGAATTCATGGTGAATGGTTGCGATGTAATCCAACAATTCATCCGATAATGGTTCTTTTACCGCCAGATTCGGCGATAGCACGTAATTTTGAAGCTTAAAAGAAGGAAAAAGCTGGAAAATCGAAAATTCTCGGCTTGATGAAATCATCTTATCAAGGGTATAAATACGAAAGTTTTCCTCTTCATACGGCTCAAGAGCTCTCCCATTATTTCATATGATCCTTGTTCCTTTGGGGGGTGGCAACTTATTTATAATTCCAATCTTATAAAAGTTCTTATATTCCATATACTGTAAAGGATTGGAACGGCCGATCAGGCTTTCAGGAATCATTATTAGAACATCATGGTTTTGAAGTGATTCCTCGTAGTAAGATTTCCTGATTTTCCCATAATCAGAGTGAATTTCTAGCTTTGATGTGATTGACGGTGCTTTATTTATTTCATTATAAGCCCGCATCAGATAGACATCAAACTCTTCGTAGAATGCAGGCTTCAGCCACTTCTCATAATCATGTGGGCTATTAAAGATGCTTGGAATTTCTGGAGGGTCCATAGCATCTAGCCCTGCTTTGACAAACTGAAAGTCAAGCACATAATTAAAGAGTTCGTCATAATTTACTGATCTTTTTATGGGAAAGCTATTAGGCATGAATGGATTTGAAATAAAATGGGGGTCCTCGTAAGGACTAGTTTGGCTGTCATATGGAGAAATTTCTGAAGAATAGAGAGGTGGGGGTGGTATATTGATTGGTGGCCTGGCATCTCTTAGACGCTGATTATCAAAATTATTTGCGCTCCTGCATGCATTCGGTATTTCAGCCTTTTTATCTTGGGCTTGCTGACTATAGTTATTTGCAAATTGATAAAGCGGTTTCCCTCCATTTGGGATTTGAGACCATGGGTTGTCCTGGATTGGATCTGAATATCTATCAAATGGATCTGAATATCTATCAAATGGATATGAATATGGAGATGAATCTCGATTGTAGACTATCGGGCTAATGTCACGTGGAATTGATGAAAAATTGGGTTTACTGGAACTTTCTGAGCTAGGCTTTGAAGCTGAATAAAAATCATTTTTAAAGTTGTTTTGGCTTATTGGCTGCATATGCGCTGGAGAAGGATTTCTATTGTTCAGATTTTCATTGTTTTGACTAAGTGGTGCCTTGATAGTTTGGGAAGGATTTGGATTATAAATGTTGTTTTGACTAAGCGGTATCTGCTTGAGGGCTGGGGAAAGAACATTGTTTTGATTTGCTGCCTGCTGTTTGGGTGTTGAGGAGGAATATGAGCTAGGCGCGTTACTTTGAAGAAATGATTGCGGCTTGGGTTGTGAAGGAAGTTGATTTGGCGCGACATTGCTTTTGTTTACTGGCAGCTGCCCGGGTGCTGGAGAAGGATTATCATAAGGTCGGTTGTTTTGGTTAAAAGATGATTGAGAGGATGCTGAGGATGGATTAGCAAAGGTGTTTTGGTTAGGTTCCTGTTGTTTGGTGGCTGGGGAAGAGCATGGATTAGGAGCGTTAGTTTGATTTGTTGCCTGCTGCTTGAGCGTTGAAGATGAGTATGCACTAGGCACGTTGCTTTGAAGAAATGATTGCGGTTTGGCTTGTGAAGGAACTTGATTCGGCACCAAATTGCTTTTGTCTTCTGGCGGCTGCCTGGGTGCTGGAGAAGGATTATCATAAGACCAATTGCTTTGATCAAGCGAGTGTTGCGAGGATGCTTTGGATGAATTAGCAAAATTCCTTTCGTTAAGTTCCTGTTGCTTGGGGACTGAAGCAGAAAATGGAGAAGACAAATTGTTTTGATTAGCTAGCTGCTGTTTGGGTGCGGAGGAAGGATATTGATTTGTTATACTAGTTTGACTATTTGGCTGCTGCTTGAAAGCTGAGGAAGGATACGAACTTGGCGTACTAGTTTGGCTTTCGGGCTGCTGGCTGGGCACCTGAGAAGGACTTTTCAACTTTCCCAAAATTGTGTTTAGAGAAGGGGCTTTATCTTTTGATTGGCCTGCTTGTAAAATTTGATTATTTGTCAAAGGCGGTTGAGGCTGCACATTGCCATTTTGAACGATATTTCTATCATCTGCTACTTTATTTAGAGGGTTTGGAACAATTTGAGCTGGCTTTGCAAAAAAATGCATTTTCTCTGGCTGAGGTGGTGGGTTTGAAACTAATGGGAGAGGTGGTGGGTTTGAAGCTAATGGGCGAGGTGGCGGAACAATTTGAACTGGTTTCTGATTCACAGAAACTTGGTTTGTTGAAGTGGCTTGAAAACTATTATTCTGCTTAATTTCTTGGTTCTTGTCTTTAAATTGTATGATCTCACTTGAAATAAGTCCGTTTCCAGTAACTTTAGAATGCGTTTTCGCTTCAACTCTCGTTTGAGAGGTTATCGGATTGCGATCTGGTGAAGCTTTGCTTTCACTTGAAAAGATCCGTCTCATTTCTTCTTTATTAACTTCATGCCGATCATTTCATTCTCCTTCGCTTTTCCTTATAGGAGGTGCTTCTGATTTGCTTGAATCTTTTACTTGAACAGATTGAGCAGGATTTGCTTCAGGGTTTTTTGTGCTTTTCTTGACTGGAAAGTTAGTTTCTCTAATTAGCCTAACTTCGTTTTCTGTAATTTTTGTACAATTGATTAAATCTTTCGTATCAGTTGGCTTAATGTCTCCAAACGATTTATTTTCCTCTATTTTTGGAACTGAATTTCTGGAAGACGAAGAAGTACTTTTTTCTTTTGCTTCCACAACTCGCTCATTTTGAGGAATTATTGGCGTGGCTACTTTGGCTCCTTCAATTGGAGTTCTAGCTTTTTGAGTTTCTGGTTTGAGGGTAGATTGCGGGGATTTATAAGCTGCCATCGGATTTTTTTTGGTCTTTGGTTCTTCAGTGTGGCTGGAAGGATTGTGATTGCTTGTTGGGATTTGTTTTGGTTCTTCTTGGTTAGTGGCTGTATGAGTTTGGGCTCGTTGGAAATTTTGGTTAATCTGATTGTTTGACGCTCTAAATACTGACTCAAGTGCAAGATTTCTCTGGTCTTTTCTATCTTTTGAGCTCTCCATCTACAAATTATCTTTCTCCCCTCTTGACAAGCCATTAGAAAAATCCCTATTTTTCGGGAAAACCCACACTTTATATGATGAACAATGAAAATTTTAAAATATTGCATTTTAAAAATGGAATTCATTAATAAATTCTTTTAAAAAAATTAATTTTATTCGTTCGGAGGGGAGGAGTTATTAAAATTATAAGTTTGATCACTTATTTTAGAAGTAAATTTTCTTAATTTTAATTTCTTCGATTTCAGAGCCTCATAAAATTATTTTTAATATTAATCTATTATAAGAAATTTCCTTGAATCAACACAGAATATGATTTTTTTATCATTTAGCTCTCAAAATATTTTTAAACTTGCAAATGATTTTCTATATTATCACCTTTTTAAATGGAGCCATCATATTCAGCTCAACGCAACCAAAAATCATCAGCCCATCTCACTCATAACGAAGACTACACTCATCATGCTTGCCTTTCTCTCTCTTCTCTCCTACTTCAATCTTCTCCTACATACAACGGATTATTAATTTCCCCAAATCTTCCTTCTAAATTCCAATCATTTCCAGTAGATCCACTATACAAATTTCCAATAATTTCTTCATCAAAAGAAAGAAACCTCACAGCCATCCTTGATCGTCAGGATTTTATATCTGCAGACTTAATCAGCTTAAAATCAGCCTTGACTTTCCTTCACGACAAAAGTCCTTTCAGACGCGGAAACGCCCAAGATGTTGTTAATCCATTAGAAACTGACCAAAGCTCTATAGGAATCCCAAGAAATTCTATCAACAATGGCAGCACTTATTCTCAGGCTCTCTTATCCCGGGCCTCTCTTCAAAGCGAAGTCGAGCTTTTTAACCTCGTTGATGAGCTGGCAAAGGATTCTTTTACAATGGAAAACTCAATGGAATCTTCAGCAGTCCTAAGCGAAATCGACAAGCAAGAAATTTCAATCAACTCAAAAGCAATTATAATGCAATTACAAAGAAATTTTGCTTGCAAACAAGACAACGACATGCATTTGCATTCAATTACCCCTGAAAGTTCATTAGGAAGTGATGAAGATAGTGAGGAAAATACAACATTTAGAGATAGTAGGCCAATTTTCGACACAAGAGTCAGCATGCAAGCTGAAGAGAGTCTTTTTAATCAGGACAGCATTGAGCCAAGTGAGATTTTATTTGATGGAAATATAAAGCCAATAGCAATTCAAGAAGCAAAAGAAAGTTTTGAAAGTCTTGATGAGGCTTATGAAACCACACCTAGCTGTGTGGCAGAATTGCTTCCTGAAGAAGATGGAGAAAATAGCGAATTCTTGTTTAGGTCAATTGAAGCTTTGAAAAAAGCGAAAATTGAGAGATTTTCAATTGCTGAAAGTGATGCGAGTCCACCACCTGGGGATGAAGGGTCGATAAGAGTTAGTGCTGCAAATAGGCTTTTTTTAAATGGGCAGACAGCAAGCAAGGCAAAGTTGGCGACTAGTGCTAAAGATCAATCTCCAACTGAAGACTGTTATCCTAAAGCAGTTTTTCAGCAAAAAGGAAACGACTTTGAGTATCAAGATATGAATTCCCCAATCCTACAAAAAATAGTTGTCTGTGAAGAAAGTGTAGACTCTGGATCTGATACGAGAAAAAACAATAAAGAGCTTAAAGTCATCTCTATACAGTTCTCAGTTGCTGCCTGCGGGTTTTCAACGGTTCCCACTTTAGAATTTTCAAACTACGAAGGAAAAAGCCGAGCTTTAATCTACCTAGAAGACCAAAATTCTCTGCTAAACACTCTATTTTCTGCAAAAATTCTGAGGGAGTTCGGCCATAACCCTGTGAAATGGATCTCTTGTGGCTTTGAGCACTGTGCAGCAGTCTCAAGAGATGGGAAAGTTTTCACATGGGGCTATGGCTCTTCAGGCTGCTTAGGCCATGGCGACACAAATTCATACACAACTCCTACATTAATAAATTCTTTATTCCAGGAAAATATTTCTTATCTTGAATGTGGAGGCTACCATAATGTCGCCCTTTCTGAAATTGGCCAAGTTTGGGTGTGGGGCCGAAATGATGTGCATCAGCTTGGTATAAGCTTATCCCGAATGGCAAAAGATGAGATCGGACATGTCGCGCTGATTCCGATGAAAATCAGAGAATTAAAAAAGTGCAAAGGAATTGCCTGTGGTCAGGCCCATACATTGGTGCTTGATAGTAATGGGAAGCTCAATGTCTTTGGCTGGGCTGAGGATGGACAATTAGGAATTTCAGCCTCTGACTTGAAGGAAGGAGTTATGACGACAGCTATAAAAGAACTGAAAATTCCTAATAAAAAGCCAATTAAAGTGTCAGCTGGATCTATATATTCAGCTTGCTTAACAGAGTCTGGAGAAATTTATGTATGGGGCAATGGAGAACAAGGACAGCTGGGCTTAGGAATCAATGTAAAAGGAGTCTCTTTTCCGACTTTAATCAACAGTTTGGGGAATGAGATGATAATTGATATTCAGTGCGGAGAAAGCCACATGATCTGCCTAGCTAAAAGTGGCAAGGTTTATGGATGGGGACAAGGAATAGTTGGAGATTTTGGAAGCGATTTGTCATTTCCAAGAGGATCAGACATGACTTGCTCTGTCCCACGAGTATTGAACAGTGTAGATATCGCTCACCGGTATATTGTGAAAAAGGATCGAAGCAGATCTGATGATTTAGCCTCTCAACTTTCAGCGAAATTAATGAAACTGAAGCAATAATAAAATGTTTTATAATCAATCGAATTTCTTTTAAATTTTATAATAAACTACTGCTAATTTTTTACAAATTTATAAATGGACTTTCCCAACAACTTATTCGGAAATGCAGCATGCTCTGCAGATGGTCAAATGATCCAAAATCCACTAATGAAAGCAATGGAAAACCTTATGATTGCTGGACAAATGAACACAATAGATTCACAATTCAATGTCGATTTGCATGATCACTTTGAAGACGCATGAGAAGACGCAGGGATTATGGATCCTCACCAAGCTGAATTAGAAGCACAGTGGCACATACAGCAAGCCTCTAATTATCAAGCTGAAATAGAAGACCAAATGCAAACTGCATGGGAAAATAAGGGCGAGCAAGGCCTTGAAGAAGTATGAAATATGGGGAAAGAAGAAGAAAAAGGAGAACTTGAAAAGGTATGAGAAGGGCTCACGGCTGAAGAAGAAGAAAAATTTGAGACTTTATGGGATATGGCGAATCCAGAATATCAAGAAATGCTGGTAAGGTGAGGAAAAGAATGGGAAAAGAAGTCATCGGAGTATGCATTCAACGAGGAAAACCCATTTTTAGAAGAAAACAGTCCTTTTGAAGCTGCTTTAGAAAAAATAAAAACTGGGCTTACCCCAGAAGCAATTTTATTGCTAGAAGCCGAACTTCATAGAAATCCTGAGAATTCTGAAGCATGGGCCATGCTAGGGAAACTGCATGCCGAAAATGATGAAGACGTTCGTGCAATAGCAGCAATGAAAAGAGGAATCGCAATAGATCCTTATAATTTAGACTTGCTTATGAGTCTTGGTATAAGTTGCACAAATGAGTATGAGGAAGACGAAGCTTTAGGTTACTTGAAAGCTTGGCTTGAAAACCATCCTGAATACTGCGGAATTCAATTACCTTTTTCGCCTACAAAAGATGGGATTAAAGCAGCATTTTCAAACGCAATTGATAAAAATCCAACAGACCCAGATTTGTTCCAAGCTTTAGGGGTACTTCGATTTTTGGATGACGAGCTAATAGATGCAGAACATTCCTTTCATGATGCTTTATTGCTGAGACCTGATGATGCTGCATTATGAAATCGCTTGCTCCCCTCCTCCGAGAGCTAATCATTGGAAAATATCTATATTTTGAGTAAAAACCCACCTTTAGTAAGCAAACAACAATTTTAATATACAAATTTTTATGACAAAATAATTTGATATATAAATGATAGTTATTATAATGAAATCTCGAGCTAATTCTGTTTAATTTTAAGCAGCTTTCATTTTAAAAATTAATTTTACAAATTAACTTAATATTTGCTTTCCAATTTTATGAATTTTTTTTTAAAAACTATAAATTTATATATAAATTTTAAAAAAAAATTATTTCTCCTCTGTGAGAGAACAAAAAATTTTGTTCGCTAGATGAGGGCGATCTAGGAGCTTCAATAGCAAAGCAAGGAAAATGGGAAGAGGCTCTGCAATGTTATTATAAAGCATTAGAGCTTAGGCCTGACTATGTGAGAACGTGGACTAACATAGGGATTTCTTATGTCAATTCTAAAGATTATGTCAATGCTGCAAGATACTATCTCTGCGCTCTTTCACTAAATCCAGATGCCAACCACTTGTACAACTTCTTGAACAGCACTTTTGTATGTATGGAAAGAATGGACTTAATACTCAAACTAGAAGCCAGAGATCCCTTAGCTTTTGCTGATGAGTTTCATATTATAACAAGGGAAGAGCTACCAAGAAGCTCAGAATGGGTTGGAAGTTTTATAAATTAATTGGATAGAATATTAAAGAGAATAATCAGCTGACTTATCATAATTTATTCATAAAATAAAGCGAATTTTAACGAAATAGAGGAAAATTGGTTTGTCGAATAAATGGTAATTTATCTTAACAAGATAAAGGTATAAATGGATCAAGGCCAATATATTCCTTACCCAAGCTATAATTATAATGATACTGACCAGCATAGATTGGCAGTTGAAGCAAAAATTAAGCCAAATAGTTTTATGAACCCAAATCAGCTTGAAGCTGTAGTAAAGCCCCTAAGAGCGCTGGATTTTCACCAAACCCAAACTGGGCGTTGGCCTGAAGAAGATGAATGGGAGTACGGAGCTCATCACGAAGCTGAATGGTGTAGGATCTGCCACATCGGCTATTTCCAATCTCCTATCAACATTGACCCTGACATCACTTTTAAAAGTGCAGAATTCCTGCATCGGCCTCATTTCCCAATTAGACTTCACTACCATCCTACTTCTCTGAAAGGGAATTTTAATGCTAAAACTTTCATAGTCCAAGGAAATTTAGGGAACCTCGCAGTTAATTCTTTTATCCATCAGGACCAGTCAAGAATTTTTGATGAGGCTCAGTTTCACTTTCATGCACCTTCTGAACATTTACTGAACGGTCGGAGATATGATTTAGAAATGCATGTAGTTCATAAGGAAAGGAGCAATACTAATAATATTGCTGTGCTTGGGTTCGTATTTAAAGAGGATGGAGTCAGAAACCCATTTATTGATCAGGTGATAAGAAGCTCTTTGGAGCCAACTTATATAGATATGAATTTATTAATTCCGCAGAAGTCAGGAGTGTTTTATTATGAAGGATCGCTGACGACACCGCCTGCGTTTGAGACTGTGCTTTGGTTTGTAGTTGGACATGTTCTGTCGGTGAATAGAGAGCAGCTGGAATTTTTCGCAAGGCAGTGGGGGATGAATCCTGCCTTTGCGGGAGGGAAAGGAAATTATAGAGAGCTTCAGCCACCAAATGGGAGAGCAGTAATTTATTTTGAATAATTAAGTAAGAGAGACATTAGTTGCTCTTCTACTGTTAACATCATTTGATATTTTGGGCTTGAATACACAAACAGCTTTTCAAAATCACTTTCTCATGCTCATTTAAGTAAATTGAATTATTCGATAAATTTTCTTATTCCTTATAAACCGTATGCTTTTGAAATTATTGTGCCTAACAACAATTTATATATATGTATTATTTTTGGGGACTTTTATTGCACAAATCGAAATGTATAATTCCAAAATACTTTCTTCTACTCCTCTTCAGATCGCAATTTAAGAGTTTAATTGATGTTTTTTTGATTGATCAAACTTTATTTTCTCTGTCTCAGCATTGCCTGTTTATATCCAAGAAAAATCGACTCAAATGAAATTTGATAGCTTCTTTTATTTCTTAGAACTTAATCAGCCATTTTAGCATTGGCTTATAATCAATCATGGAACACGGGCACCACCACAAAGATCATGGACGTGAGGCAGCACACGTAGAAATAAACCAAGCTCTTAGGCAAAAATTGGACTCTGCAAAGCTTACCAACGAATCCAAGGTTAACAATGTTTTAAGACTTTTGACGTTACTCGGCCATCACCAAACTCAAACTGGAAAATTTCCAGAAGAAGACGAGTGGGAGTATGGCGAACATAAAGAAGCTGAATGGGCGCATGAATGGCCATGTGGTCCTCATCAATCTCCAATCAACATAGACCCCCACGCAATCATTAACGCCTCCGACATCTTAAAGAACCGCTGGTATTTCCCCCTCAACATCAATTATTCTCCACATACAGCCAAAGGGGAGTTCAACCCAAGAACCTTCATTGTGAGAGGAAACTTTGGCAGCCTTCTAGTAAACTCGCTGTTTGAAGAAAACCCTCGTATTTTCGACATTGCGCAGTTTCACTTCCATGCAAGCAGCGAGCACTTGTTATATGGGCAGAGATATGACCTTGAGCTACACGTTGTGCATAAAGAAAGGTCGAATCCATCAAATCTCCTTGTGTTTGGGTTTTTCTTTAGAAATGATGGCAGAGCAAACCCATTCTTGGAAAATGTGATCAGAAGCGAGGCAGAGCCTACTTCTATCGATATGAATTTGATGATCCCGAAGATGAAATGCTTGTATTTCTATGAAGGGTCATTGACTACTCCTCCTTTGTTTGAGCCTGTACTTTGGTTTTTGAATCCTCATCTGAACTCAATCAATAGTGAGCAGCTGGAGTTTTTCACACGGCATTGGAGTGGAAACCATAGCTTTGCTGGAGGGAAAGGAAACTATAGAGAAGCGCAGCCTTTGAATGACAGGTCAATTATTCATTTCGAATAATAATTAACTTAATTGAATCTTAATTTTATTTTAAACCTGGCTTCAGAATATGCAGAGTAGTTCATCATTAATTAATAAGGAAATTGCCCTAAGGCTGTATTTATATTACTTCTAATGTAAACAGCTTTATCATTATAATGCCTGCTAAGAATCATCGCACTCTAAATGCAAAAACGAGTTTAAATATAATTTACTTTAGCAAACATCGTATACATTCAATATAACTATTCAATTCAATCATATTAATGCACTCCAGTTTCTAAAAATTTCTTTTTGAAAAATTGTAATTAACTATTGAAGAATTTGAAAAAAAAACTTTGAAAATTAGATGAAAACATGAATATTAGTTAAAAAAGTATTTTTCTTATCAATTTCAATCTTTAGCATTCTAAATTAAAATTAAATAGATTTCAAAATTCAAGATTAGATTAGATTAGATTTAAGATGGGTATTTATAGTCCCTACTTCGTGGATTGCATGCCGCAAGTGCGAACGCACTTGCAGGGTAGCAGAACGTACCCACAACAAGCCCGGGCCGAAACCCCCGGTTTCTCGGTAGAGGTAAAGGTCAAGGGACAGAGTCATACTGTCTTTGCTGACCGCCTCCATTTCCAACTTGTTGTGTCGCCCAAGTTGACCCCAAACACTGCCCTCTCCTACGCCAGATCGCCCCATTAACGGGACCCTTTTAACTGGAGAGACTTGTGCCCAGAGTTCTCCAAGTCGAGCTTCGCCTCCCCTCTTTCCCGGATTATCTCCAAGAAAGAACTCAACCCCTTGCGGGATTCGGGGCTAAGCCACCAAGTAGCTTAGGCAGGTAACTCACCCTGCCTCTTTCGGACACCGAGTCTGGGCCTCGGCGCTACTGGCAAAAAGAATGCGAAAAACTGCTGCCCGGGGTCAAGTCCCAAATCAGCGGAAATTGGGCTGGGCCTCTCGCCTCGAGGCTAACTCTCCCCTTGAGTAGCTCTCCGCATCCAAAAATCACGTCCGGTATACATAAGGACACCCGCCACGGAAGGACGGGTCGCTCGTCGCCGGCCATTTTATGTATATATTTCAAAATTCAAATTTAATAGATTTCCAAATTCTGTTTTCTTTAATTCTGAATTAAAAAATTCTGTTTAAATTAGACAATTTTATTCCCTGCATTATCAAAGTGAATGTGTTTAGGTTAATACTCAAACAACTTAAAAAAACAAAAACAATAATAGGTTACTTTTAGACTTAAAAACCTCTTCTCAATGAGATCAAAAATAAATTTCAAAAAAATGGATAGCGTAATAGATGAAAATCACTTAATAATACCTAGTTCATTGTTTTCATGGCTATATCAATTCCCATAAATAATTCTGTCATAATATTCAAAAATAAATATGCTAAAATATTTAAATGCATCAGTAGGCCAATTCAGTATAGAACACAAAATTCTTCAGATTCTCATAATTCAAAATCAATAGCAACCTATTCCCCAATATTTAGGTATTTTTACGCAAGGTCTTAGCTCACCCCTTATTTTTTGAAGTAAATTTTTTAATATAAAGAATTTTTATAAAAAATAATTTTAACAATCAATTTAATGATTGTGACAAAATCTCAAACTAAATTTTATAGATTTTCTCTTCCAAAAAATTTTTAATGTATATATTAAAAAAAAGATCCTATCTACTCCTCCTCTAAAGGGAAAAAATTTCTTGCGAGCCAAGGGGATAAGAGAATTCCTTCTATCAGTTTTTACCAATTGCTAATTTATGCGGTTATTAAAATAGGGCACTAAATGCTCAATGACATTAAAATCTCATTTAATCGCAGTTTAGACCACTAATGCCAAATTATTTAAACAAAACTATCCAATCCTCCCATTCTTCATTTTTCAATATTTTGTGAGATAATCAATTTAAAATCTGAGCCAGACATTTATTTAATTACTTTCTAATAATAAATGGATAAATTCCTAGACATCTCTTTTCAGTTCTTACAAAACAATCTAAAATTCAAAGACTATGAAAATAAAGTGAATGAACAACTGATTCCATGAAGCTATACAATTATTCTGCTTACTCCCCCCTCCGTGAGCGAACAAAACCATTAGAAAAATCCCTATTCTTTGCCCAAAAAATCACTCGAACAAATATTATTTTAATAGAAAAATTTTTTATGGGGAAAAAATTTGGATATATAAATGATAATTAGTATCATGAAATTTCGAGCTAATTCTAAACAATTGTGTTTTAAAACATAAAAGTTTACAAATTAATCAATATTTGCATCCCAATTTTTGAGAAATGGGATTTTTTTAAATTCTTAAAAATTTTTCTTTAAAATTTTATATACAAATTTTAAAAAAAACAATTAACCCCCTCTGTGAGCGAACAAGATTTTTTTTTGTTTGCTCGGGAGGAGTTAATATTCCAATTTTCTTTACACTTGCTCTTAAAGAAGATATTGATTTATCAGCTGCAATTTATTACACAACTTCCGCGATATTTGTGTATTTGCTACGCAATTATTCTTCAAAGTCATGGATTTTAACTCAGATTCCCTATTTAACTGCCAGCTTTTGACTTCAATACAAACCGAATATATTAAGCAGCTGTCTCTATTTCGTCCCATGCTTGGTTCTTGGTAATTTTAATTTAGTTTTTTTATCAGCTCGTGAACCATATAAGTGGATCGTCACTTTTCTTTTGAAATTATTGATATTATTACTGTGCTTTGAGTTTGACGTTATAGGGATCGTCATCGCTTGCGTCACTTTTTTTTTCTTTGCATTACATATAGAAAATGCATTAAGAGAATTTTACTACAAGATTGCAGACGATGACAAATTCCAGGAAGATTTAAAAGGACTCCTAGAAAACTTCCCTTGCGGAATTGTTTTTCTTGGGAAAAATTGGAAAGTTTTGGATCACAATAAACAAGCGTCAGTAATTTTATCAAGTAAGGATATTAAGGGAAAGCCATTCGAGAAATTATTTGACGAAGACAACCAGTATAAAATTAAGGCTTTTCTGCAAAAAACATACAAAAAAGACTTGACGCTTGAAGAAATTTCGATTATAAATGAAAATGATGTAGAGGGTCTGCAATTGTTTTCCTCATTACTGAGGTGAAATAACGATGAATGCATTGTTATTTGTATTTCTGATATTTCAGAGTTTTTCAAACAAAGGAAACTTTTGACTTCGCTGTATAAAGATTTTGGATCGAAGCTGGATGTACTGAATTTCGAGCTCAGAAAATTTTGCTGCCAGTCTCAATCCCCTTGCAAAGAACTTATGGCGTTCTCTAAAGACGTGCTATACCGATTTCAGTCGGTTTTTGTGCTGCAGTCTCAATTCTATGGGAAATTCGAATTTTCAAGTGAAAATTTTTCTCCAGAAAAAGAAGTAAAAGGCATTATTGATGTAATTACAATATAGGAGCTATCTTTAAGGACAGACAAAATCAATTCATTCGTCGAGCTCTCAAAATCTCCAAGTCTGCCTCCCTATGTCCTTGGGGATTCCGAAAAGCACTCTATGCTTATCCGCTGCCTAATAGAGTTTGCTTTAAACCATTGTGAGCCTGGAGCTATCAATTTATCTTTATCAGTAACTGTACCCTTTACTCAGGACTCAAACGCGAGATGCATATCTCTATGCTATAAAATCAGTTTTATAACAAAATCATTATCAAGCCTAGATCTAGACAAAATATTCCGAGCCAGGAGCGGGAAGCTAAAACGACGGTCATTCAACCGCATCATAAAAGACATAACAAGATTTGGCGTTTCTCTGGCAGGATTTGACACTCTTTTAGTGATCATGAGAGGCTACGTTTCCGAAGCAACCATTACAAAAGAGACTGAAAAAAAAGCTGACATTAGCGTTGTGTAAGCTTTACTTAGAATTCCATTTAAACACACACAAGGAAGAACAAGAGGAGATTCAGCACATACTTATTTACTTTAAGAAGCCGCCTAATTTTACATATTGATTGAAACTGAGTAATTTCTTGTGACTTCAGGGATTTGAGGCTTAAAAGAACCAACTCCACCTTTAATTGATTTTCGGATTCTTCCACTGGGGACAATAGCTCCAAGTCCGCCTGAGCTTCCTAGCATGCTTAGTTTTGAGGTCTTTTCAAAAGTTTCTGTTAAATATTTAATTTCGCGCTGGCATTTATCAAGCTCTACATTGGCCTTTTTCAGCTGATCTTCAAGAATCCTTATTTTTTCTTGAAGTCTTTGGCTTTTTCTTTCAGCGACTTGTTTGTCTACAGATAGTGCTGATTTTTGGCTTGCTAGCTGATGGTACATTAGTGTTAGTTGTTCTAGATTTCGCTCAAGCACATCAGTTTTCTTTTTAAGTGCTCTTTCTCCTTCAGACATAGTAAGTTCTAAAGTGGCATAGTTTTCTCGAGCTTCTTCAAGGGCAAGTTCGAGGTCTACAACTTGAGATATACGTTTTTGTAAGTCTCTTATATTATTTTATATGAATATTATTTTTAATTTTTTTAAATTATTTTTATGTTTATTAATGGAAAATTTGTTATCATTTTTCTTTTTTCTTCTCGTCACTTCTGCTCATCGTAGACTTCATCACTGACTGACTCAATAGTAGACTCTTTAATAGGAGGAAGCTGATGGCTTACTGTATATTTTCTATAAATTTCTTTTTTCACCTCATTCCTTTGGTCTTCTTCAGTCCTTTGCTGTTGTACCACATCACCTTTCATGTTTTTTAGCTTATTTTTTAGGATTTCTATTTCTACTTCTCTTTCATTTAATTTTTGTTCTTGCTCAAGCATTTTTGTAGTTATAGCAGACAGCTCAGCCTCATATGACTCTTTGCCAACAGTCAATTTTTCAATAAGATCTTCTTTTTCTTTTTGAGAATTTTCGAAATTTTTAATTTGGGAGTCCATATATTTGATATGTTGCTCCATGACACTATAGACACTTTTATACTCTTCAGACTCTGTCTGTGCTTCTTTTACGTCTTCTTTAAGTTTCAAGCTATTTTCCACTTCTTCTGAAAGCCTAGACCTAAGATCTTCTAGCTCTTGTATCACATCTGCATAGGCTCCATCTCTGTATTCGTCCTCAAAATCGCTTTCATCTAAATCAACCATTTCTGGGATTGCAATTCCAGCTTGTCTCAGAAGGTCTTCAAGGACTTTGATTCGTTTGTCTTTTCTCCTGATTTCTTCTCTTGCTTGTGCTAAAAGTAGCTTTAGCTCTGCAAGGGTGTATTCTCTATTTACTTTTGGGGTATTTTTAATAAGTTTGGCTCGAGCTCCAAACCTCAGCGAACTGATTGTTTCTTGCTCGTTATAAAGTGATGGAGAACAGCAGATAATCAGAGACATTTTCCCATTTCCTCCAAGAGACTGCTGAAGAAGCCGAGTTAACTTAGAAGATCTATAAGGAACGTGGCTCTTTTTGGACTCTGTAAGAGCAGTAATGACGATCCCTAGAGTTGTCAGCGATTTATTTATTAATTTCGCTTCTTCAAGTCTGAGACCTTCCGCTCCAGTTTTTGATACTTTTTCAGACCCTGCCAAGTCAACCATATGAAGTTTAGCTATCCTTGTAGTATAGTCCAGCTTATTTGTCTGGCTTACAGTCATAGAAAAAATTGCATGGGACCTTGATGACTTCATATTCATATTGTTCGCCCCAACTGTCCTGTTTTTTGTGCCGTATTTCATTCATTCAAACACTTCATCTCCTGTAGAAGTGTAACTTTCTGTTATTCCTTCCACATAGACACCCATGATTTTATTTTCTCTTATCTTTAAATTGTCATGCTCAGGTGCAAGGAGATCTCTGATTTTTTCCATATAAATTTCACTGTAAGAGACTCTTACGGTGAATTCCAAGTGTTCTGACTCTCACATAATTGATGAAATTTTTTGAAAAATAAAACCCGATCCTTGATCGAACATATCTATATATTGCAAATTTTTTTTAAATCAATTAACAAAATATAGTCCATACCCTCCAAATGCATAAAAATATAAAAAATATTTAAAAATATATATTATTTCTGATAAATTTTAGTCTAAAAGGGTATCGTAAATTCAAAATTAATTTTTATAATAAAGCCATTTTAAAAATTGGAGCGTTTGCTTGTCACCTTTGTTCACACTTGCCAACAATTTTTAGCATGTCACTTTAGCCCTTCCAGGTATAGAAATCCAGCTCGTCCCTTTGATAGAATCTGACTTGTTCGTTCAATCATCTATTATTTGATAAAGAAACCTATATAGGGTTATAAGTTATAAAATGTCTTATTTTCATATAATTTTTCTGAGTGCATATATTGGATATTAAAATTTAGATCATTAATGAGGAAGTAAGGAGTTCTCGATTTGGTAAAAAACATTGGTGATCATTCGTGGAATTAATCCCATATCAACTGGGTCTTCAAAATTTGGACCTGTCATTGTGTAGGTTTTACCTCCTGAGGTTTGCCCATATGCGAAAATTGTGCCGTTTACGCCTTCCATTACACCATCTACAATTGGCCGAGCAGCCTTTTCATATACAGTGGACTGGGTGTCGTTTTCATCAAAAACGTAGTCAAAGGGAAAGGAGAGTGGCTCTCCTTTTTCTTTTGTTTGGAAGATAGTCACTGATTGGCTGTCTTGGGCAATTTCCACGATTTCTTTACTAGAGAATTCTCGCTCAAAGTCATTGTGAGGCCTGAATCGGCAAAGGACGAGGGTGTTGTCTTGGGAGAGATCATAACTTGGTTCCATGATAATAAATTTCGATTATTTGTGAGTTATTTTCTATTAAAGATTTAATTAAATGAATTATTTCGCCAAAAGTGTTCAGTGGATTTCTCCTTTAAGTTACAATAATTATTCATTTCTGAATCTAAAACAAATATGCCCTTGCAATGTGAAATAAAGAGCTGTAAAAATTTTCCTGCTTTCGTTTGTGTGTGCGTAGAAAATGAGCATTTACTTTGCAAGGAGCATTTTATGAAGCACTTATTCGCCCGCTAGTGAGGGAACAACACCATTTTGAATTTTCTATTTTTGTGAATAAAACATATTTGTATAAAAAATATATTAATTAATCATTAAATACAAAATTAAAAAGCATACTTGCTCAAAATAGGTGGTAAATTTAGAAGATCCAAGCAAAATCCAACATAAAAGCGTATGCTTGCTTCCAAGAAATTACTCACCTATCAATAGTTGCAACAATGATGATATGATATCAAGCAAGTGCTACGAGATCCCATATTATAAGAAAATCACTGATAATACTAGCAGGCTTTTAGCATATATTATCAAGTATGCTGAACTCCTAGTTTTTTCTCTCAATTGGCCAAAACGAAAAATTCATGCAAGCTATGATCTACAAAATTCCTGCTATGCAGTCAAGCACGAGTTTCTATTCCCAAATGCGATTTGCTCTGGTGTCATCTATAGACATAATGAGCTTAATCATAAGCTTGCCAGATCTCTAAGTGATCATATTCTCCAAATAGTCAGTCCTTCCTCATTAGTGAAAAGTTATATCAATAAAATCAATTTCATAAACCACAAAGACTTTTTAGGCTGCTTCAAAGATATAATGACTGATGTGCTTACTCCCCTAATATTTGATCAAGCGGCCTACCATCGTTCGGTCAAAGATGGTATTAAAATTTTTTGGAAAGCATCATACAACTAGGGTTAAAGATGTGAAGCATAAAATATATTAGAAATCGTATTATAGTTATTTAGAAGTGATTATACTCTAATATCTCTATACTGATAATATCAAATATAAAAAGTTAAATACATACTTGACTGCTGGAAATCGCTCGAATAAGAATGGGACAAATTTTCCCAATTTTATTGAATCATTCAAAAATAACTGGAAGCTAGAGAAAAGCTTTTAGGCATTATTTTGCAATCAAAAATTACTAAAAAAGTGAAATATGCAGCCAGCAACGCTATAACTATCTTAAATTACTCCAAATATAATTTTATAGATAAAGATTTCAGAGGCATTCAAATTGAAGGTGCAGATTTATCAGAAGCACTCATAATAAATACAGATTTCCAAGGAAGCAACTTAAAACGAGTCAATTTTTCGTATGCAAATATATATGATTCTAATTTCCGCAACTGTGATTTATCAGATGCTTGGTTTGTGCAGCTTCCACCAGTTATAAGCACATATCCTGTCAATTCTGTCGCTTTCTCATTTTGTGGTAATTATCTAGCTTATGATTGCTGCGATAATGTGATTATGCATGATATTAAAACAGGCCTTAAATTCCAAGAATTCAAGCACAATGCAAATATTAGTGCAATTTCTTTTTCAAAAGATGGAACTCTCCTTGCTGTAGCTGATAACAATTACATACTAAATTTATGAGACATTCAGGGTAAAAAGCAATTTATTAAATTATCGGGCCACACAGACACCATTTCTTCAATAGCTATATCACCGGACGGAAATTTCGTAGCAACTGGAAGCTATGATGAGAGTTTAAGAATTTGGAATCTTGAAACATATATGCTAACTTACTGCATAAACTATGCAAAAGATAGTGTGGACTCAGTTGCGTTTTCTTCTTGTGGAAAATACTTTGCCTTTGGAACTCATCACAATTCTGCAATAGTTTCTTATGTAGATAATATAAGTTCCCGCAAATGGCTATTCAGCCATCCTGATCCTGTAAGGACTGTTTCCTTTTCTCCATGCTCAAAATATTTAATATCTAGCTGTGACGATCTAGTTATCAGAACTTGAGATCTAGAAATTGGACGTCTAAATAAAGAAATTAGAAAAGAGTATCATCCTTTGCACATATTAAGACCTTCAATGAGAGGTTACTCTTACTCTGAACAGCAGGTATTCATCAAGTTTTTAGTTAACTCCTCCCTCCCGTGAACGAACAAAACCATTAGAAAATTTCCTTTTGAGTTAAAAAAATATTTTAGTATAAAATTTTATTATAAAAAATATTTTGATATATAAGTGATGATTTTTATAAATGACTTCTCTAATTAAATCTTTAAGTTTTAAATAGCTTGCATTCTAAAACATAAATTTTTCAAATTAAATTAATTTTTGCAAATTGGGATTTTTAAATTTCGAAAAAATAAATTTTATTATAATTTAGATATCATTAAAAAAATTAACCTCTTTTTTTGAGCGAACAAAATTTTTTTGATCGCTATAGAGGGAGGAAAAGCATAGTCACTCAGAATTCAAATGATTCAATGAGCAACTTTTCAGCATGTTGTCAGTCTGTTATTCTCCTAATGGAAAATATATAGCGGTAAAGAAATCAGATATATCAGAAAAATCAATAGAAATTTTAGACATTAGAACTTTAGAGGAATATCCTATTTTGTACAATGAAATCTCCTCTATATCTTTTTCTTATGATGGAAAATATATTGCAGTTGCAGACACCTCAGATTTAATCATGATTACAGATGCTGAGACAATGAAAAACAAATTTAAGCTCAAAAGCAACAAAGGAATAATTATTTATGTCAAATTTCTGAAACTTGGGAATTTCCTTATATCATTGTGCTCGAGGAATTATATCACTGTTTGGGATATCGAAAATCAGTATCTTTTGAAAGAATTTATATTGGGAAGTATTCAAGTTTCTGCAATTGATGTAACTTTTAACGACAAAATTATCGCGACTGGGCAATCTAACGGAGAAGTTAAGGTTTGGGACCTGACAGCTCCGTCAAATTATTTTTTTTTAAAATGCAGCGCAGAATTGATAACTTGTATCAAGTTTTCACCATGTGGGAAATATCTGGCTACAGCAAGTAATAATAAAAAACTGCTTTTGTGAGAACTTGCTAGCAGAAATTTGTTGGCTTTGGATGGCCATAAGCAGAATTTATCATGTGTGAGCTTCGTTCAGTCTGTAAATTATCTAGTTTCAGCAGATAAAGGTGGGCAAGTTATACTTTGGGATATTGAAGCGCAATGGACAATTTTAGAAATTCAAGTTGATGATCGGATGATACCTTCATTGGCTGTGTCTTTATGTGGGAATTATTTGATTACTGGATGCTTAAATGGCTGCGTCAAAGTATGGAATACTTGGAAAGGCACTCTGATTAAAGAAATAAAATATCATTCTAATGCAGTCGACTCTCTTCAGTTTCTCAACAATAAAAAACTTGAGTTCGCTTCTTTAAGTGCTGATATCACTTTCAAACTATGCAGAATTTAGCAAATAAAATAAATAATGATCTATAGCTTTAATAATAATTAGATTAAGTCTCATTCAATAACTTTTGTGGAAGAATTATTCATAATTTTTCAATTTTATGATTGTGGTATTCCAGGCTTAGTGCTTGGGATTATAAATTATAAAAATAAATGGAGTATAAAATAAATTGAGAAGATATAGACAATTTATTGTAAATAGTAGGGAAAAAATACAAACAATAGAAAACTCTCTATCTTCTGTTCACTTAAAATCTCTCCATCCATTGAAGTTCTCTTTATTAAGGGTCGGATTCGCTGAAGCAAATTCATTTGCTCCATACCATCTATGCATTTTGAATCCTTCTTTCTGAACTTCATATGCTCTCAGAACAGCTATAAGTTGGATTTTTGCAACAAAAATAAATAGTGCAGTTATTTCAAAATAATGAGCATACCTCAAAGACCATTTCCTGCATATATTTCTGTACAAACTCCTTGATCATAATCACAGGATCACTTCACAATATATTTAAAAATAATCCTGTCGGTTGGCTCTGCAAACTATTGAATTTTGATAAATCTGGGACTTTACAAGATCAGGTGATAATCTTCCATGGAGAGCTAAAATTTTAACTGTGCAAGCCATTGAAAATCTTCAAAGCTTTCAATATCTAACTTGTGCAGACATCACTTCTGAAGTTGAAATGACTTGCAATTTGCCTTGATTCGTGATTTCCGCTAAGGTAATAGACATTTTGCTTGAAATTTATCTTAAGTGGATATAGTAGCAGCCCAACTTCTACTGAAAATATCCTCAATCGATGTAATCATCTAGAAAAAGATATTTGAAACGAAAAAGTCTACATCTGATGCAAGGGGCTGTAAAAGATCATAAAATTCACCGTGGATGTCTCCAATGAGATTAATCGGCTCTTATAGCTTAAGAACATTATTTTCTCTTCAATATGTGCTGCTTACCTTATCAATAAAAGACAGTCTTGCTTAATTAATCTTCATTCTGAAGCTAATGTTTTCGCAATTTAGTTCAGCCTGGAGGATAAGCAATACCTCTTGGATAGAATTGAGATCATTCTAAAGGTCGGTGTGGAGGAGGATCTAAATCCGATACAATTGTGCTATTTAAGGATTTAAAAGAGGTTCAATTTTAAGCGTTTTTATAATAAGGCTATGTGTGCTAATTTAAAAAATAAAATCTGGCTCTATGCTTAAACAATTATTATTGCGCTCATAGCAATTATATTTTATAGGATTTTAATAAATGGCATTTATACTCAATAGTAAATAATAAGATTTCTTCAAAAGCAATTTTATATTGGTGCAAAGCTGAAGTCAGAAGTCTTTATATAACACATTGAAAGAGGGTAGAAAATATAAATCAGCACAAAGGAATGCATGGGTTTAATTACTTGCTTTGATTTGCTTAAACTGAAAATATATTACTAGATGTCAATAATTGCATATTTAAATCTTGATATTGGAAAAAAATATAATTCTAGAGACTAGCATTTAAAGATAGCAAAAATATAATCAATAATATTGCATAACCAAAAATGGCTTGCTATATCGAAAATTGTAGCAGTTTCCCACTTTTAATATGCAGCTGCTCAACTAAAGGGACCCTTATATGTGACGATCACTTTGAATCCCATTTGTCAGAGATCAATAAATATCCTCACATCGCTAATTCTATATTTGACTCATCAATTTTAGAGTCTCGAGAAAAATTAAAGGAAAATAATAAATCCACAATAAATAAAAGCCTCGAAAACTTTCCTGAAACAAAATTATCACTAATTAATCCTGAACTGAATAAAATTGATAAAGAAATACAATCTTGCCTTATAAAATTGAGAAGCAATTTATCTTCAAAACTCATCAAGAAAAGAAATTTGGTAAATATTACCCTTAATGATTTTTCAAAATCAAAAAATCAGTACTGCATAAAATGCAGCCAATCTGAATGCAAGTGTCATTTCATACATTATGTTAAAAATCATGAAAAAACATGCAAATTTACTATTCGCAATTTCGATGAGAAGTTAGCTTATTTGATATCTCAAGATATTTCGAAATGGAAAAACATTGAAATTTTTAAAGGTTCTTATTTCAATAAAATTGACATCAAAACATACCCTGAGATTTGCGACATCTTAAAGAATATTCTATCAAAAAAGTTGCAGGATGGACTATTTAATTTGATATTACTCTCTAAAGAATCTTCAGAAGTATCTCAAGGATCAAGTAACGCCATTACAATCTTAAACCGCCTTGACTATCCATTATCTCATAGAGACTTAAGAGGCATAAATATCCCTGGAGCAGATTTATCAAGCTCCCTTATCATCGGCACAAATTTCAAAGGGAGCAACCTTACGAACGTAAATTTTGGCAAAGCAAATCTTTACTCAGTCAATTTTGATGACTGCTACTTAGCTGGAGCTGAATTTGGCGAAAGTTGTTTAAGCCCTATTAAAACTGCTGGCACTATAGTAAATTTTTCTCCTTGTGGAAAATATATAGTCCTCTGTAAGAAAAACCAAACTGAAATTTTCATATGTGACATCAGCAGCCAAGAAATAGTGAAAATCTACCCCACTGATCAAAGAGTTTACCATTGTGAATATTCACCTTGTGGAAATTACTTAGCGATAGTTCATCAAGATAAAGTAATATTATGTAATGCAAAAGTTCATCAATATAAAGCAATATTATGTAATGCAGAAATTTTTGATTCTGTTGTCCATACTTGTGATGAGATATCTGAAATTATTTGTTCTTTTGCTTTTTCATTATGCAGCAAATGGCTTGCAGTGGGACTATACAACCATGACATCAAAATTTGAGACATAAACACAAAGACACAAGTGAGGTACTTATGTGGACATGATAGTCCTGCTATATCTCTTGCTTTTACCAAGAACTACTTGATATCTACAAGTGATTGGGGCTTGATTTTGATATGAAATATTAATCTCCCAGAGAAAATAACTGTCATAGACAAATTAGGAGTTCTTAGAACTGTTAAAAATAAGCAATTAGTCAAATCAAGGTATGAGCTCACTTGAATAGTATTATCACAAAATGAAAAATATATATATGCTTCAAGTAAGCAAAAACTTTTTATGTGAAATGTAGAGAAACTAGAAGAAAAAACTCAATTTAGTGATTTAACCAGTGTGTTTTATGATTGAGCTCTATCCCCATGCGAAAAATTCATAGCTGTTTCAAATAAGAAGGGGCTTGTGCAAATTTTTGACATCGAGAGTCAGGTCTTTACCTTTCAGATTCTGATGAAACCTTGAAGTTCCCCTAAGATCGCTTTTTCTCCTAATGATGATAGATTAGCAATTGCTGGAATTAATGAGTTTGCTAGATCATGAAAATACAAAAATCCATCATTCAAAAACCCAGAAATAACCAATAGAAAATATGATTTTATGGTTTTGTGGGCCCCAAATGAAGATCAATTTGCATTAATATCTAGAGAAGCTGCTGTCGGTCTTATTGAAATATGAAGCTGCAAAACTAAAAAAGTGGTCCGGGAAATTAAATGGTATTTTGGATTAGAGGTAAATCCTATTTTTGCTTTTTCTCCACATGGAAACCATTTTGTTCTGTCCAGCTATTGTGGCCTCCATTTGCATAGATCAACTGTAGAATATGTTAGAGATTACCCGCTGAGAGTTAGTACATTTGTGATTTCTAGAGAAGGTCTCATTGCACTCGGTTTTATTGATGGCCACATTGAAATTGCTGAATTATACTCAAATAAGCTAATATGCAAAATAAATTCCTCGACAAGTAAAAATGCACACTGTGAAGATATAAAATTACTTGCATTTTCTTGCGATTCTAAAAGACTTGCATCTGCCAGCAGTAGCGGCGGCTTTATTAGATTCTGAAATGTTAAAACAGGGGATTTTATTGCTCAAATTCAAATAAAGCCAAAAAAATTGTCTAGTCTTCCTTTAGCCTCAATTAACTTTGCACCCTATCAAAATTATCTTGCCTTTACAGCGAATCCATGCAATTGGGTTACTGTTTGCCATGTAAACTCTCCAGAAGAAGCAATTAGGCTTTATGGATTAAGCACTCTAAGTTACTCACAAGTAAAATTTTCTCCTTGCGGATCTTTGCTAGCTGCCATAAATTTGAATTTTACTATTGATTTATGGAATTTTGAAAAAAGAATGTTGGTTTATACTCTGAAAGGGCATTTGGGAGTTATCAACTCCTTTGATTTTTCTCTATGCGGCAAAAAAATTATATCTGGCAGCGAAGATATGACGATAAAATGCTGGAATATAAGGCATCTGTATGATGATTCAAAAGAAGAAAATTTGATCTGTCTAGAGTGGTCATTAAAGAAGCATGAGCTAGTTGCTTCTGGTATATCATTATCAAGAGCTGTAATTAGTGAAAAAAATAGGGAGTTGTTGGATTTCTTATCAAAAAAGGATATAAAACAGTCAAAAAATTATTTGATATAAAAATATAATAATTTATAAACGAGCTTGAAACTCTTAAAATATTGGATCATCACAATATATAAAAACGTTTCGAAGATTCAAGGAGATTTTATACAGTAATGGAAATTGCTTGAAGAAATTATTAACTTTGATGAATAATGCAATAAAACTTTACTCATCATTAAGATTTGCTCCAAAAACAATTTATTTTGATTATAGCTGAAGTCAGAAGTCTTTATATAGCATGCTAAAAAGAGCAGCAAATATAAATCAGCATAAATATATCAGCTTAATTACTTGCTTTGACTTGCTTAAACTAAAAATATATTACTAGATGCTAATAATTGCAAATTTTGAGATTGGAAAAATATAATTCTAGCAACTAGCTTTAAAAGATAAGCAAAAATATAATTAAATAACATTTTATAATCAAAAAATGGCTTGCTATATCGAAGATTGTAGCAGTTTCCCACTTTTAATATGCAGCTGCTCAACTAAAGGGACCCTTATATGTGCTGATCACTTTGAATCCCATTTGTCAGAGATCAATAAATATCCTCACATCGCTAATTCTATATTTGACTCATCAATTTTAGAGTCTCGAGAAAGATTAAAGGAAAATAATAAATCCACAATAAATAAAAGCCTCGAAAACTTTTCTGAATCAAAATTATCACTACTCAATCCTAAACTGAATAAAATTGATAAAGAAATACAATCTTGCTTTATTAAATTGAGAAGCAGTTTATCCTTAAGACTCATCAAGAAAAGAAATTTGGTAAATATTACCCTTAATGATTTTTCAAAATCAAAAAATCAGTACTGCATAAAATGCAGCCAATCTGGATGCAAGTGCTATTTCATACATTATATTAAAAATCATGAAAAAACATGCAAATTTACTATACGCAATTTCGATGAGAAGTTAGCTTATTTGATATCTCAAGATATTTCGAAATGGAAAAACATTGAAATTTTTAGAGATTCTTATTTCAACAAAATTGACATCAAAAAATACCCTGAGATTTGCGACATCTTAAAAAATATTCTATCAAAAAAGTTGCAGGATGGACTATTTAATTTGGTATTATTCTCTAATAACTCCCTTCCGTAAGTGAACAAAACTAAAATCCATCCTCTGTGAGCGAACAAAAATGTTATAAGAAAAAAATTTTGATATATAAATAATAATTAATATAATGAAATCTCTAACTACTTTTGTTAATTTTAAAAAATTGCGTTTTAAAACATAAATTTTATAAATTAAATTAACATTTATTTTCCAGTTTTTGCGGTTGGGATTTTTTAAATTTCGAGAGAAAATTCTATAAAATTTATATATAAATGTTTCAACAAAAAAAAATTAACCCCCTCCATGAGAAAAAAATTTTTTGTTCGTTCACGAAGAGCGAAGTAAAGAATCTACAGAAGTATCTCAAGGATCAAGCAACGCCATTACAATCTTAAACCGCCTTGGCTGTTCATTATCTCATAAAAACTTAACAGGCATAAAAATCCCTGGAGCAGATTTATCAAGCTCCCTTATCATCGGCACAAATTTCAAAGTAAGCGACCTTACGAACGTAAACTTTGCAAACTCAAATCTTTACTCAGTCAATTTTAATGACTGCTACTTGGCTGGAGCTGAATTTAGCGAAAGCTTTTTAAGCCCTATTAAAACTGCAGGCAATATAGTAAAATTTTCTCCTTGTGGGAAATACATAGTCCTCTGGAAAGAAAACCAAACTGAAATTTTCATATGTGACATTAGCAACCAGGAAATAGTGAAAACCTACCCCACTGATCATATAGTTTACCGTTGTGAATATTCACCTTGTGGAAATTATTTGGCGATAGTCCATCAATATAAAGTAACATTATGTAATGCAAAAATTTCTGGTTTGGTTGTCCATACTTTTGATGGAATAACAGAAGGTATTTGTTCTTTTGCTTTTTCGTTATGCAGTACATGGTTTGCGGTGGGGCTAAGCAATAATAATATCAAAATTTGAGATATAAACACAAAGACACAAGTGAGGTACTTATGTGGGCATGATTTTCCTGTGATTTCTCTTGCATTTACCAAGAACTACTTGATATCTACAAGCTATTGAGGCTTGATTTTGATATGAAATATTAATCTCCCAAAGAAAAAAACTGTCATAGATAAATTAGGAGTTATTAGAACTGTCAATAATAAGCAATTAGTATGAAAACTCAAATCAAAGTATGGGCTCGCTTGAGCAGTATTATCACAAAATGAAAAATATATATTTGCTTCAAGCAATAAAATAATTTTTATATGAAATTTAGAAAAAAAAGAAGAAGAAACACTATTTAGTGATTTAACCAGTGACTTTTATGATTGAGCTCTATCTCCATGCGCAAAATTTATAGCTGTTTCAAATAGGAATGGGCTTGTGCAAATTTTTGACATCGAGAGTCAGGTCTTTACCTTTCAGTTTCTGATAAAACCTTGAAATCCCCCTAAGATCGCTTTTTCTCCTAATGATGATAAATTAGCAATAGTTAATGAGTATGCTATATCATGAAAATACAAAAACCCATCATCCAAAAACCCAGAAATAGTCATCAGAAAATCTTCTTTTATGGTTGTATGGACCCCAAATAAAGATCAATTTGCATTAATATCAAGAGAAAGTGCCGCTGGCCTGATTGAAATATGAAGCTGCAAAAATAAACAAGCGGTCCGGGAAATTAACTGGTATTTTGGATTGGAGATAAATCCTATTTTTGCTTTTACTCCATGTGGAAACTATCTTGTTCTGTCCAGCTCTTGTGGTCTTCATTTGTATAGATCAACTGTAGAATTTGTTAGAAATTATCCGCTGGGAGTTAGCTCATTTGTGATTTCTAGAGAAAGTCTTATTGCACTCGGTTTTATTGATGGCCGCATTGAAATAGCTGACTCTCTTCTAAATTGCAATATACATTAAAATGGCGATAAATGTAAACCTACCCCTTGGCGCAGCAGTCAGACCTTAAGATTACGGCGAACTGGAACAGACTTTAGCCGAGTAGCAAGAGCAGCCCCAGTAAATGCAGCATTGAGGAGGTTTTGACTAATTTCTTGTGGTTGGAAATGGACATGCTCAAAATAACCTTCAGACTCTTGAGCATCCTCTATCGAGAACCCAGAATTTTTATGGCTCGTAATAATGTTAATCCCTTCTAAGTTGCAAACAGCTTGCATTTAAAAGTAAATTTTTTTTATTTAAATTAGTAATTGGGCGCAAAAATACTTAATTAATTATTAGGTTTTTAACGTCTAATATCGCATTTCCCATGCATGCTTCTGTCCTTATTCCATAAATTAAGGTGTTCTTATATCGATGAATATCTTTTCAGTTCTCGGGTCTTGACGTGAATGGCCTACATAGAAAAATCAAAAATATGGATTTTCTGGTTAAATGGAGGAAAAAGTTTCATTTCGAATACCAAGGCATGTTACTCTTGAATTCACTGATTTGCTGCCCGAAGGCTGGCTGGTGCCTATAGTGATGGCTGGCTATCCCTTTCAAACTTAAAGTCTAGGTAAGAAAGCTAAATAAAGGCTAGATTCCATATTGCTTACCTAGCATGGCTGTTATTACTGGGATTGGCAAAACCTTGCCATATAATTAAATATGCACTCAAAACTTGATGCTGAAATGCCATTTCCAAGACTCTGTAGTTAGTTATAGATAGGGAGAATGCCTAGCTATATATAAATTAGTAATTAAAACTCCAAAAGATTATTATAGCAAAATTAAACTTTCTGTTTGAAAAAAGCTCGCTCTTTATATAAGTTAGGGGGAGTGAGTTATACTCAAATAAGCTGATATGCAAAATAAATTCCTCGACAAGTAAAAATGCACACTGTGAAGCTATGAAATGTCTAGCATTTTCTTGCAATTCTAATATACTTGCATCTGCCAGCAGTGGCAGAGTTATTAGATTCTGAAATGTTAAAACTGGGGAATTTATTTCCCAGATTCAAATAAAGCCAAATGAATTTTCTAATCTCCATTTAGCCTCAATTGATTTTGCACCCTATCAAAATTACCTTGCCTTTACGACAAATCCATGCAGTTGGGTTACTGTTTGTCATGTAAACTCTCCAGAAGAAGAAATTAGACTTTACGGATCAAGCACTCTAGCTCCCCCTTCCGTGAGTGAACAAAAAATTTTATTTGCTAAAGGAGAGGGGCTATTTTTTTTTTAAAAATTTATATATATAAATTTAATAAAATACATTTTTTTTCATAATTTTAAAAAAATCCTGATTTGCAAAATTGGAAAGCAAATATTAATTTAATTTATAAAATTTATGTTTTAAAATGCAATTAAACAGAATTAGCTAATGATTTCATTATATTAATTATCACTTATATATAAATTTTTTTTCATAAAACATTTTTGTTTGCTTATGGAGGGTGGGTTTTTGGGCAGAATATAAGGATTTTTTTAATGGTTTTGTTCACTCACGGGGGGGAGCAAGCTACTCACAATTAAAATTTTCTCCTTGCGGATCTTTGCTAGCTGCCATAAATTTGAATTTTACTATTGACTTGTGAAATTTTGAAAAAAGAATGTTGGTTTATATTCTGAAAGGGCACTTGGGAATTATCAACTCCTTTGATTTTTCTCTATGCGGCAAAAAGATTATATCTTGCAGCGAAGATATGACAATAAAATTCTGGGATATAAAGCACTTGTATGATGATTCAAAAGAAGAAAGTTTGACCTGCCTAGAGTGGTCATTAAAGAAGCATGAGCTAGTTGCTTTTGATATATCATTATCTAGAGCTGTAATTAGTGAAAAAAATAGGGAGTTGTTGGATTTCTTTTCAAAAAGACATCTGATATAAAAAATAATAATTTAATTTATATATAAAGTAGATGCTGAATTTTCCCTTGTCTTTCCTGCTAATCAATATAAGACGATCCTTCTCCTTCTTTAATTTCAAGCATTTCGCAATCCATAGCAACCACTTTATATGGTAAATCAGAGGAATCCTTTCTTATTATTTTTACCACAGCTATTCTTCAATTATTCGCTTCATCGTATTCAAAATCATAAGATTTTAGCTGGATCCTAGCATTTCTAAATTAAATTCTAAATCGTCCACATAAGATAATAAGATGTCTTTTTTAAAGCTTTTTGAATGGACATAGCTTGATATTGTTATAGGTAAAATACTCTCATTGGTGCATGCTTCGGTATTTTCAATGGATAGCTTGAAGTCCTCATAAATGTTAATATTGAAATAAAAAATTGAGCCTTTTCCAGAATTGCATTTTACTTTTATGAAGTTCTCATCTAATTGAATAATCAATAGATTTAATATATATAGGTCAAATCCATTTCTCTTGGCCCAGGATTAGGAATATTTAAAGGGTCGATTTCTTTATCATTTTTCTTATCTCTTCTAAGCGAACGCCAGACCCGGTGTCTCCAACACAACACTTCATCGTAGTTTTTGCTGTTTTAAGACAAATGGCCGGATTTTTCCTTCATGGGTAAATTTAAACTAAGATTTTCGTTTCAAAACATATATAATACCTTACTTTTTATAAATTTTAATCGATATTGGTTCATGCTTAATCTCAACCAAAAAGTCTAAGCTGATTTGCAAATTAATATCACAAATGCAAAAATAATTAAATTATATTAAAAGTGTTTTAAATCTATCAATCAGAAAAATTAACTATAGGAAATTCCCGATGATGGCGCTCAATGTGCCATCATCGGGCACCTACAGTAAATGGTCCACACTGGAAATGGGTTTCACGTGTGGAGCCCTTTTTGACACGTGGAGAATCCTCACTTTCACGCGCCAAAAAAGGGGAACCCATTTCCCGTGTGGACCCTGAACTGTAGTTTGCCCGATGATGGCACATTGAGCGCCATCATCGGGCAACTTGTATATTTATAAAGGTATTTCAGAATTGTTTGTGTGAGTATTTCAGGAGAGCATGGCTTAGTCAGTACTTCTTCCATCCCAGATTCCAAGCATAGCCTAATATCACTATCAGAACTAAATGCTGTATACCCAATCATTGCAGGTAAAAATTTAATTTCTCCATTAAAGTATAGCTCTATGACTTTCCGAGTAGCTTCCCAACCATTTAGCTCAGGCATACTTCCATCAACAACTACAACCTTATAAGCTCTGCCCATAGAATCACTTTCTTGTACTTTCTTGATTAATTCTCCTCCTGTACATGCTTCATGATAATTAACATTTTTGCGTTTAAGAAGAGTCCCTAAAATCATCCTATTAAAGTCATTATCATCTGCAATCAAAACTTGTGCATTTTTATTTTCTGCTATAGCAGACTCAAAATCAGCAATTGAGGCAGTTAAGCACTCGTCAAGTCAAACCTGAGAGTCTGAAAAATAATCATCAGAAAGTATAGAGGCTGCCTTGAGTAGCGCTCTAAGTGCCCGAGACTTCCCGACGAAGTCTGGGCGGTGGTTTGACCAGCTGATGTTGGTTAAACCAACATCCAAAATGACAAATTCTTCTCATACAGAAGGTTTGTCAAATTGGATGCTGGTTTGACCAACATCAGCTGGTCAAACCACCGCCCAGACTTCGTCGGGAAGTCTCGGGCGCTTAGAGCGCTACTCAAAGGCAGCCTCTATATCTGAAGATTGGGAGGATTTTCAAAGATGTCTATTGAGAAAATGAAAGATGAGCCTTTTCCTGTCTGAGAGATGACTTCAATAGGGTTTCCTCCAAGTTCTTGGACAATTTTATTTGCAATTACAAGGCCAAGACCACAGCCTTCTGGGTTTATATTTAAACTTATGTCTGAGTTAAATTCTTCGAAAATCCATTGCTTCTTTGACTCGCTGATTCCAACTCCTGTGTCGTTTACCATTATTTTAAGCTTTGAATTTGCATCGAATAAGCACACAAGCTCAATTCTGCCCTTAATAGTAAACTTTAAGGCATTGCTTAAGAGATTTAGCAATATTTGGCTTAGCCTTAAAGCATCAGTAAATACATATTCTGGGAGTCTTGGATCGATTCTTACAAGAACTTGAATTCCTTTTTTCTCGGCTTGAATTTTGACAAGCTGTAAGCAGCTATTTATTATGTCATAAAGTTTGGATTTAGACTTTTGGATAGCAAAAACACCGGCTATCATTTTGGAGTAGTCCAGTAAATCATTTACGAGAGATATCAAAAGTTTGGCTGAGACTGAAACAATTTTCAGTTTTTCAAGGTTTTCAACTTTTTTAGATATATCATAGTCACCCATTAGCTCTTCGATGATAAATGATATTGAGTTGATAGGGGTTCTCAGTTCATGGGACACTGATCTTAATAAAATATTTTTCAGCATATTCTCTGAGCTGGCCTTTTCGAATTGAATAATTGTATTTGCATTTTTTACTATAATTAGAATGCTTTGATGTGTTTCCCAAACAACTTTTTGTCCTCTCCATTCTAGATTGAATTGTTCTGACTTACTTAGTCCAAGCATAATCTCAGTATCCAGTACTAAATTTGGGATCAAATTGATGTGATCTATAAGTCTATTTGACTCTGACAGCAGTGAATACTTTTTTCCTTCTGAAAATTCAATTTCCGATATTAATTCAACAATCTCATCAATCTCACAATCTAGCAGTTTTTTTAAGTTATGATTTGAAAATAATATTTCCTTATTCTCAGAAAGCACCAAAATCCCATCAGTAATCAAATTAAAAATAACTCTCAGTCTACTTTCAGTGTTTTCAAGATTTTTCCTTGAAATAAACCTCTCATATGATTTATTTTTCAAAAAATAAGAATTTGTATTATACAGGAAAATAATCAGAAATGATACCATATGAGGCATGTGGTCTCTTTCAAAAAATAAAATCTCATTGGTTAAGTATTTTCTATAATGCCATAAGTATAAATGTTTTGATATAATGACTCCTTTCATCAAGCGAGTTTGGACAAATGGAAGTTCAAAACTGATTATAAATATCAGTGAAAGCATCTCAAATAAAATTTGCTCTGGTTTCCACTCATTTTGCCCTTGGCTTCATAATATGAGGCAATTTAGCTCAGAAAAAGTTATTGAAAATAGTGATTTTGCTAGATAACCTTTTTTGCCAAAAAAACATACAAGACTGCAGCTGATGGAGTGAATCAGCAAATAAGGTATGTGTAATATAGCCATATCAATGCCGCCTTGAACAAAAACTATAACACATAAAAGTATAAATGCAGAGAAGTATAGCAAAGAGTAAGAGTATCGCTTTAAAACTTGATATTTCTCGTTTACTTCTTCTTCCCACCATTGATGATAAATTACCTCCATAAAACAATATTATTATATTATTATTATTTTAATTAGCTGAAAAGAATGATCATAATTTATAAAAACATAAGTTGTTTCGAATTCAGTATCAACATGAAATTTTCTAACATTTCTGGAATAGTCATTTATAATGGATCAGTGTCTAAGAAAAAAAGGCTCTTTTTTAGTATTTGCAGGAATAGCACAGAGCCTTTTAAAGGCAAACTCTAGATTAGAATATAATTAAAGGGATTGAAGGTTTATTGTAAAGAAATTAAAATAAATCCCTTAGGAATTAAACTTTTAAATTCTTTGTTGGTTAGCATCCCCAATTTACTTTAAAAATATATCAAATTAATGTTTTAAAATTTAAATTGATAAAAAGACTAACAATTACCTATGAGATGAGCAGCATTTTTAATGCAAAGAAAAGCATTTTAATTTTAAAAGAAAAGTTATTTTTGAGAAGTGGCATATATTAACGTTAAGAGGCTATTAGAAGAGAAAGCTTACAAAGAGAGCATAGAATTTCAATTCATATTGATTGGTTTTACCATTTTAAAAATTAATTATCTGTTTCAAAAACATTACTTTAAAGAAAGCTATAAAAATAATCTAACTTATTTTTATTGCATATTCAGATATTTTAAAATGGTTTTGACTAATGTCTCCGGTTACAAGGTTTTACTAAGCATTCTTGCATTCCAGACTCCAAGCATATCTTAATATCAGCCTCAGAGCTAAGTGCAGTATATCCAATCATAGCAGGCAAAGCATTAATTTCCCCATCAAAATACATCTTAATTATTGCTCTGCTTGCGTCTCACCCATTAAGATCAGGCATGCGTCCATCTAAAGCAATAACTTTAAAAGGTCGATTCATATCATTTTTTTTCTTAACTTTTTTGGTTGCCCCGATTCCAGTGCACGCTTCTTCATAGTAAATATTATTTTGTTTCAACAGATTGCCAAGAAGCATTCTGCTTATGTCACTATCATCAACTATAAGCACACGAGGATTTATTTTGGAATGTAAAACTGAATTAAAATCATTTAAGCAGTTTATTCAATCCTCACAAATAGGAACTGCTTCTGTGTCTTCTTCATAAGTTGGTGTTTCTTGAATATAATGATCTAAAATATTTACAGAAAAACTAAATATGGAACCTTTTCCAACAACCGATTGGACATCAATGCACGATAATAAATAGTGACGTGAAAAAATTTCACTAGTGAAATTTCATCTCCTCTGAACTTTTTTTGTAGTTCGATTTCAGCAAGGAATCCTTACCCAGCAATAATGGAGGAGTACACAATCTCCCGGCCTTAGACACAGGGTTTTTAGAGGGCTTTGGATTTTTACTATCAGCACATCAGAGAAAGGTAACCTTTGTGCGAACACACATGTAGGAGCTGAGCTGCGCTGACGGTAGGATGCGCAGCTGGGCTAGTGGGGTCTTGTTTAGTAATCCTTGAGATCCCTCTTTTGGGAACGGCGCTAGACACTCTAAACGCTTAATTATTTTTAACTTGACGACTTCAATGCTATTTTCTCCAAGTTCTTTGGCTATTCTATTTCAAATAAATAATCCAAGCCCACGTCCTTGTGGATTTATAGCAGGTATATATCCACTTTCAAATTCTTGGAAAAGGGTATGGATTTTGTCGCTGGGAATGCCTATACCAGTATCTTTAACAATGATTTTTAGCCTGGATTCATTTTCTCTGATGCAGATAACCTCGATTTTCCCTTTAAGTGTAAACTTTAGTGAATTGCTTACTCTCCCTCCCTGCGTGAGCAAATAACAGAATTTTGTTAGCTCGAGGAGGTTAACACTTTTTTATTTAAATTTTATAGTGAATTTTTATTTCGAAATGTAAAAAATCCCAAATTAATTTAATTTATAAATTTTGTTTTTAAATATTAACTGTTTAAACTAACTAAGATTTGATTATAATAATTATCACTTATATAAAATTTCTTTTTCATAAAAATTTTATATTAAAAATAATTTTTATTTGTTAACAGAAGGTGGTTTTTTGTCTAAAAAATAGAGATTTTCCAATTTGCTCGCTAAACGAGGAGGGGGAGATAGCAAATTCAGTAAAACTTGGCTTAGTCTTAAAGAATCAGTAAAAATATATTCAGGCAAAGTTGGGTCAATTCTAGTTATAACTGTATTAATTTCGTTTCTGCTTGGATTTTGATGAGCTGCGCCACATTATTTATAATACTTTCCAGCAAGCATATGCCTTTTTGTATAGTAAAAACCCCAGCAAGCATTTTTGAATAATCCACCAAGTCATTTACAATGGAAACTAACAATTGTGATGACAAAGATATCATCCTCAGTTTTTCCAAATTTGACACTTTTTGCATGATAGTTGGCTCAACCATAAGGTCATCTGCTATAAATGCTATTGCGTTTATAGGGGTTCTAAATACCCTTTCCGTGAGAAAGCAAAACTATTGAAAAATCCCTTTTTGAAAAATGAACTCTGTGAGCAAGCAAAAAATTTTAATATATAAATGATAATTTTATTTAAATTGGAGCAAAGTGTCATTAAAATTCCTTTAAATTTGACGAATAGGAAGTTTATTGGTTTTTTGATATAATTTAATTGAAAAAGTGTTTTCACACTGGAAATAATAAATTTTTTGGATTAATTCTTTATAAAAATAATTTATTTTAAGAAAAAATAAACTTCTTTAAATTTGAATATATATTTATTCCAATTAAATGGGGTGAGTTAGAAATAATTAGGCTTTTCGCCAAGCTTGTCTGTATAAACGGTAGTTCAAAACTATGTATAAACACAAATGATAAGATCTCAAACAATATCTCTTGGAATTTTCATAAGGAGTTACCCTGGGTTCACAAAAAATAGCAGTTTATTTCAGAAAATAAAATCGAAAATCACGATTTTGCTATATAGCCTTTTCTGTCAAAAGACAATTGGTAGAATGAATGAAAAAATAGGGTGAGCTTTTGCTAAATACTCCCAAAAAAAAGATTGAGCAAGCTATTTTGCTCAACTTTGAAAGGGAGTTAATTTTATTTTTTGAAATTTATAATAAAGTTATATGCATCGCCTGTTAATAGTCTGATAAGGGCTTAAAGCACGGGGATTTGCAATTGAGCCATAAGAGGCTTATCTCTTTATCCATCGGCCAGCATCGGGCTTGCCTTAAAAATAATTTTCCAATTCGAAAATAGTTTAAGAAAATAATAAATTTAGCTGCTAAATTCTCTTGATTGAACCAGCAAGATCTATATAAAAATTATTTATTACAGTGGAGTAAAGATCTGATGAGGGAAAAGAATAATAAATATTATCCATATGGCAAGTCCGATAAACCACAGATAATAAGCATATCGTTTCAAAACTTGGTAATTTTTCGTTTACTTCTTCATTTCACCATTGAGAATAGAGCTTTTCCATATTTCAGGTATATTTATTACTTGTAATTATAAGAAACTTCAGCTTATTTTTAATCATCAAATAAATGGACAACTTTTTAATTTTCAATTAAAATTGTTGTATTGCATTAATAAAAGATAATAATGATATTTGCATCTGTTTTTATAATATGAAAACTTGATGATAAAGTAAGGGGAATTTTTAAATTATTTGAAGTATCATAAATTAATGCATCATATAAAAGTCTGCTCTTCAGAAATTCAATAAAGAAAAGCTTTATTAAATTTTAGCGCAAAAATTCATAAATGATTGAATAGTTGATCCCATTATAAAATTTTAACTATAAATCTCTGAATTATTAAAATTCTAACCTTGAATTCTATCAGGATGAATTTTGCTGATTTTTCTAATTCTCCTCCCCGTAAGTGAGCAAAATAATTTTTTGCTTATATTTTTATATATAAATTTGAGCCGTAAAATTGAAAATTGAAAATTGAAAATCAAAAATCAATTTTATTAAAAAATTTATACGTAAGCGATTAATAATATAATAAAATTTTAGCTTTCATTTTTAAGCATCAAATAATTTTTTCATAAATACTTTTTTCGCTCATGAAGGGTGGGTTTACCAAAAATACGTCTTTTCTAATTGCCTAGTTCACTTTCCGATGGAGTAAAAATAAAAATTTAATTCAATCCAATTTTTATTATAATTCATATTTATAGCAATTGCCCGATGATGGCGCTATCTTGCCCCATCCTCGGGCAATTCCTATATCTAGATATAAAAGAACAGTATAAATATTTTCGTAAAACCAAATAATTTTATATTCTTTAATAAAATATTTGGAATTTAAAATTAATACTAACTCCTCATAATTATATTTTTAAAGTATTAAAAGCAAGCTTTAATTTTTGTCTGATAATTTTTATGCATTCCTTTTAAAGAAATTAATTTCATCCGATAATACAAACCAAAATACTGACTGTAAAAATTGAGAATAAAAATGACTAAAATAGACGATTTATGATGGGAGCAAGAGGTTGAAAATTATTACAAACTTCTAGAGAGATTTACTTTATTCTCAACGCTTATAAGTGTGCTGTTTTGGACTCTCTCTTTAATTTATAACTTTGAATACTATTCTTCTCCTGGCTGAATCTGCGTTCTTGTGACAGGCACCTTTTCATCCACTATAGTGAAAATTTTTTCTACCAAGAGAGCCAAATGCAAGTCTTTGGTTTTACTCTCATATTCAGAGGTCCTGAATTTCCTTTTAAGTTATATTGCGAACTTTATGAAAGATGATCAAAGCCAACTGATTGAGACTATTGCTTTCCTTGTGGTTTTTTCGTTTCAGCTGGCAATCTAAAAAATAATGTTGTCAGAAATAGTTCTCTGCGGCGATTTTTCGTCTCTAGAGCCATTTTATTATTATGTAGTTTTGGCTCTACCGGTGAAAATTTGGTTAACTATTTAGGTAATAAGCCAGCCATGTGGCCTGAACTTTGGTTTTTAGAGCATAGATTTTTCCAATTAGTTTTCTTGACGAAGTCAAGATCCTCAAAGGGGCATTCGCAGGAGAAGATTATTAGACTATAGATATGCATTTATAATCCCTGAGCAATATACGCTTCAAAATGTTAGGCTGGGGCATTCCCTCAATGCAACTTGAGCGATACCAAAACTTCCGGCTCTTTTTAGAGTTATTTTCCAAGTTGATCCGTAAAATGGGATACTGAGAATCTCCATTTGCAACCCAAATGCCAATATTACGTAATTCTTCTTAGATTAGGCCAGAACACCCCTGAATCAGATCATTTTCAAATTTAGAAACTTTCACTTTAGAGATCTTCGTTGAGTCTTTCTTCTTTTTACTTTGGATTAGCTCAAAAAGAAAAAAAGCTTACATCATCAGGATAAGCTGCCAAGAAGCCGAGGTAGGTCAGTTACCCTGCTTGTTCAGGCACCCGATTTAGGCCTGGTCGCTGCTAATAAAAAAGATGCAAAAAAGTGCTGTTAAAGCCAGGCTACTAATCAGCATCAGGGAATAATGCAGAGTCTCTCATTTTAAAGGCTAGCCGAACCCTTAAGCAGCTCTTTTGCACCAAAAAGAGTTGTTAGATATCGATAATGACTCCCTCTGCAGGAGACAAGCTGCTCTTTAACTGTTATGCTATAGATTTACTCGCAGGAGACAAATAGGTGATAGTTCAACACGACTTATGAGGTGCCGGCATCCAAGAAATTAAGCTATTATTAAGCTTGGCGAGCCAAATTGGCCTTGATATAACAAGTTGAGGGCTAACGCCTCAGCTCTGTGGCAGTAATGACGCATAATAAACCATATCTATAAATCTAAGTTAATTTTCAGCTGACAATTACCCAAAGCAAGCTTTTATTCAATATTTTGCTTTTAAAGTTTATGTACGTGTGGTATATTAATGATATTTTCTTTGAAGACGAGCAAACTAGAATATTCTATTGCTGCCACATGATATTTGTGATTATTTGCTTTTTGAATATTATCTACTCCCACAGTAAAGATATCGCTTGTGAAAAATTTTCATACCGAAGTGAATTATTCTTTTTTTTCTATAAATTATCAAAATCATATTTATAACTCCCCCCCTCCGTGAGCGAACAAAAAAATTTTGTTCACTCACGTATTAATTTTTTTTTTTAAGAAATTGATATATAAATTTTATAAAAAATTTTTTTTCGAAATTTAAAAAATCCTAATTCGCAAAAATTGAAAAGCAAATATTAATTTAATTTATAAAATTTATGCTTTAAAAAGCAATTCGTTTAAAATTAAACAGAATTAGCTCTAGATTTCATTATAGTATTTATCATTTATATATCAAACTTTTTGTTCCATAAAAAATTTTTGTTCACTCACGGAGGGTGGGATTTTGGGCAAAAAATAGGGATTTTTCTAATGGTTTTGTTCACTCACGGAGGGGAGTAAGAATTTATCTTGAAATTCATATTGAAAGGCATAGAAACTTCCAAAAACCGTCTAAACACAATTAAGGAGTCCTTTTCTGATGGAATCATAATACTTTCACAAGATATCACAATTGAGTTCTTCAACCCAAGAGCCCTTCAACTATTAAGCACTTCCTCCGAAAACCTTATCGAGACTCTCAAATCAGCTCATTACATAGAAAACAGAAAAGCCTCCAATTTCATCCCAACGAATAATTTAATTGATGACATTTCCTACCTATTGAATAACACCCAGCAGTCTGAAATTATCCTTGGAGTTACTTTAATTAGCTCGTCAAATTTAGAATGAAGATCCATACAAATTGAGTGGGAAAATCGTAAAGCAGTATTTCTTACAGTCAGAGATGTAAATCATTGAATAGAGCTTGAAAAGAAGGTTGCTTGTGACCAAATGAAAACTTTGCTTTTGCGCTCTGTTTCACATGAGTTGAGGACTCCGCTGAACTCGATCCTTCATTTTACAGGAGATTTGATTAGCAGCTCACATACTTGAAGTGACCAAGAGGTAAAAAAATTGATGATGATTTCGATTTCAGGCCAGCAAATGCTGTCTCTTATAAGCGATTTATTGGACTACTCACAAATTTTGATTGGAGTATTTTCAATTCATAAAAATTATTGCAATTTGAGGGAAATTGTGCAGAATGTTTGCGATTTATTTAAATTTCAGGCTGAAAAGAAAAATTTGTATATTTGTTATAGAATTGATCCAAGTCTGCCGGAGATGATTTATACAGACCATATGAGGCTGAGCCAAGTTCTCTTGAACTTGGTAACTCTTTTTAATAAAAAAATTATATATAGACATGGAAAAATTAAATAAATCATAGTAATTTTTCTTGCTTATGAGAAGGTAAGCAATGCTATAAAATATACTTTAGAAGGCAAAATTGAAATAACCTGCACCCTTACAACAAAAAACTTAATGAAATGCTGTGTTGAGGATACAGGAATTGGAATCGAAGAAACAGCAATGAAAAACACGTTTAGGTTTATGAAAACCTCTAATGTCCCCAACCTCGGCCCAAAAGGAAACGGAATTGGCCTTTATATATCAAATCTTTTAAGCAGACAGCTTGGAAATAAGTCTATTAAAGTTCAGTCCAATATCGGAAAAGGGTCAGCCTTTTACTTTAAAGTCGACATTTTTGAAGAAAGTTTGCCAAGTGAAATTCTTTATAGAATAGAGTCAAATGACAGTGAAAATGTTTTACCTTTCAGAATAGGGAAATTTTATTCCAAAAAAGAAGAGAGAAAGGACGTTTTGATTGTTGACGATATGGAATTCAATTTGGAGGTCTTGGGTTCAATATTGAAAAGTGGGGAAGTTAATTATGATGAAGCGTCTAATGGAAAAGAAGCGGTTGAGAAGGTAATAGAAAAAGACTGTGTGGACAAACCGTATAAATTGATTGTGATGGACTGTGAAATGCCTGAAATGAACGGGTGGGAAGCTTCGAGGTATATTAATCAACTGTATAGGCAAGGCAAGATTAAATATTTACCACAGATAGTTGGGCATTCAGCTTACTGCTCAGATGATGACATAAAGCTGTGCTACCAAAGTGGCATGGTTGAGTTTTTACCAAAGCCTTGCTCTCCTGAGAAAATTCTAAGTACTCTTACTCCCCCCTCCGTGAGCGAGCAAAACCATTGGAAAAATCCATAATTTTTGTCCAAAAGCCCATCCTCCGTGAGCGAACAAATTTTTTTATGAAAAAGCATTTTGAAATATAAGTGATAATTATAATGAAATCTCTAGCTAATTATGCTTAAAAAATTGAATTTTGAAACATAAATTTTTACAAATTGGGAATTTTTTTAAATTTTGAAAAAAAAATTAACACCCCATGCGGAGCGAACAAAATTTTTATGCTCGCTCCCTCAGGGGTAGTTAAGAAATTTTATATGTAATAAATGTAATTTTTGTAATATTTAATATTCAGCATTTTTATATTTTTATTATATAATTTTAAGCGTAATAGAGATACATTGATATATAAAAATTTATAAAAGAATTTAGAATTTCAAGGATCTTTAAGTATTATTTTAATCCTTTCATCAATAATTAGATTATCTATCTATAAGACTTATTAGTACTCAAGTATCTATTAGCCTTTAGAGTTTTAAGCTTGCTTTAACAATTTCAAAAAAAATTTTTTTAGGTTTATTAATAACTATACAAGGCTAAAATTTCAGTTTTGGCTATGCAATCTTTATCACATATCTGTCTAGTGAAAATTTAATAGTAATTTAATTAGGTAATTAATCGCGATTGAAAGTAACTACTAGCATATGTCATTAAATTAAATAATTTATGATCATAATTATCAAACTTATGAATATTAAGCTTAATTCTGAAGGATTTTTTGATTTTTAACTCTTAATTCTTTCCCTTGGTCAGCGAATATGCATAAAAATGGTGAAATGTGTCAGCCTGCCCTCTTGGCGAAAATTCAGACCTTAAGGCTACTGCGAACTTGGACAGATTCCAAGAAACAAGCACAGCCTCACCAAATTTGTGTCCGGGTAAGCTTTGGCTGCTTTCCTTTAGTTTGGAAAAGGAGGTGGACCCTTGGGCATTCTCTACCTAGAAGCCGGGGTTTTGGACCAGGCCATAGTGGAACAATCTTTTTGCTGCAGCTGCTAAAGAAAGGCACTCTGACATGCGATAAGCTAATCCCTGGAATCAAACTACTCTTAATCGTCTGTTGCAGGTCCGCAGAAATCCATAAGCTGTACACTTAAAACTTAAACCTCAAGACAAGGAGAAACAACTGTGCTAGCTAATGCCGGATCTGCTGGGCAGTTTATCACAAAACAAATACCTTCAAACAGAACTTCTTTGATAACTGCATCACCAATGTGGCTAACGCTTGTCTTTTATACTTCTAGTCACTTGGCACCCATGAGACGCTCAGTACAGGGGGGTCTTTCTAACTGTCGAGACTCAAGTAAGACTGGCACAGGCCATAGTCTCTGAGGAGATCATTGCTGTCGGAGCTCGGGAAACGCTGCTAGCCCTGACGAGCAAGGGTCCAGTGATCTAAAGTGTGCGGAGGCATAAAATCTGGAATGCCTAAGACTCTAAAATTTAATTTAATCCCTTGGCCAGCGAAAAAAATTTTGGCTCATAAAGGAGGGTGTTATTTTATATATAAAATAAATTTTTTTTGGATTTTAAAAATCCAAATTGGTAAACGTTTCAAGTAAAAATCTAATTAATTTATCTTAACTTTTCAAAGATTTTATATAATTTAATTAAGATTTATATATTGTAGCTATAAATGCATGTTTCATTATAATTTATTATAATACTTTTTAAAGAAATAGGATTTTGCCTTCTAATCAAGTGGGGAAAACTAGTCCATAAATTTTAAATTATCATGTAATATTTACTGACTTATTTATCAAAGGATCTGAATAAAATGGAAGAATCTCAAGTAGCTTGGTGGGAAGAAGAATGTGAAGCAATTTACAAACTATTGCAAAAGTTTAGTTTAGTTATGGCATTTTTTGCTATAGTTGTATGACCTCTATTTGTTTTTCTAGGCGCTTCTGAATATTTTAGTGACACTTTAAAGCTTAGTTCAATAATGAATATTATCTGAGCACCAGTTATATGATTTTCATATAACCACAAATCTAGCTATAAAGCTTTGCTGTCAATTGTGTACTCTGAATATCTTACTCAGATTTAAATTTAAAAAATATATAATATCAAAGCAAAATCATCTAAAAATTCATATATAAATTAAATGATTTTTGAAATTTTTTAAAAGTTATTGATAAAATTAACCAAGTCAATGCCCCACTATTTAAATAGCATTCTACTTGCACTCCTTCCCTTTAAGGTTTTTTACTATTTATATAAAATTTCCATTGAAATTAAAATTTTGTTCCAAATTTTAAAGAGGGCTAATATTCCAAAAAGTGAAAATTTACCAATATTAGTCCAAATTTAAGGAGGAGGTTAATATCCTTTCCGTCTCTTTGTCTCATAATGATTTAAAGGATGAGAAACTGATACTATTGCTATTGACGTTTTTGGTGTGCTTAATTTTTCAATTTTCAATGCTAAAGCACATTGTTGCCTTCAATGTTATGGTGATCAAATACCTTTATATGTGGTATATATGCTTGGGTAAAACTTATAGCTATTTTTGGAGCTAAAGAGGCATAGAAACCTAGCTGCTGGCACTTCAGCTCTATGCTAGCTAGACATTATTAGTTTGACAAAACGAGCCAATAGGCATAGAATTCCAATCAAGCAAGCAAGCTAATGAGCAAATTGGCTTGGCTTTCTGAGCCCTTTTTAAGAGCCATAAGTCTCCAGAGGTATACATGAACAAATGTTTAAGAGTTCAGAAAATGTCTGATATAGGCATTCCTCGTATTTAATAGCAATGGCCGTTATAATCTTGAACCTATTATCTTTATACTGAAGAAATGTCTCTTTTGAAAGATTTTTGTATAGGAGTGAATTAGAGCACTCAAAGAATCGACTAAATATTATTACAGAGTCGTTTTCTGATGGCATTTTGATTATTTCTCAGCGCATGAAAATCGAGTTTTATAATCTTTGTGTTCTTCAAAAATTGAGATCTGCTCCAGACACGTTGTTAGCTATGATAAGCTCTATAGTATTCTGTGAAAAGAAAAAGGTCTCCAATTTTACTTCGTCAAATTTCTTACTCTTCTATACATTTTCAAATCTATAACAAGATACTTATATTTTTTTTGAAATATAAAAAAGGGCTGCAAATTGACAATTGGAACACTCCACAAGTGGAATCCTTATAAATACTGCAAAAATGCAATAGCCTTTTAATGATGGTTATAGAAACTTATATAATTTTCTAAAACAGGGACTAACCAATTAGGTTTATTAAAACCTTGCAATTACTCCAAACAAAATTTCTTGAAAAATCATTTAACATATTAAAAAATAATATTAGATAGCAAATGAAGGTGTTAGTAGATGAAATTTCTTATACTGAATTATTGAGAATTCAAATATAAATATCTGTATCTGCACTTTAAAGTAATATAACTTAAAAGATATATCTTCTTAGCAGCACACATAATGAAGAAATAACACTTGGCTTGACTTCTGGGAATTTAGAATGAAAAGCTCTTCACATGATTTGGGAAAATAACCCAGCCCTATTCATAACTATAAGAGATGTGACCGACTCTGTCGAGCTTGAAAAAAAAGCTGCCTGTGATCAGATGAAAACTCTATTACTCCGTTCAGTTTCGCACGAACTCAGAACTCCTTTAAATTCACTTATACATTTTACCAATAAATTATTACAAAGTAGCCATATTTTGAATGCTGAAGACATAAAGCAGCTGAAGATTATTTCTATTTCAAGTACATTAATGCTTTCTTTAATAAACGACTTGCTTGATTATTCAAAGATACTAACAGGCGTTTTTTCGATCCATAAAACACAATGCAATTTAAAAGAATTAATCAAAAGCTCTTGCAGCCTTTTTGAATACCAAGCGGCTAAAAAGAATTTGTACATTAGTTTTAGAATAGATAAGGATTTGCCAGATATGATTTTCACCGATTCTTTAGATTCCTTTCTTGATTAGAACAAAAAGATCTTGCTCACTAGCCAAAAGGAATGATTTTATTTTTAATAATTATATGCAATATTTTCACCAAATAATAAAATAGATATAGATAATTCCTGGGGATAGCGCGGAATACGCTATCCCCAGGACCAACCGGGATCGGATTCACACATGGAACGGGAGTTCCATGTGTGGATCCATTTTTTACATGTGAGATATTTACTTTCACGTGTGAAAAATGGATCCACACATGGAACCCTCGTTCCATGTGGGGTTGGTCCTGGGGATAGCGTATTCCGCGCTATCCCCAGGAATTTCTATATTTGAAAATTTAATTTATAAATTTTATGTTTTAAAATGGAAAAGTTTAATTTAATATAATTAGCTCGAAATATTATTAAATTTATATACAAAATTATTGTTTATAAACATTTTTTGCTCTTCTAAAGTTAGAGATTTTACTAATAGTTTGCTCATTATTCAAGGTATTGGATTAAGAATTAGTCAAATTATTTTGAATTTACTAACTCCCTATTTATTTAATAAAAAAATTAATCTATAATAATATATAACAAAACTATTTATATTTAATGATAGCATTAATTTTCACGAAAATTGCTGTTTTTATCTTCTGTAATACAGATGTGGGTAAGAAATGCCTTTAAATTTACCCAGGAAGGAAAAATTGAGGTCATTTGTCTTAAAACAGCAAAAAATACGATGAAATGCTGTGTTGAAGACACCGGGTCTGGCGTTAGCTTAGAAGAGATAAGAAAAATGATAAAAGAAATCGACCCTTTAAATATTCCTAATCTTGGGCCAAGAGGGCATGGATTTGGCCTATATATATCAAATCTATTGATTAATCAATTAGATGGAAACTCCATAAAAGTAAAATGCAATTCTGGAAAAGGCTCAATTTTTTATTTCAATATTAACATTTACGAGGACAAGCCTTTAAGCCTGTCCATTGAAAATACCGAAACATGCACCAATGAGCGTATTTTACCTATAACAATATCAAGCTATGCTCATTCAAAAGGCTTTAAAAAAGACATTCTTATTGTGGACGATTTAGAATTTAATTTAGAAGTGTTAGGATCAACATTAAAATCTTATGATTTTGAATACGATGAAGCGAATAATGGAAGAATAGCTGTGGAAAAAATATCGTTATTTGCAGATTTTTGAACTTTACCACCTAAGTGTGGAATCTTTTCCGTGTGTGAAAAGAGGATTCCACATGTGAAGCCCTTTTGATTTCAAATGTGGAATCCTCTTTTCACACACGGAAAAGATTCCACACTTAGGTGGTAAAGTTCAAAAATCTGCAAATAGCGATAATAAGAAAGGATGCCTCTGATTGACCATATAAAGTTGTTGTCATGGATTGCGAAATGCCTGAAATGACTGGATGAGAAGCATCGTCTTATATTGATCAGCAGTACAGACAAGGGAAAATTCAGCATCTTCCTTATATAATAGGGTACTCTGCATATTGCTCGGAAGAAGATATAAAACTATGCTATCAGTGTGGAATGATAGACTTTTTGCCAAAACCTTGCTCTACAGAAAAAATTATCGAAGCCATTAAAAAATTTATATAAATTTAATTATTTTTTTATTGATAAGAAATCCAACAACTCTTTATTTTTTTCACTAATGATATATCAGAAGCAATTAGCTTACGCTTCATCAACGATCACTCTAGACAGGCTAAATGTTCTTCTTTTGAATCATCATACAAATGTCTTATATCCCAGAATTTTATTGTCATATCTTCGCTGCCAGATATAATCTTTTTGCCGATAGAGAAAAATCAATGGAGTTGATAATTCCCAAATGCCCTTTCAGAATATAAACCAACATTCTTTTTTCAAAATTTCGCAAGTCAATAGTAAAATTCAAATTTATTGCAGTTAGCAAAGATCCACAAGTAGAATATTACTTGTGAGTAGCATAGAGTGCTTAATCAGTAAACCTAATTTCTTCTTCTGGAGAGTTTATATGGCAAACAGTAACCCAACTGTATGGATTTGTCATAAAGGCAAGGTAATTTTCATAGGGTGCAAAATTAATTAAGGCTAAACGGAGATTAGACAATTCATTTGACTTTATTTGAATCTGGGAAATAAATGTGTAAACTCTGGGTTAATATAAATTATATCTATTAATTAGTCTGACTATTATTATAAATGTATTAAGAATAATCCAATCCTTTTTAGACACTTTTATTTAACATTTCCAAACAAATATTAATATAGGCACTTATTCCACCCCTTTAAATTGGAACAAAATTCCTGTTCCAAATTAAAGGGGGCTAATTTTTTTAAAAATATTTTGGATTCTATAAAATAAAGGGGCTAATCCTAAAAGATTCTGAGCAAGTATGAGGGGAACGAAAGTACAACCATGCAGAGATGGTCTCTTGGTTTTGAAGATGTGGAAAAATAAGGAAAATTAATCTGGTTAGATTAAATCTTTTTGAATCCTCATGTGGGCAAATTTTATCATTCACTAAGGATGGCTACATTTTAATTTTATTGGCTTGAGGATTTTGAAATTTCAATAATTTAAAATGAAGTAAATTATTTAAAAGAAAGTTGAAATATCCATAATTATTACCTAAATTAGATTTTTATTATGCTTTACTCCTTATGGGAGAGTAAGAAAATTTCATGCAGCCAGAATTCTGTATAAAAAAAATTTGTAAAAATATTTATAATTCTGTTAAATATTAATATTTCTGAAAATTCATTATCTGTCTCATTGCGTCTCCGTCCATTTTGGCAGCTGCTACAGACTTTCAGCTATTTTTAAAAGTAGAACTTTACTTTTTATCTGAAAAATATGAATAGCCTATATTTTATTAAATATCTTACACAATATTAAAAATGTCAGATAGGGATAGGTCCTAGCTCCTGACGCAAACAAGATGAACCAATAAACCGAGCTTAGTGAGAGAAAATCAAGCTTCTTGAGAGTCTCGGCTTGAAGAGAAGGGTCAGTGCTAAGGCTGGCACAAAATAGAGAAGTCTTAACGGGCTTATTAACTTTAACGGTTCGACGGTTAAGCCGGTTCACATACCGTTGCTCAGAGCTGTTAATTTATCTGAACCTCAAGTGAAGGGGGACTTTCAGGTCTTAATAAACGCTAAAGTAATTCTTTTAAACTTAAATATCTCACAATTCTATTGGTCGAGATTTTTTAATTGTTAACCTTATAAAATTTTCAAATCCGTGTACAAGTCTTGCATCCTTTTCTTTTTTATTATATCATAAATTTTAAATGCCTACCCTTGCCTTTTCTCTTTTTTATACCAAAATTCCTTAGATTTCTATAAAGCGACCATATAATTATTTGCGGAGCAGTCTCTTCTCTATTAATTCCTTTTTTATAGTCCATTAGCATTTTTCTGCATCAATATAAGCTTTTATGGCAAATCAAAATCATAGCCTATTCAGAAAGGCTATCGAATGACCCTTTGAAATTATTTTTTTATTCCAACCTAATTTACTAATTTTATTACAGTAGAGCTATAAATTTTTAAATGGAAATTTTACTGGTTCTTATTAGTAGCGTCCTTAGTTTTTATTACCATAACTGAGCTCTTTCAATTACGTACATATTTAATAAATATAAAAGTATTTCTATGGAGGCTATTTATACTTAATGGATTAATATTGTTCAAACATGGCTTGATAAGTTTATAGACTTATAATTTTATTGAATTTTAAATATAATAAGCATATCATCAATGGTGGGACGAAGAAGTTAACGATAAATATCAAGTCCTAAAGCGGTATTCCTACTCTTTACTTGGCTTGGCAGTGGTTTTGCTTTTCGTTTTCCTCACTGTTAATTCAAATAAGATTGAAATTGCTATACTGCACATCCCTTACTTATTTATCCATTTTGTCAGCTGCAGCCTAGTTTGGTATTTCGACAGAAAAGGCTACCTCGCTAAGTCGCTATTCTCAATCAGTTTTTCAGAATTTAACTGTTTTGTGCTGTGGAAGCAGGGCCAAAATGAATATAAATCAGAGCAACTTTTGTTTGAGATGCTATCACTGATATTCATTAACAGCTTTGAGCTCCCTTTTGTCCAGACTCGGCTAATGAAATGTGCCATTATGTCAAAACATTTATATTTATGGCATTACAGAAAATACTTACTCCCCCCCCGTGAGCAAACAAAAAAATCTTATTCGCTCACGGAGGGGACTTATTTTTTTTTTTCGAAATTTCAAAAAATCCTAATTCACAAAAATTGGAAAGCAAATATCTATTTAATTTGTAAAGTTTATGTTTTAAAACGTAATTTGTTTTGAAATTAAACAGAATTAGCTCGAGATTTCATTATAATAATTACCACTTATATATCAAAAATTTTTTCCATACAAAATTTATCTATTAAAAAAATTTTTGTTCACTTACGGAGGGTGGGTTTTTTGGGCAAAAAATAGGGATTTTTCTAAAGGTTTTGTTTGCTCACGAAGGGGGGGAGTAATAAATGAGCTCTTTTTAGATGCAAGCTACACGCCCCACATGGTATCATTCCTTATTATTTTTCTATACAATATAAATTCTTATTTCTTGAAAGCCAAATCATATGAGAGGTTTATATCAAGGAAAAATCTTGAAAATGCAGAAAGCCGATTAAGTGTTCTTTTTAACTTGATTTCTGATGGGGTTTTGGTGCTTTCTGAAAATAAAGAAGTACTATTTTCGAATCACAACTTGCCGAAGCTGCTCTGCTGCGAAATTGACTGTGTGGTTGAATTATTAGCTGAAATTGAGTTTTTAGAAGGGAAAAAATATTCTGAATTATCAGAATCAAATAAGCTTATAGATCATAAGCTAGAGATGAGTAATTGTGAGGAGGCAAAATCTAAAATAATTAATAGGAGCTAATTATTTTGCTAAAAGTAAAAAATGCTTTTAAGATAATATGGTATATAAATTTTATTAGAAATTCAACTCTCAATAGTGAAATTTTTCTGGGAGTGAGCGCAAAGCCTTCTAATCTTATATGAAGAGGGAAAAAAGTTATATGAGAAAAGCAGCAGAGCATTTTAATTACAGTTAGAGATGCAAGCGCTTTAATTCAATTTGAAAAGGCTCGCTCAGAAAATATGCTTACTCCCCCTTCCGTCAGCGAACAAAACTATTGGAAAAATCCCTATTTTTGGGTCAAACCCACCCTTGGCCAGCGAACAAAAAAATTATTTTAATGTAAATTTTTTATGAAAAAAAATATTTTGATATATAAGTGATAATTATTAAAACCTGATCCCTGTTTTGGATCGGCCTCCATGACATCTCTTGAGTCAGATGGGTTTGCTTGCAAAGTTAACTACCCTGATGGCAAACCCTCTTGTGATTGATTGAAGCTTTGCAACCGGAGGAGCTAACTTTGACAGCAAACGTATGCTCGTCAACTTATCATCTGGCATCGGGAGATGTCAGATAAGCCCTATCCAAAGCAGGGATCAGACTATATAATGAAATCTCTTTAATTTTTATTTCTACTGGCTCTTTTTTTAAAATTTGAAAAAAAAAAAATTATTATATATAAATTTTTAATAATATTTTAAAAATATTTACGCTCACGGATAGAAATAGTTAAGAATATTTTATTAAGATCAGTAACTCATGAATTGAGAACTCCTATTAACGCAATCTCATTTATAGTCGAAGAATTAATGCGCGATCATAAAATCTCTGAAGCTCCAGAACACCTTGAAAAGCTGAAAATAGTTTCAGTGTCAGCCAAACTTTTGATTTCTCTTGTAAACGATTTATTGGACTACTCTAAAATGATAGCAGGGGCTTTTACTGTCCAAAAGAGTAAACCCAAGCTTCATGATATCATTAGCGGCTGCTTACAACTTATAAGAATTCAAGCAGAGAAAAAAGATCAGATTAAGATTTTATACGACTATAGCGGAATAAACCAATAATCGCTTGGCTGTCTGACTCCACAAAGCCAACCTCTATAAACCTTGGAATTCAAATGAGGAAAATGGAAAGCTGCCCTTTTTGGATTTCTACCTTTAATTACCTGCCCAAAGGATTAACTCCTAGGGCAGAGTCATCGTCTGGGAGATGACTCGATGACCAGATAAGATAAGCCTATCTGGTAGCTGAAAACCTGTCTAGCCTCAGTAGGAATAGGAAAATCTTCGGGAGAAACTAAATTTCCTCTTCAGCAACGCTTCGAATGGCCTACTACTTCAAAGGAGATATAGGTTATATTGTCAGCTTTACCAGGATGGAGCCTATCTGCTCCATAGGTCTGCTAACTTTACTATATTATTTCTTTGACGAGAAAAAAGGAATTCAAGTTCTTGTAAGAATTGATCCAAAATTGCCTGAATATGTATATACGGATGCTTTGAGATTAAGTCAGATTCTGCTAAATCTCTTAAGTAATGCACTAAAATTTACAATTAAAGGAAGGGTTGAGCTTGTATGTCTGCTTGACACAAATTCAAAGCTCAAAATAATGGTAAACGACACAGGAATTGGAATCAGTGAGTCGAGGAAACAATGGATTTTCCAAGAATTTCATTCAGATATAAGCTTAAATATAAACCCAGATGGCTGTGGTCTTGGCCTTGTAATTTCAAATAAAATTGTCCAAGAACTTGGAGGAAATCCTATTGAAGTCATCTCAAAGACAGGAAAAGGCTCATCTTTTATTTTCTCAATAGACATTTTTGAAACTCCTCCCAATCTTCAGATACTTTCTGATGATTATTTTTCAGACTCTCAGGTTTGACTTGACGAGTGCTTAACTGCCTCAATTGCTGATTTTGAGTCTGCTATAGCAGAAAATAAAAATGCACAAGTTTTGATTGCAGACGATAATGACTTTAATAGGATGATTTTAGGGACTCTTCTTAAACGCAATAATGTTAATTATAATGAAGCATGTACAGGATTAGAATTAATCAAGAAAGTACAAGAAAGTGATTCTATGGGTAGAGCTTATAAGGTTGTAGTTGTTGATGGAAGCATGCCTGACTCCCCCTTTAAATGGAACAAAAAAATTGTTCCAATTTAAAAGGGGGTTAAATTTTGTTATAAAAAAAATTATCGAATTAGATTAATAAATTTATTTAATAAAATGCTATTTCTTCTTTATCCTTTAAAAACAAGCAAGATATCGCTAAATTTTTATTTTTAGTTAATACGCCTCTATTAATTGGTATCAAAACTATTTACACAAAAATTATTATTTTTATTGATAAAAAAAATTAAAAAAAAATTTAGAAAATTTATCAATCACACTGCTAATTTTGTTTAAATAAAGTGCTCTTTATACTTTATTCTTTAAATTAAAGCAAGAACTAACTCCCCCCCCCCTCCGTGAGTGAACAAAAAAATTTTGTTCACTCACGGAGGGGGGTTAATTTTTTTTTTTCGAAATTTAAAAAAAATCCTAATTCGCAAAAATTGGAAAGCAAATATTTAATTCAATTTGCAAAATTTATGTTTTAAAAAAGCAATTCGTTTAAAATTAAACAGAATTAACTCTAGATTTCATTATACTAATTATCATTTTATATATTAAAATTTTTTTTCCATAAAAAATTTTTCTATTAAAAAAAATTTTTGTTCACTCGCAGAGGGTGGTTTTTTGTGCAAAAAATAGCGATTTTTCTAATGGTTTTGTTCACTCACGGAGGGGGGGAGTAAGTAAATTTTTCAATTTTTGCAAAGAATTCGCATTGAATTTACAGCAAAATTATTTAATAAAAATATTATTTTTAAAAATTTAGCAGTTAAGGATAAAAATTATATTAAATAAGATGCTCTTTATACTCTCTTTTTGAAAAAAGAGCAAGATATAACTAAATTTTTAATTTTAGTTAAGAAGAAACATTTAATTTATATCAAAACTGTTTACATAAAAAGTATGATTTTTATCTATAAAATTTTGTATTATAAAATTAAATTTTGTTCCATTTAAAGGAGGCTAATTACCAAAAAAATTGAAATTCTATGATATTTTGTTCCAATTTAAAGGTGGGAAGTGAGCTAAATGGTTGGGAAGCTACTCGGAAAGTGATAGAGATGTACTTTAATGGAGAAATTAAATTTTTGCCTGCGATGATCGGATATACCGCATTTAGTTCTGATAGTGATATTAGGCTATGCTTGGAATCTGGGATGGAAGAAGTACTGACTAAGCCATGCTCTCCTGAAATACTCACACAAACAATTCTGAAATATCTTTATAAATAAAAATTTATTTTCCATTCAGATATTAAAACTAATAAAATAATACTAATCTATTATTCTATTCTTTTTCTTAATTCTGAAATCATCAAATATATAAGCCTCAGTGGTCTGAGCTGATGGAGTATTATTTTCAATCTCCCTCGGCTCAACTGCATTTCTAAGCTTCTCAATATTCCCAACAATCCTATGAAACCGACGATAATGTTTCCATTTCTTTATTGCGAAATTCTGAATTTCCTCAGTTTTCCCCATAAGGGTCCCACCAATTTGTATGATCCCAAACACAGACCCAAGTAAAGACCCAAGTAGCAAAAAAAATGTCTCTGATAACAACCTTTTGGTGACCAAAACCACATCTCCTATATCAAGACTGATAGAAACCCTTACAGAGTCTTCAAAATTTATCCTAAATAACTTTTACTCATCTGTAGGCAGTGCTGACCCTGCAGTCGGCGAATGCGGCAAAGACACGTGGTACCCAGTTTGATTACGATTTCACCTAGAAACATCTGAAAGAAAAACAGACGGTGTCATCGAAAACGTAAATTTTGAAGCATTTTGGCCTCTGAATACCAAAGAAGTACTAGTAGGTGCGATATCAATTTTAATAGAGCTTAGCTCATCTGGGATTGAAGACGTTGACGAAATATTGACTGAAATAAAGCTTGCATAACTTCGTGGCTCTAGCATTGATAAATTAATAGCTGCCCCAACCCCTAGATCACATCCATGGCACACAAAAGTAACGTGACAGTCTCTTCCCACCAATGAACAGTCAGGCCCTATCAGTTTTCCTTCAATATCTGCATAGCTGTACAATAAATCTGCCACACAAGAGTCATTACTGACACAGTTTCCTCCATAGTAAAAAAAAGTGATATTAATATAAATATCCCCAGGAAAGGCTGAATAGTCATTTTCTAATGAGACCAAAGGCTCAAGCATTTTTTCTTCAATTATGTTATTTGTGATATAAATTGTGGCTCCTTGTAAGGCATATAAAAATGCTAAAAGAAGAAAAATGACACTGAAAAGGCCGCCAAGTGAGGTTCGTCGCTTAATTATGGGGTGGTTGTCTTTGGTTTCGTGGTTTCTTGAATAGGAGTCAAGGCGCGGCATAGAGTCTCGTATAGGTTTGTGACAAATTAGGAGGAGTGTCAATATAGTAGAGATGGAAATAACGATATATAAGGTGTAGCTGAAAACTTGGTCACTCGTACTGGAACTTTCGCTGAATAAAAGAGGCTGGATGCTCACAAAATCGATTCGGTCTTCTATATGTAGAGGAGAAGAGGTGCCTGCTGGACAGTACATGCTTGCTGGGCAGTTATCGCAGTATTTTGAGCCTTCACTAGGTGCGTAAGACCCATAAGGGCACGGATAGCACTCGTCATGAGTTCTGGCTCCTTTAAAAGTATTATAAGTTCCTTTTGGGCATTTTTTGCACTCAGTTGTCCCAAAACTGTCTGCGTAATGCCCTTCTGGGCATGGCTTGCATTTTTCTCCATATGTTCCATTGCTGCAAGGTCACGCAAAATTGTCTTCAGAGCTTTGGCTAATTTCAAATAAAAATTGTTTTGGTATATAATTTTGGACCAGGCTTGAAATAGTATCCCCGCCTCCAAATAAATATAGAGACTGTCCAAAATAAGTCATTTCAGTTGCATAGGTAGGCTCTTCGACTTTTCCAATTTTAATCGGCTCTGGGTTATTGTCGAGATCTATCATAAAAATGTTATCAAAAGCTTCAAAATTCCACTGTTCTCCACCTAAAATGACTAAGTAATTGTCAATATTTACTCCTCCAGCCCCAGATAAGGCAAATGAGCCATATCCTGCATCCATGACAAGCTGCCATTCCTCATTTTTTAAATCATATCTGCTTATAATCGATTTTGGGACTCCATCTTCCCCTTCTCCAGTGGCTATATAAAAATAATAAACCTTATTTATATTCCTAATAAAGCATTTCGTATAAGCTAGCTTTGGGACTTGTTCTGATAATCCATCATCCAAAAGCACATATGAGTTATCAATAGTGTCAAACCTCCACAGCTCATTAGAATACCCTGACATTGTATGTCCTCCAAAAATATATATAAAAGAGTCAGCTTGTGCCATACAGACTCCATGCCTTTCAGTTGGGTATTTACTAGAAGAAGTAGTCACTTCTCTCCATGTATTTGCTAAAACTGTATATTCGTACATATCATTTAAATAGCCATCATCATTTATCCCTCCAAAGATGACATAAGTGTCTGCAGATGAGCAACTGCCATGCCTTGCTCTTGCAGGTGGCTTGTCACCAGTGGTAGAAAGCTTGGCCCATGTATTAGTTTCTAGCTCAAATTTCCACATATCATTCAGGCTGTATAGAAGTTACTATTTTTTGTCGCTGTTTATTCCGCCAAAAATCCATAAAGAAGTGTGGATTGTGTGCATTGAGTGCATCATTCTGGCTTCTGGGCCATGAAGTTCAGCGGAAACTAAGGTATAGGCTATAGATGAGGCAGAAAGATCAATTGAGGTAAGAGAGTTGTTTATGCCGGATGCTGAGGTGCCGCCGAAGGAATAAATTGTAGAGCCTGCTGTAGTAATAGAGCCACTATCAGTGGCGATGTCGTCTGGGTCTTCAAAATTGACTTTTTCTCATAAGCTGAGAGTTGCTATAATATATCATATTTAGTGGTTTTTATAGTAATTGGCTATTATCTTGATTTATCATTCAGAATATGCAAAATCCTATATTTTCATAGTATTAATTTCATATAATCTGGCCTAAATTAATTTTTCAAATATCAAAAATAGAATTTCCAGTCGTAAAATCCTCCCCATTATTTATAAACAAATAGTCACCTATCACACACAAAAAATGCTGAAATCTCCCATGTGGAGTTTGCCCTGAAACACTAATCTGTGTCCATTTTTCAGAATCCAAGTCAAAAACATGCAATTTTGTATCCTGCAGCTCTGTAGAAAATCTGCTTAATCCTCCTCATACATATAACTTATCCTTATAATACCCAATTCCAGCACTTTCAGTTGGCTGTGGTGGACTCCCTGCAGTTGGCTTTTTTGTTCATGTAAAATCACTCCCATTAAGACTACATAATTTTTACATATATAAGCTGTTATCTATTGCTGTAGGAGTCAGACCTCCGAAAATTGCATAGTAGTTCTTTCCTCCTCTTGAATATTCCACATGTGCTGTATATGCCCTTGGGCCTGGATCATCCCCATTTCTAGATAATTGTTGTCAGCTGTTTTCTATTAAGCTATAGCTTCAAAAATCCCCAGCAGGGCCTGCACGTGTCCTCCCTCCATATAGAAGTACTTGTTGGTTAATGTCATCATAAAACATTGCAGATGCTGCTCTTTCGTCTGGGACTGTAGATAAATAAGGCAAAATTAAGCTTCATCTCATATGTGATAAAGAAAATGAAGCGAGGTCGTTAGAATATGACCCGTCTGTAGATTGGCCTCCGAAATTAACAAGCTGGTTTTTTGAGGAATCGTAAATCATATTTCCGAGCTTTCGGCTGGGCGGAGGGACACCTGTGGAAGGGAGTAGAGAAATTTGGAGAGAAAGCCCGAGGAAGAGGAAGTTTTGAAATAAAATCAGGATATAGACCATATAGTAGTTATTTTTATTTCGTCCATATAAAATTGATTTTGATTTGGGCTAGGAGATTTTCTAGAAAAAATTAAAAACAGTGATTGTCGAGAGAGAAATGCTGAGTTTCAGCGGTAAATTATATATAATAATAATAATAATAAAAACAGTGATGATTTGGAAGAGTTAAGATTTGTAGCTTTGAAAATGAACAGATTAAAGCAAATTATAACTGTTTGAAATATTTGGTGGTAAAGAAAAATGCCACGTTCTTGATAATATCGCAAGTTTTAATTCTAATGTAATGAGAAATGCCATTTAATTACTGAATTGAAGTATTCCATTAAATAACTCTGGTATATAATTAAATTAAACCTAAAGGAATAACATTGCTCTAATAATTTTATAGCTAAAATTAAAATCAACAGCAATTTGTCTGTGCTTTATATTTAATTTAAGTTGAATTTTACCATTTTATTATATCTTTTATGTATATAAATTAAACTTTTATCTACATCAAAATGTTTTATGTTAAAAAAGCCATTGGGAACTCCTTCTCTAATTTAAGTAAAATTTTTCAAATATAAGAGAAGAATATATTATAATCATCCTGGAGCTAATTCTATTAAAGCTAAGGAGCCTGTTCCGCAAAAGATCAATTTTATAAATGAAATATAGGTTTTCAATTTAATATTTCAATTTGGTATTTTGAATAAAACAATTTATTGTCCTCTAATGAGAAAAATTTTGATCATTCTTGAAAGAACAGCAAGCAAAAATTGCTTTTTAACCTCGCTTTTAGTTTTATTCTACCGAAAAGCTATTTAATTTTCTCTGCTAAATATTAATAAGCTAACACATAAATTATTTAAAAATAATATCAAAAAAAATTATAATTTTTAATCATAATAAATACAGCCTTATTAATTATAAATATCTTGTATAATCAGTTCATTTCATGATTTTAAGAAAATTTTTAAAGTTAAGCTTCTTTCTTATACCAAAAATTTTATTTATAAATCTCAAAATTAATAATTATTATTTCATCACATTTTTCTCTTTTAATAATTATTTAATACTTTCTCACTCCCTCATCCGTGAGGAAACAAAAAATTATGTTCGCTCACAGAGGGAGGTTATAAATTTTATAGGTTTTTTTTTCAGAATTTAAAAAATCCAATTCGAATAATTTTAAAGCTAATATTAATTTATTTTGTAAAATCTAGGTTTTAAAATGTAAATTGTTTAAAAAAATAAATAGAACTAGTTAGATATCCCACTATAATAATTATCACTTATATATCAATTTTTTCCCTATAAAATATATTTTTGCATTAAAAAGTTCTTGATTTTACCAAAAATAGAATTTTTCCAATGATTTTTGTTCGCTCACAGGGGGAGTCAGTAAAGATTGACTAACAATCTTTAGCATCTGTTCTAAGTTCTTCTTAGATTTCGTACTTATCTCTATATAAATCGCATTTAGCTCTTTCGCTTTATTAGCAGCTTGCTCATATGAAACTTCTCGCTGATACACAGTATCAGTTTTGGTCCCAACCAGAAAAATCATGATATTTTCCAGCGAGCGCAACGAGGTGGGTCCTTGAATTTGATTGAATGAGCTCATTGAATTTGTATCAAAAAGCATCAAAACAGCTTGAGACACCCCAATCCATGGGGTCGCAAAGGACTGGAAATAATTATTTCCGATGAGATCTAAAAAAAAGAGCCTTATCAGTCGTCGCTTGGTTGCTGAGCACAGTGTGGTTTGGATCTCTTGTGTCATTGTTGGCTGATGTTCTTCTATGAACATGTCTTTTACAAGCCTTGCTACAAGAGCTGTCTTCCCAACTTGTGAACAGCCGATTACAGCTATAAAAAATCCTGACTTTGACTTGTCCATACGGTTATAGTTTTGTGGCACTTCTCCTGAAATTTTTATTTATTCCATTTTCTAAGATGTCATTGGATCTGCTTTGAAAACACTTTGGCAAGCTTTAAGAAGTATTAAATTCTTCTTTTCCTGCTTTTATTGCTTGAGAATTATTCTTTTTACTGCATAAATGCATTTATTTTACATAAAATCAGATCATGTAGTTGTTTTTCCTGATTTTGATAGCTCCAAGCTAAACAGAAGCTCCTCTTTCATTAAAACTACATCATTTAAGTTTCTTTTTAACTAAGTCCCCCCCCCCCCTCCGTGAGCGAACAAAAAAATTTTGTTCACTCACGGAGGGGGGTTAATTTTTTTTTTTTAAAAACAATTTATATATAAATTTTATAAAAAAAATATTTTTTTCGAAATTTAAAAAAAATCCTAATTTGCAAAAATTGGGAAGCAAATACTTATCTAAGTGCTTGGGCGATTTCTCTTTGCTCCACTTCAGCTAATGAACAAGCTTGTACTTCTCTATGAATTCCTGCAAATCTTCTTTTCAAGTTTTCTTTTGATGAAGCGTAAATCATCTTATTTTTGACTGTGGAATTATCAGGTGACCAATGAATAAAAACAATTTTCTTTGATGTAATTCCATCGTCTGCAGTATAATCAAAGTCATAGACAGCAAAGCGAGGCTCATTTTGTGGGAGGCTGTGGACAAAGTCTTGATAAGTTGATTCCAATTCTCCAACCCTCTCAACAATGACGTTGGATTGACCTTCGACCTTATAGGTGACAAACTTGATATCTTTGGTCAACTTCAAGCGGTTGTAAGCTACGACACAAGCATCATCAACGTTTAGATTAGCGTCCACCATTTTATCGCCAGATTATTATACAGAGAAAAGCTTTAATACCTGAATTAGTTTCCAAAAAAATAATCAAATTTATAGGTATAAAGATGATATTGCTTTATAAAAAATTTATATAAAAAATTCAGAGATTTTGTATCCTTAATTTAAAAATTTTGATTTTGTCAATTTAAATATAATAATAAGCTATTTATAAAGGAGCTATATTAATTAAATGATGATGACCACTGACTGACTAACTGTAATCAAAAAATTGATAAAAAATGAGATATATAGCATTAGCAAGAAAAAGCGGTCTATAGGCTAACTGAAGAAGCAATCTAAAAGAGTTTAATGGCTTAATTGAAAACTAATATGAATAATAAGATTTTTATAATGGAAAAATAAAATTTCAAGACTTAGCCTACTGCAAAGATGTTTCTATTATAATAAACAAACAAATTCATTCACTTTCTCACAAATGCAGATTATTATTAACACTATATCTATATTTGCTTTTATAATTTTAATTTAATTAAATCAATCAGATGAAAAAACACTCGAAAACAGTATAGAAAATGATAATGATCGTAAATCACAATAAAGAAATACTATAATTAAAACTCTTATTATGGATTATCTATTACACAAAATTATCAATGGCTTGCAACCACTTCGCAAATATAAAACCACAACAGCTTAGAAAGGTTTTGCCTAATTTAAATATAGGCCAGTGTGAAAGCTGCCAAGAGAAAAATTCTTGACTTTGCTTAAATTGCTATTCCCAAGGCTGTGGCCGCTATCAATTAGGACATGCTGAGAAGCACTCTCTTACTAAAAAGCATGCCATCGCGATTTCTACTGACTCTTATGACGTATGATGCTATTTGTGTGACGATTCTCTGTCAAATTTAGCAGAAACATTTGAAAGTGAAAGCAAAAAGGACCGAGCTTTAGAAATGATAGATGATATAAAAACTGTGCTAATGAATTTTAAAGCTAAATCTAACAAAAAGAAAGGGAGAGATGAAAAAATTCTGAACAAGCCACCAGTAGAAATAAAAAAAATCGTACAAGAAAAGAAAACGCTAAAGCCAGAAGCCAGAAAAGTGGATAATGACGAAGAAGAAATCAACCAAAACGAAGAAGAAACTAAAGAGCCTCCACGAGAAGTCGAAAAACCAAGAATTACGGTAAGAGGGCTCAATAACTTAGGCAATACTTGCTTTTTCAACTCAGCCTTACAATGTTTAAACGCGACAGTTCCTCTTGCAGAGTATTACCTTAATTCAATAGAAGAAAAAGAACTAGGAGGGATCAATATGATTTTTGCTCAGACCTTGAACGAAATGCGGTTTGGCCGTGGTCCATATAACCCAAGGCTCTTGCATTCATCAATAACAAAGCGTTTTGCTCAATTCCGAGGATATGGCCAACAAGATTCTCATGAGCTTCTGAGATCGCTACTTGATGCTTTATCGACTGAGTTCACAAAATTTCATCATGATCCTAATAATATTGTTGAGCAAACCTTTGGAAACAAGCTTATGAGCACTGTAAGATGCCTGAACTGTCAAACTGTGTCTAGAACTTTTGACCCAATTTTAGATCTCTCACTAGAAATCCCATTAAAAAAAGTTCCTATATCAGACGATGTTAATAATGAATTTACCTTGATCCCTCCAGAGCAGCTGCCTGAAATATTCCGAGACCAGCAGCTATATGAGCCTGTAGTTGGCCATTATCATGACCCAGATACTCTTTTAGGCTGCCTAGAAGATTTCATGTGCCGTGAAGACCTCAAAGACAACAAAAACCTCTACAAATGTGACGAATGCAAAAGGGAAACCCAAGCCACACGCACATTTTTATTATATGGAGCCCCAAAAGTCCTAGTTTTACACCTTAAGCGATTTTCCCACAAAGGCCGAGGATTCCAAAAAATCGGGACCCATATACGTTTTGGCTTTGACCTGGATATACACAAATTTGTGATTAAGCCTGGAGAAAACACCCGTTACAGCCTTTTTGGGGTCGTTGTACACTCAGGAAGTATGCTTGGCGGGCACTATATCGCTTTTGTAAAGCACAACAATGCCTGGTACCATTGTTCAGACACCCACGTTTCCCAAGTTTCCGAGACACAAATTGTAAAAGCTGAAGCTTATATTTTATTTTACAAGCAAAATTCAGAATAATTTGTAAAGTAAAATTCTTATGGTTCTTTTTTAAAATATGGTATATCCCTTACACTTTTTAGCTTGGGTTAAGATTTTTAGGTTATTCTAATATAAACTTGTCTTTTCTGCATGAAATATCCTAGGTAAAAGCTGGCATGGGCTATACTGATATAATAAAAAATGATTTCAGAATACCACATGGTTCATTACTGGTGCCATTCTTGTCGCTGTACATATTTACAAGATTCAGACTGTTCGAGCTTCCAATGTGCAAGGTGCCATTCAGAGCTCGTTGAAGAAATCCCTCAAAATGAGGCTCATCCAAGCAACTTTGTGCCTGACTTGGATGCACAAAATTTAAGATTGCACAATGAAAATGCAGGAAGAAGTGAGAGGATGATAGAAAATAGGAATATTGTTATTAATAATAGGATTCCGCTGCAGCCTGAAGTGATTTTTTATGCTGCTTTTGTGGATGAAGGCCAGAGCTTTAACGACCTTATTAATTTGATCACAAGACTAACCCAAGAAAGGCAAGGGTTGGTGCCTGCCAATGAAGCTACTATAAATTCATTGCCTGTTCTCCGAGGATCGGAGGTTTCAGGAGAATGCTCGATTTGTCAAGAATCGTTTAAGCCTAACGAACAAGCAAGAAAAATGCCTTGTGGGCATAATTTCCTTATCTTTAAAAAGTTAGCAGGCCATAAATAAATACATAAATAATTGCCTTTAACTAGATAAAAATGACCTTCTGCTGAGAACTTTTCTATAATAATTAACTTTTCCATAATTTCCACAATGGCTGCCTGGTGAGATGGCTACAAATCCGTAACTCTTGCCCGACCTGCAGGACTTCTACAGACCACCACAACTCTTCTAGTTCTTGTATTTAAGCTATTTTCATATAGAAAACTTATTAGGATAGTTCTTTGCATTTAGACATTAATGTGGCGAAGATTTAAGCTTCTATGATGTGTAATGAATTGGTAAGCTGAAATCCTTTCGGGCTGCCTCCACACCTATGGTCAAAGGAAAATTGATTTTGGCTTGGCTCAGAAAAATCAAAGTGCTTGATATTCTGGTCTCTGCTGAATAATATAATCTTATTTTTACTATAAACTAACTGAAAATAATAGGAAAAAGGATATCCAAAGCTGCAGCCCTGATAATCATAGTAGGAGTCACTATGCTTTCAAAACTACCAAAATCAGCTTCACTTGACCTTGGAGAGGATGGGCAGGAAGTTAAAGAGTCTTCTCTGGCGTCATAAAGGGAGCAGAGGATGGTGGATGCGTCGTCAATTTCTGCTTCTGTTTTAGGTTTAGAGCTAGCTTCCAGCTGCTCTTCGGTGTCCTCAGAACTTTCCTCGGTGCTTCACCTTGGAGTTTCCCATTTTCCGATCTCGTATTCAGAGCTTGGATAATTTAGTAACTCACCCATAAGTTCATGGTTTTGCAGCACCTCCTTGATGGATCCATTGAACCTTTCGTCTCCCAAGCTAAACCTGTTGTAATTCCTCAGCTTTTTCCTGAGTGTGCTGTAAAAGTGGTTCTTGATGGAGTTATCAGATCTTCCTGGCAAGTGAGAAGCGATTTCCGACCACTTGTTCCCGAGGATCCTCTGGTACTTGAAAATGGTATTTTCTTCGTCCTTGGTCCATGTGTTCTTTTTGATCCCTGGGTCGAGGTGGTTGTGCCATCTTTCCCTGCATTGTTTGCCCGTTCTGGATTTGGTGTGCTTGTCTTTTGTAGAAGCTCTTTCAGTTAGCAGCTGAGCTATGAGCGACCATCGTTTAGTTCCGAATTCGGATATGCTTAATAAGAGAAACTGAGAAATGAGGGAAAATAAAATAATTAAAATACCCCCAGTTATAGTAAAAAGGTATACCAGCTCTCGGATTATGTCATCTTCCTAAATAGTGGTTACATCTTGTGTCCATGCTCTTCGCTTACTTGGTGACATTTTCATAATAAGATATGTTAACTTGTGGGAAAATTATGAAGCTTATCTGATAAAAAATTAAATAATTTGCAGGCTAAATATTAGGAAAGTCTTCTCCATAATAAAATGATAAGCTATCTCATTATTTTTTCCCCTTACAATACCTTTATAGTATAAGTCTATTGTTTTTTATTGATACTGGCTGCCAATTGTTCTACGATTTTTTCTAATTTCAATAACTCCATAATAATGTCTAACCTTAAAAGGTCCATATATGCACTTTCAGCCAAGTCTCCGTACGAAAAATCTCTTTTAAAGGCTACTTATGATGGAGACTATGACCCGCCAAAAGAAAAACACGTCCAGGCCATAATATGAGCGCTGCAAGGACAAAACCCACAGACACCGCCTGATTCTGCTTTTATGCTATTGTCCCAACGTTTAATGATCCAAAAATGGGCAGCAGTGCTTAAAGCTCTTATTATCCTGCACCGAGCAATAGACCAAGTAGGTCCTGGATACTCAGGGAAACTTGCTGAGCTGAATATGCCGATGCAGAGTTTTAATGATCCCAGCGAAAGAGGGAGTGCTCATAATCAAGTAATTCAAGATTATTATGCATATTTTTTCGCTTAATTAAGCTTAAAAATGGGTATATTTTATATAAAAAATAGAAAAAACTGACATAAAAAACCTATTAAATATGGAATATTCATAAGATCCAAAGCTATCAACCATTCTCGTAAAGGCTCTATATTAATGTCTCATCCAGCTGACCGCACCAAAATAATAGACAGGCTTGACAGCTCAGAATTGGTCAGAGAAATCGGATACCTCCTTAACGAACTTCAAAGCTTAGTCAAATCTGGGCCAAGCTTTCAGCAGGCCATAAGAAATTATCATCTCAAAGTTACCCAAAACGCAGCCTTTCTTGTCCTCCAAGACGCGAACCCTCTCTACAGGACTTTACTAATCGCCACAGACCGAATGATAGAAAAGTTTTCTACATTTGGCGGAAAAGCAGCTGCTGCTGGTTTAGAGCACTATAAAAGGTTCGAAAACTGCCAACGGATGTTGGGGCAATTTTATGAACTTTCTCATAGTTTACCGTTTACTGGGCTTACGAGTCCTGCTTTTGTGAATCGGCCTAGAGAAATTTTTGATTCTATGAAAAGGCATGCAGAAGAACATTATGGGGATGTAGATACCCCGAGTGAAGGAAATAGTGAAAGGTCAACAGAATTGTCCTATTCACCCAAAGAGCTGGAAGAGCAAAGGAGGGCGTTAGAGGAGTATGAAAGATTGAATCAGAAAAGAAATGAGGAAAGAAATAGGGTAAGTGAGCAACAGCAGAAGGTCACGCAGCAGGAGAGCGGAAAAGGAATTGAGGAGGATTTATTTATGGATGGGTTTAGACCTCCAGAAAAAAAGAATAATCAAGGGATGTATCCGGAGATTACTTACTTACTTACTTAATTATCTGGTGTTTAAGGTGTCTAGTGCCGCAGCCCAAAAGAGCCTATGGCAAAACTGATGACGTAGGCGAGCCATCTTGGCACGGGTCAGCCCCGTCCAAGCCTTCTATCAACTCCTGCTTCACCGGCCTTGCTGCACGTCTCACCCGGCGCGTTGCCGTCGCCCTTGTCGCTCGACTCAGCTCCTGCGCGTGTTCCGCCTAAGGGTCATCCTCCCGTGGGGATGTGCTGAGAGGTAAAAGCCCGAGATCTTGAGTGGACTGAGGAGTGGTTCCTTTGGTTATCCCCAAAGTTAAACCGCTGTTGCTGTCCAGAAAGTTCGCGAGTGAAAACCTAACCCTAATAATAAAATTTCCATGAGGGAGAGAAAATTAGCAAAGCTAATTTCTCTCGAACCGAATGCCATTTTATTATTGTATCCGGAGATTACAAAGGTGGATTTAGTGATGTCGAGCTTTGGACAGCCACAGGGATCAGCAGGGATGCAAGGAATGCCTGGAATGATGCCAGGGATGCAGGGGATGCCGGGACAGATGCCGGGACAAATGCCTGGACAAATGCCTGGACAAATGCCAGGACAAATGCCAGGACAAATGCCAGGACAAATGCCAGGACAAATGCCAGGACAAATGCCAGGACAAATGCCTGGACAAATGCAAGATATGAGCCAAATGATGAACCCTATGATGAACCCTATGATGAATCCTATGATGAACCCTATGATGAACCAAATGATGTTTACAGGCATGATGAACCCCATGATGAATCCTATGATGAACCCTATGATGAACCCTATGATGAACCCCATGATGAATCCTATGATGAATCCAGGCATGCAACAGTCCTCTGATCCATTTGCTCAAATTCAGCCCACTTCTGTTCCTGAGACAAGAAATAACCCTTTTAATCGTCCACAACAATTTTCAAACATCAGCAACCCCCCTTACAACAATTCTTTTCAGCAGCCTCAACAACCTCAGCAGCCTAGATCTGCAAATCCTTTTGAAAATCCTTCAAGCTCTTATAACCCTTCATTTCCTACGAATCCTACATTCCCTGTCCAATCTTCTAATCCATTTGAACCAAATCAAGCTAAGTCAGCTTCATTTGGTACGAGACCAGTCCAATCTTCTAGAGACCCATTTGGCGATTTACTCTAAAATCTTTGAAAATTAGCATAAGTTCCTTTATAAAAGATCTCTTAAGATTATATAGTAATTAATATTCTATTTATAAATTTCAGCAGTCTTTGAAAATAATTTTACTACAATTTGAAATCTTATTATACTATTTATATATAACTCCAAAAGAACTTCTTTAAAAGAGCCTAAAAGCAGCACAATTTCATTGATTCCTCATAAAGCATAACAAATACTTTAAACTTTGCTTTAATTTCCACTTAGAAGTTCAGCTCTTTTGTCTAGCCTGCCTATTATAAATCAAGAAAAGAGCTATATTAAGCCCCTCTTTTTCAATAAGATTAAGAGTTTTAACGTCTTCCAGATTTTGATGCCTCCACACACTTTCGACTAACGCCAACCTGCTTGCCATCGAGAAATTCAGCCGCTATTTGGAACTGAGATCTTTTCTAGAAGCGGGGCTTAACTGTGATCACCAAGATTTCGACGGGTTAGAAAGACGCCCACCAGCACGGCAGCGGGCGCTATGGAGGTAAAGGTTAGCCCGAACCTCCTGCCGGCCACCTTTGGGGGGAGGCTACACCCAGGGAAAAATAATGAAACCAGAAGGAAAAGACCTGCCGTTCAAAAACCTTCAGGATAATTAATCCTTGACTGAAATGGTCTCCAGCTGACTCCCGAGAGACCCCCCATACAGCATGCTCAAGGGCAATGCTAAGGGTTCAAATTAAAAAAGGCCCGGGCCTTGTTTTAGGCTATAAAGCCATTTTAGTGCCAAAAGTGGTGCGATATCTGTAAGGACATATTTCGTCACAGCCACCATACTAATTATCTTTTTTCAATAGAAATTTTTAGATGAGTGCATTCTTATTCAAAATTATGTAAGTAAAAATAAGAAAAATTCTTAAAATTTAGATTAAAAACAGTTAAGTTTTTGAATTTTATTTCTAATTACTTCCCTATAATTCGATAAGTGACCCCTAGACTTTTTAAAAATGGGTTTAGCTCGACATATTGGTGTGTTGCTGAATAATTTTATTTTGCTATCGCTCAATTATAAATATGGAATCATTTGCAATAGTTCAGAAATCTATAAGAGCATTTTTCAACCGCAACAGGTCGAAGTTTGAAAGCCAATTAGATTAAATTAGATTAGATCATGCCGTTCGCTTTCGCAAGGGCCGGGATTTGCACCCCTAAACGCTCATCATCCCTGAGGGATCCGGCGGACACCCTTCCCCGCCGCTGCAGGCGAGGCTTCGCGCACCAGTCTTGACTTCCATGGCTCCTGGAGTCTATGGGTCGAAAATCCCAGTTTCTCGTTGGACAAATACCGTCTTCATGGTCTGAAGGTCATATTGCCCAGCAGACGTCACCGACCTTGTCCTTTCCAATGGTTGTACCGGAGGAAAAACTCTAAGTCCAGGGATTAGTACCCTGGGCCCGAGGAAACCCAGCCCGACTATACATAAAGGATTACGGCCCCTTTCCACCTAAATCTCCAACACTGGGCCGTTGCCTGCTGCTGTTGAAGAAATAGGGTCGAGAGGTCGGGTGGTCTGTCGTCACCATTTTTATGTATATTTGAAGCCAATTGGAGCAAGCAAACCCAGAAATTTTTGAAGTAGAAACAGGATTTACGAAGCCTGATGCTGAAGGCTATTTTACTAATGTGCCAATCCAAGACTCTTCTGAAATTTGGACATATTTCAACCTGCTAAACTCTATTTGTCTCAATAAGTGAAGGAGAATTTGTATGGATTTGGCAGACATTTTCTCGCTGCTTGATATGCATGATTATTGCTGAATTCCTTTGTACTTACTGATTTGAAATAAAAATCCAAAGAAAGTGACTGACCAAGTCAAACAGAAAATACAAAGAGTAGCCGATGAAAATGCGCTTTTTAGATGGTGCTTTAGTGAAGAAAATGAAGATTTTGTGCAAACATATACTCATGGAGAGCGAAGAACATACTTCTTACTGTTTATGTACTTTGTGCAATTTCATAATAAAGAAATGGAATCCTGAAAGGTTTCGAATCAAAAAGTGAGTTGAATTTTGGAACAATTCATTCAATGTATCAAATCAGAATCAATTTTGCAAAGTATGGATTTAACTTTCTTTTGCTCATTTATTCATAAATTAGCAGACTGCTATCCGAATTTTCCTCTTCCAAGTTGTGCTGATTGGATTTTAATAAATCTAAGAACAAGAGAACATTTGGAATTTGCTTTTTTGGTTTTATTTAATAAAGAAGTAAGTGAAATTGAAGGAATTAGATACGATTTAGAAGACAAGATCATTTCCTTCAATCTCGACATTTCAGATAATATACTTTCACATTATTTACTCCGATATCAAAATCCAGATTCTTTTATAAACGGGATTTTAAAAAAATATTATTTAAATAAGGAAAGCATGAAGGAAAGGATGAAGGAAAGTATGGCTCGGATATTAAAATTTTTAAGTTACTATATTAAATCTGTTAACCCTAATGACGGATTAGTGCTTTTACAAAATATACATCCAAATATACTAATAGAAGAAGAAGGCATCCTCTTTGAGAAGCCACTTAAAGCAATTGTTAACTACCAGCTCACGACTCCACATAAAAATAAAAAGTTTTTGAGCCAATATTTTAAAAGTATTATTCCAAGTAGCTACAGTCTTGCTAAATGAAATATCCATTTATTTTTGCTCTATGTTTACATGAACACAAAAAATAGGCAAAAAAGAGAATTATTGGCTATACAGTATATCAAGCAATTCATAAGAAATTTCTATGCGAGTATAAATACCAGACAATTACAAGTTGAAATGGATGCATTAATCCAATTATGCTGTGATGCGATTCCAAATTTTCGAGCTGAATTAAATGAGATAATTGATGAAATATCGCAAAATCCTAAAGTGCTTCATAAATATGCCCGCGTTTTTCTAACCTCAATTTCAATAATAGATCCTGAAACTGATGAATTTACTGAAGGATCCTCCTTAGTCAAAGATCTTTTTACGATTTACAATAATTTTTTAGACAATCCAAATATAGAATCACTTTATATATTTGAGTCAGAGTTAACAGAATTTATTGATAAAAAACTTGGCGATTTTGATTATCATAGAATTAGTTTCCAGGAATGTGAGGATACAACAATAATGATTAAAACTCTTATCAGCATCTTTAAAGAAGAAGGACTATTGAAGGTTAAATATAAATTGCATAAGTGCATTCCATAAATGAACAAATTTTTGATCGCTCTTGGAGAGGTGAGTTAGTTTAGATATCAATTTCTATGTTAATATCCAAAAAACAATTATTGAAGAGTTCATGGATTCATTTGCTTACATATCTCTGTTTAAATCATCAACTGACACAATAACTAAGCAATATCTGGTGTCACATCTCAGACGTCTATTTGATTGCAGTTTAGATGGAACAGCAAATGAAAACTATGTAAATGAGGCAAATCAAATAGCTATTAAAATGATAATGACTCCACCAGTGTGCATATCTGAATCATCATTGTGAGACCTTATGGAGATAGCTAAGTCTCCTGTGGTAGAAGAAGCGTTCCAAGCTCTTGACCTTGATGAAAACTTATATAAATTTTTAGAACAAAGCTGTGAAAACAGAATTTATTTCGCTAACGTCCCTGATAGCATTTCTGGAATAACTATTTTTGGAGGAACAATATTGATTCATCCTAAGTGAAGTGAAGATACCCCTATATCTCAGTGTGGACTAAAAGTTGTATTTTTACACGAGTTGGCTCATGCTGTTCGTAAAGAAAGCACTCCAGGCTGCTATGATATAAGCATAAAAACTCCTGATTCTAAAGGCCCTTTTTGGAAAGGACCACCAGGAGTTCCTATTGAGTTATATAAAGAAAAAAGTGAAATGCTAAGCGAAGGTGGAGTGTTGCTAGAAACAATTCTATTTGGTACATTTTTAACAAAGCTATCTGAGGATCAAATTAATTTTTTGAATTATGATGCGAATTGAAATCAACCACTCGACAAATTCAAGGATGAGCTAAGCAGTAAATATCACCAATACAGCGCAATATACCATCTAGCAAGAGGATCAAATTGTAGTGTCAATTTAGATAGAATTGGCCATGATCGCATGCAATAATAGTTGTTTTTTAGATATAAGTAAATAATCTTTTTGTAAAAGAAATAGACTCTCATTAAGATAAATGCCTCCTCTTTGATAATTGCGCATAATTAGGGAAAATTTTCGCAAAGAAATAATCTCTTATTGTTGAATTTTATATATTTCTCAAATGCTTTTGATTTTTATAAATTTTTATTGACGAATCTTCCTTTTTGAAATATAAAAAATTATCAGCTCTTAAGTGTTTTGCTTTTTTTACTTTGGGAGTACTGATTATCATGTGACCTCCAGCTTTTTAAAAATGGCTTTAGGTCGACATATTGGTGTGTTGCTGTAAAATTTTATTTTGCTATCGCTCAATTATAAATATGGAATCGTTTGTAATAGTTCAGGAATCTATAAGAACATTTTTCAGCTACAACAGCTTTGAGTTGGAAAACCTATTAAAGCAAGCAAACCCAGAAATTTTTGAAGTAGAAACAGGATGTAAGAAGCCTAATATCGAAGGCTTCTTTACTGATTTGCCCATCCAAAACTCTTCTGAAATTTGGAGATATTTCGACATGCTTAGCTCTATTTGTCTCCATGAGTGAATAAACATTCGCCTGGATTTTGCAGACATTTTCTCACTGCTCGATATAGATGAGTATTGCTGGATTCCTTTGTACTTACTGATTTGGTATCGAGATCCAAACAAAGTGACCGAACAAGTCAAACAGAAAATACAAAGAGTAGCCAATGAAAATGTGCTTTTTAAATGATGCTTTACTGAAGAAAATGAAGATTATGTGCAAATAGATACTCAAGGAGAGCGAAGAACATACTTCTTACTGTTTATGTACTTTATGCAATTTCATAAAGAAGGAATGAAATCCTGAAGGGTTTCGTATGAAAAAGTGCTTTCAATTTTGACACAATTTATTAAGAGCATTGAATCAGGCTCAGATTTGCAAAGTTTGGATGTAACTTTCTTTTACTCATTTATTAATGAATTGAAAGACTGTTATAAGGATTTTCTTCTTCCAAGTTGTGCTGAATGGATTTTGATAAACCAAAGAACAAGAGAGCATTTGGAATTGTCTTTATTGGTTTTATTTAAGAAAGAAGTAAGTGAAATTGAAGCAATTAAGTACGATTTAGAAGGCAAGATCATTTACTTCAAACTCAGCATTTCAGATAATATACTATTACGCTTTCTACGCAAAAATAAAAAAGATCCAGATTTATTTATAAAAGGAATTTTAAGCAAATATTATTTAGACAAGGAAAGTATGAAGGTAAGTATGGCTCGGATGTTAAATTTTTTAAGTTACTATATTGAATCTGATGACTCTAATCACGGATTTTTTATTTTACAAGAAATAAATCCAAAGATACTAATCGAAGCTGAAGGTATTCTTTTTGAAGGGCCACTTCAAACAATTGTTAATTACCAGCTCACGATAACACATAAAAATGAAAAGTTTTTGAGCCAATATTTTAAAAGTATTACTCCAAGTGACTACAGTCTTTCTAAATGGAATATCCATTTATTTTTGCTCTATGTTTACATGAATACAAAAAATAAGCAAAAAAGAGAATTATTGGCTATAAAGTATATGAAGCAATTCATAAAGATTTTTCATGTGAATATAAATACCTGAGAAATAGCAGGTGAAATGGCAAAATTAGTCCGGTTATGCTATGATGCTATTCCAAATTTGAAAACTGAATTAAATGAAATAATTCATGAGATATCACAAAATCTTGAAGAGCTACCTGAAGATGTCTTCTATTTTGTATCCAAAATTTCAAAGATGCGTCCTGAAAGTAATGAATTTATTGAAGGATCCTCCTTAGTCAAAGATCTTTTTACGATTTACAATAGGTTTTTGGACAATCCAAATTTAGATTCATTGTCTTTTTTGGAGTTAGAATCAAGTGAATTTATTGAAAAAATCCTTGGAAACTTCAACTATCATACAATTAATTTCCAGGAATGTGCGGATACAACAATAATGATTAAAACTCTTATCAGCATCTTTAAAGAAGAAGGACTATTGAAGGTTAAATATAAATTGCTTAATTCAGATATCAATTTCTATGTTAATATCCAAAAGAAAATTATTGAAGAGTTCATGAATTCATTTGCTTACATATCTCTGCTAAAATCATCAACTGACACATTAATTAAGCAATATCTGGTATCACATTTCAGACGTTTATTTGATTGCAGTTTAGATGGAACAGCAAATGAAAACTATGTAAATGAGGCAAATCAAATAGCAATTAAAATGAAAATGACTCCTCCAGTGCTCATACCTGAACCTTCATTGTCTAAACTTATGAATATAGCTAGCTCTCCTGTAGTAAAAGAAGCGTTCAAAACTCTTGGCCTTGATCAAAACCTACGCAATTATTTAAGGCAAGACTATAAAAACAGAATTTATTTCGCTAGCGTCCCTGAAAGTATTTCTGGAATAACTATTTTTGGCGGAACAATATTGATTCATCCTAAGTGAAGTGAAAATACCCCTATATCTCAGTGTGGACTAAAAGTTGTATTTTTACACGAATTGGCTCATGCTGTTCGTAAAGAAAACACTCCTGGCTGCTATGATATAGGCGTAAGAACTCCTGAGTCTAAAGGCCCTATTTGGATAGGAGCTCCAGGGGCTCTTATTGAGTTATATAAAGAAGATAGTGAAATGTTAAGCGAAGGTGGAGTTTGGCTAGAAACAGTTCTATTTGGTGCATTTTTAAAAAAGTTGTCTGCCGAGCAAATTAAATTTTTAAACTGTGATGCAAATTGAAATCAAAAACTCAGTAATTTCAAGGAAGAGCTAAACAGTAAATATCACCAATATGATGGAGGATTAAATTTGGCGAGAGGATTAAATTGCAGTATCAATTTAGAAAGAATTGGTCATGATCGAATGTAATTAATAGTTGATTTAATTAGTTATAATTAAAATCCTAGCTTTAGATTCGGCAGTCTTCAATATATAAGTTGCGAAAATAATTCACCTCAATGTGCAAATTCTACGTAATATTTATTATACTTATATAAATTTTTTGAATTTCGTTGAATCCCCCTATAAAATTTTATTTGGCTATTTCACAGAAAGAATCATAAAAATCTCATTTAATATATTGGAGTCTCAGAAGTTAAAATATTAGTATTCATAATCTTTAAATGCTTTGATTAAAAATATAAAATAGAAAATGAAGGAGTTTTGCAGAAACTGTCTTATTTGGTGCATTTTTTAGCAAAGCTATCTGATAAAAACTAAAATTTATGATCTTTTAAGCGAATTTAAATCAATATTTTATTACTTCAAGGATAAGCTAAATTATCACAATGATGGTGGAGTACAATTTAGCAAGAGAATTGAACTGTAATATCGATTTGTATTATATGTAATTAATATTCGATTTAATATTCTATAAATTTAAATAGAGCTATTCTTGCTTATTACACGAAAAATCTAATTTAATAGTATATAAGCTAAGTCTACTGTATATTTCCTATTAAATTATTCTCTTTATCTAGCAATAGTTGAATCATTTCCATTTATTATGTTAAGATCTCTCGAAGAGTATTTGGGCGAAATCAGCGCAGCCTTGGACTCCGCTTTGAACATCAGGAACTTCCCATCACAGCATGAAGAAAGACACAACAAGCCAGAAGTCGAAACTCGAAAATCTAAAGAACTTTTATTACCCCCGATCGTCCTGACGAGATCCAAATATGAAGAAACCCTGATAGAGCCTTCAATAAACTCCACAAGAATCTCTCTGAGGTTTAAAAAAGTGGATGACCTTGATAGGCTGCTTTCTTCAATGTTCATGAAGTTTTTAGCCCTGAGGGCAGAACAATTTTTAATTATGAGAAGAGTCCCTATAGAAGGGTATGATATCAGTTTCTTAATCATTCATACCCACATGGAGCAGCTTTATAGAGAAAAGCTAATTGAGTTTATCGTCACTTTTTTGAAAGAAATCGAAAAAGAAATCAATGAAATGAAATTGTCAGTGAACTCCAGGCTGAGAATGGCAGCAACGCAGTTCGTAGCGAACATCGTGAGATAGGCTTTATAATTAACTAGTTTAATATATTTTTGCAATAAGAATAATATATGGTCATCAAAGGCGTGGTTTTTGATGTCGGGCAGACTCTATCTAATCAGCTAGACAAAGAAATGCTTTTTGAGCGTTGCAAAGTGTATTATGGGTACGTCTATGACCAATTAGTAGCCCGGAATCTTCAAGACCGCTTCCCCTGCCTCAGCAGCTATACACGTGAGGAATATGTTAATGATCTCAACACCTTAAATATCGGAGTGCGAAAACAAAAAAACATATCGACTGAGGTATACACTGAATATCGTATGTCAGAGCAAGCTATACAAGTTTTGGTTGACAGACAAAATACAGCTGCAGGAACAAGTGAAAATAGGGAAATTTATTATGATCTTTTACCTGTTTTTGATGAAATTTTTTCAGGTCGTGAAGCGATCCAGCAAGGGATTTATGAGCTGTGGCCTGATACTTTAGATACTTTAAGAGAGCTGAAAAGGCTTGGCTATCAAATTGCATTAGCTTCTAACTCAGCTCACCCTGTAAAGCACGAACAGATGCTTGAGCAGCTTGGCATTACCCCATTTATAGACGTACTAGTCGTTTCTGCATATGTCGGCGTTCGCAAGCCTAACCCAAAAATGCTAGAAATTATCCTTGAAAGGATGAATTTAACTAAAGAAGAAGCCGTCATTGTAGGCGACTTATTAGACCGCGACGTTTTGATGGGAAATTTACTCGGGGTCACCTCAATATGAATTAATGCTATTCCATACAGCCTTGACCAAAACTTAAAAAGGATCAGAGAAGCCAACCCTCAATATATGCCAAAAGCTGGGATAGTCTGTTTATCGCAGCTGATCCCTACCATAAATTACTTGAATAATGAAACTCCTGAGTCAAACCAGGTCAAAGTCGGCTATTATTTCCCACATTTACGAAAAAAATTAGAAACTGGTAAACAAGGCGCTTTTGTGTCAAATTCCAAAGTTTTTTATATGCCGATTGAACTAAGAGCGCCTATTGAGAGCTTAGGGAATTTTGATGTTATTGTCCATAAGGTCACTGATATGATGCTGTCTGGAAAGCCAGAAGACCAAGAAGGGCTTGACAATTTGCGAGCTTACTTAGAAAGCCACCCAAATGTCTTGCTATTAGACCCCCTTGAAGGGCTCCGAATCACCAATTCTCGAAGAGAATTTCTTAGCCAGTTTAACCCTATTCTAATAGAAAGCCAAAATATCACAGTACGAGCTCCAGAGCTGCTGACCCAAGAAAACATAAAATTCCCATGTATTGTGAAAACCAATGTGGCCTGCCAAGTTAAAGGAAGCCATAGCATGGCTCTAGTAAAAAATCAAGAAGGCCTAAAAGATGCATTCAAATTTATATACGGAGACATTGTAATATCTGAATGGGTCAGTCATTTAGGAGGAGTTTATAAGGTTTATGTGCTAGGAGACGAGTTCCAGGTGACTCCTAAAGATTCATTTGCGCTGGATGAAAATGATTTTATTTTGTTTGATAGTGCTAAAGAGTTGCCGAGTGGGCTTAGAATGCTGCCTCCTGTGCAAGAGATAAATGAGGTAGTTGTGGAGGAAACTAATAGGCATTTGAAAGAATTTACAGGACTAGGGATGCTAAGCTATGACCTTTTGATTGAAGAGGGGACTGGGGATTATGTGATAGTTGACTTGAACTATTTCCCTGGATATTATAGTATTTTGGCTATTTTCTCTTGTGATGGAATAATAAAAGTATTTTTTTATGAATCCAAAGCTTATCTGTTAAGTTTTAAATGCTGTAATAGAAGAAAAATAGCCAATAGACTATATACCTTCCCAGACTACAAAGAAGCGATGAATAGATACATTCTTTCAAGCGTTAATAAATTTAGGGAAAATTAACTAAATTTTTATAACTTATAATTTCTGCCTAGCTCTTTAAAAGGTAATTTTTTTATTTAATAAAATAAGAAAACTTGACTAAAGTCATTAGACAAATTTATATGATTAAAAATTATTAAATAGAGAAAGTAAGGATAAGGCGGGTATACGTAGACTACCTTACTTCTCCTGTAAATTGACACAAATTATTGGTAAAATTTCCATTTTTCGGGTATTAAACCTCGTTTTAAATTGAATAAATTTTTTTGAAAAAGGAAAATTTTATCGCTGAAAGAAGTACTAATTTTTATAAAATTAGCATGACCTTAATGAAAAAGGATCAAGTAGAATATTATTTTAAACAGTTTCAGGATGAATTGATTTAAATTAATTCTTCATAAAATAAATTAAAATTCAAAAACATTGTATTTAATTTATTTTTTTTTAGAATTTATTTAAAAAAATTCCGCTTTCAATTGGAATAGGATTTTTTATTCGAATTTAAAGGTGGGGAATTAGAATTGGAAATATATCTTGGATCATAGTACTCTGCTGATTGTGGCTGATAAGTAGCTCTTTCATCCTGATAAACTGGCACTTGTGAAGCATCGTTGCTATATTGATAAACTTGAGGTCTCTCCTCGACATATTGTGGCGGCCTTTCTTCCACATATTTTGGAGCGTATTCTTGGGACCTTTCTTTAATATATTGAGACCCTTGAGCTCTTTCTTCAATATATTGTGGAGGAGGGTAACTTTCTGGGCTATAGCTAGCTTTATATTCATTTTGAAATACCTGAGGCTGGTACAATGGCCTTGCTTCAGCATAATAAGGTGCAGGAGGTGGGGAATCCCTGAAAAAATGCTGCTTAGGAGCTTCAAAAACTCTTGGCGCCAGCATTGGCTGATATTCACTATTGTTTTCATAGCCTGAAGAGGGCACTTCTACCCTTTTATAGCTGTTTTCTTGTGGGATTTCTAGATTTTGCTTTGCAGTTTCATAGCTTTTCTCTTTCTTTTGCATTTCTAAATTCTCATTCGTTTCAATCAGCTGAGGGTTTCTTATCTCTCTCCTTGTGTCGACTCTTAAAGGCTTAGTGCTCTGCACAAACTGTGGATTCACCCCAATTGGAATTTCTTTTAACCTTTCTTTTTCCTGCTGTTGGGCTACTTCTAGCCTTTTCTGGGTATTTGGAGTGATTACTTGTAAAAATTCTGTTGAGTCTTCTTCATCAGTTAAATCACTTTGAACGAATCTGCATTCACAGTTCATAACGCCTGGGGAGCTTTCTTTTGTCTCCAGAAAGCTTACAGATACATCATAAAACTCATGGGAATTTCGAATTTCATAGCCATCTCCCACTTCGTCATGGACTAAATAAAGGTGAGGGTGTCATGGATCTCGCTTTGGGATAGGCTTGACATCTTGTGAATGGACAGTTGCTGAAAGATATTTAAAAGAGCATACACAAGGAATCAAGAGGAGGATTGAAAAATATTTCATATATAATAAACGGCTATATAAAAATTTAGTTGAGGAAACACTCAGTTTTGATAGAAAATTGAGATTTTCTGATTATTTAAAATTTTAAAATGGATTCAGACTGTTTTCTTACGAATTTATCCGGTTTAAAAAATAATGAATTACATTAGTCAAGATTCCTGATCTTTTTCCCATCCTGCCAAATTGCTCTCCTGGTCTCTCCATTCGGAAAAATATGCATTCCTTCTCCATGCTGTTTTCCGTTCCTCCACTCCCCATCATACTTTTTCCCATCCGCCCAGGTATAAACCCCTCTTCCGTGTTTTTTGTCAAACCTATACTCTCCTTCATACCTTCTGCCATCCCTCCACTGATAAATCCCATACCCATGCATATTATTATTTTGTCATTCCCCTTCATACCTCCTCCCATCCAGCCATGTATATATTCCTCTCCCACTAATTTTATTGTCAACCCACTGTCCTACGTATTTACTTCCGTCATTTCAGACGTACATCCCAAAACCATGCTTTTTTCCAGCCTTGTAGAAGCCTTCATAGCGACTTGTGTCCATCCAGACTTCAATTCCGTAGCCTTCTTGCAGATCGTTTTTTCAGTCTCCTTCGTATCTAGCGCCGTTTAAATGGAAATAGACGCCTTTGCCGTTAGCTTTTTCGTCTTGCCAATTGCCTTCGAAAATGTCGCCGTCAACATGTCAAAATTTGCCATGGCCATTTGCTTTGTTATTTTTCCATTGGCCTTCGTACTTTGCGTCGTCAGGCCATTTTTGGCTGCCATAGCCATCTCTGTTGGTGCCTTTTCATTGGCCAATGTATACAGCACCACTTTTATAAGTGTAAGGAAGCCGCTCTTCACGTTCATTGGTATTGAATTTAAGTTTTGAAGTCTCTTTAGCTTCTAAAGGAGAAAAATGAGATTTTCTAGCTCCCTATAATTGTAAAAATTCTGCTTTTTGGGTTTTTTTTTAATATATTATAAATAATAGAAAAAATTCTATTTAATTTCGATGGCTTGCCTTAAAACCTAAATTTTAATTTTTCACTGTAAAAATCCTCAAAAGTGAATATTCGCACAAGAAGAAAAGGACTAAGAGATTTACTGCCTTTCAAGTGTGTATAAAGTTTACGAGTTTGGTAGCCTCTTCATAAAGCTTGGAGTTTTATTATCTGCTGGGTGTATTGCGAAAAATTATGATTTTTCAATGAGGATTTAGAAGAAGATTTTGACAGGTTTTTGGAAATTGGGGAAAAACTGTCTTCCGCAGTTGCTTCTTGGCGTTGGGGGTCTTCTTTGAGGTCGAGCTCGACGTTAAGCTCATTTTCTTTTTTGTTGCAGGTGCAGTTTGAACAATTTACTTGTCCCATTTATATTCATAAATGATTAGATATGATAATAAACTAGTTTAAACAAGCCAAAATCAGAATTATCTTCTGCCTTTAGGCCCTTTGCCTTTTAGAAGACTTGTCAAAGGTGTCACGCCCAGCACATTTCCAAGCTGCGCGCTCGGAGGTTTTTTATTCTGTTCCCTCTCACTTTTCCCAAAAACTGTGTCTAGGTTGACAGAAGTCAGCTTTATTCCAGCTAATTTATTTATATTCTGTGGGGCAAGATGGACTAATGGTGATGGCTTTACATCTTGAACGTTATCAATTTTTTCTTTTTCGTCTGGAGTCACATCTTGGCCATCTAAAAACATGAGCTGGGGGATTCTTTTGATTATGCTGAATTAAATTGAATTATTTTTTTTATTAAAAAATCATTATTAAGGCAAATCCAGGGCAATTTAGTATACGCTGATCCTGTATGGAGTTTTCCTGGAAATTGGGTTATTTGAAATTCCAAGCTCCATTAAGTTATTCAGGTCTCCTAGCTTATCAAGTTCTAAATAGTCTTGAATTCTATTAGAAGCGATCTGTAAACACTGCAGTTTGGCTAGATGCCCAAGATTTGATAAACTTCGGATCCTATTTTCATCAAGTCTTAGAAATCTTAAATTTGGCTGATTTGCTAATGAATTGAAATCTATTTGTTTTATATTATTTGCAGCCAAATCCAATTCTCTTAAATTAATCAGATTTTCCAAGTACTCAATATTTTCTATCTGATTATTAGAGCACACCAGCACTCTTAGTAGTGAGAGCTTTCCAAACTGCAGCCCATATAAGCTTTCTAAGCTATTATACGACAAATCTAGCGCTTCTAAATTCGGTAGCGCAGAAATCCCTTTAGCATCGTTACAGCTTAAAGACTCGATTTTATTTTTGCATAGCTGCAGCTTAGCAAGCCTCGGCATAAACCCAAAGCACCTTAAAGATACTAAATGGTTATCCGTCAAATTGAGTTCTACAAGGTTAGGGAATAATTCTTGGTTAAACACATTGTCAAAAGATTTCAGTTTTGCTGACGATAAATCTAATACTCTTATATCAAACTGATGAATCCCATTTAAGCGGCTCTGTAATATATCTTCACTTAGTTTTCCGCCGTATGACTCTTTAGCGTAGTGCTGCTCTGAACTTTCTACCCCAACCCCATCTAACACCTTAAGCTTTTTCAGGTTAAAAATCATATAAAGTCGGGAATTCTGCTCTTTAGAAAGCGGGTTGCCGTATATATCTAAAATCATAAGTTTTGGCAGCCCTTTTAGCAGCAGAATTTCTTTTAGGTTAGAAAGTTTGTTATTTCATATATAAAGCTCCATAATCCCTTGTAAATCTTCAACACCTGCCAGTGACTCAATTAAATTGTCCTCGAGCGAAAGCTGTGTGAGGCATTTTGAGTCCTTTAAATTCTCAATTTTACTGATAAAATTTCTGCCTAGATTAAGCTTTTTCAGATACACTAGACTTTGTAAGTTTTCTATTATAGAAATCATGTTATTTTCTAAACACAGCTCTTCTAGCAGTATACATCTATTGAGCCCTGCGATTTCTTTTATCATATTTCCTGCACAGGAAAGTACTTTTAGGTTGTTAAATATTTCGACGCCTTGCAAAGTTGTTAATTTTTGGTTGTTTAGGATTAATTTTTCTTGTGACATAATCCAATCTGTTTTTGGCTTAGAAAATATATCAATTTCAAAGCTGGATTGAGACTTCACCATATCCAGGGTAATTGAGATTGTGCTTTGGCTGCTGAATTCTTCTTTTTCGTCTGAAGGAATTTTTTCTCAGTCCAGCATAGCCAGTTTTTTTGATGATATTAGAATAAGCTGTCTGTATCTTGTATGAGAAGCTATAGGGTTTCCAATCATTGACAGTTTTAATATACGCTGCTTTTTTATATAGACTAAAAATTCTTTTATTATAAGAAATTCATTAGTAATCCTTATAATTATAATAAAAGAGTATAGTTCTTTTACATGGTTTAGCTTGAATAAATTTCTTATATCAGCAATATTGTTGTGAGAAATATGCAGTGCTTCAAGAGAGACCAGTCCTTCTACATAGTCAAGCCAGGTAATTAAATTGTGGCTTAAATCAAGCTTTCTTAGGTTATAGCAGCCTTTTAAGTCTTCTATTGACTCAACACAGTTAAAACTCAAGCAAAGATGTTCTAGGTTTTCTGCCGCTTTTATTGCTGATAAATTACTGATATTATTGCACGATAAATTTAGACTAGTGATATTCAAAATATTCAGCTCTTTTGATGCTTTATACAATGCCTGCTCAGTTATTTCTGCAATTGTAGACCTTTTAGGCAGTTTTGGGTCGATTTTTATATGTTTGATTTCATGGTCTGTCTTGCAGAGATCTATAAATGCAGATAAAGATAAGGTGAAAGAGCTTAGCTCAGATTTTTCAAGTTCTTCAGTTTCTAAGCCTTCTGGGATTTCTTTTAGGCTTAGATTTCCTCCTACATATTCAAACTCTACTAGGTATTCTGGTAATACCAATGTATTGTCAAATATAAACCAAAGCTTGATTTTTGGGTCATCTTCTCGGGTTCTGTGTACTGCTCAGCACTTTCCTTCTGGTCTATGCCTAGTAAAAATACCTTATTATAAGCTTATAGTATTGATTTTCTATACTTATTATAAAAAAGGCCTTTTATTGTATATTCAAAGCAATTATTTTTCAAATAAGCATAACAGGCAACTGGTGCCAGGCTTCTGCTACTGTCATTTTGCTCCTATACGTAGAAACCTTGCTTTCTTCTACTCCATCCCCAATAAACACTTTACATATCAGCAGCTGCCCTGAAGACTGAAAAATCCTATCTGTCTCTATATCACAGCTTCTCAGCCTTGACAGCTCAGCAGTCTGCACTGAATTTACTAGCGGGATGCACCCTGGGAGGTTTATATCTCTATACTCATCAGGAGTTCTAAACCCTTCTTCCATAACCCTATGGATTTCTGACGGTAAATTTGTGTCAATCCCATAAAATAAGTACTCTAAACTCCGCTTATAGGTAGAGCTTGACGTGTCAGTGACCTGGTCCAGCTTCTCTTCAAAGCGATTTCTCAAGAATCGGTTGTGGATCCTCGTAACTTTGGTGACTTTTACTTGTGGTAGCCCTTTATAACGGGATAACAATAAATCCACGCAGCTTGTGTATCAGTTATCGGCAGGTTTGCCTTCTTCAAACCTAATATTCCCACCTGTGTCTAGCTCTGTGATAAGCCGATTTATGTTTTCTTTGCACATTCTTTCTACTTTGTGCTGAAGTAAATGGCAGATATTGTCAACATTTTTAATGTTTTTATATTCCCTGGATATTTCTTTTTGCAGAGCTTGGGTCTTTTTTTGGAGTTTGGGGATTATTACACTTATAGGCTCAGAGTCTAAAGCATTTGCGGGATTATAGATATACAATTCTCCAATGCTTTCTTTAGGGTTCATCCTATTTTCGCACTCGCTTTCAGTTAATTTGAGTTCTTTTTCGAGTGGTAGAAGATCATCAAATAAAAACTGCTGGTATTTCTGTGCTAAATTTGTAAGTGCAATTTTTATATTTGAAGCTGTCCTTTTGATTGTTTTTATCCTCATATTATAATACATCTGTTTCTTCAAAAAAGTAGCCTCTGCGTAGCTTCTGGCCTCGTCTGTGATACTATAAGTATCCAATTTCTTTACTTTTGGGAACTGAAAAATCATAAACGTCTGATAATTGCACAAATTACAGACTGGATTTTCAGTAAAATGAGGGTCATTTAGAGTCAAAATGTCAAGGGCTGGCAGACTTTTTAAGTTCAGGACGTCTTTAAAGCTCCCAATTAAGTTTCCTGACAGGTTAAGATCATAAAGTTTCTTTAGATTTGTCAATGTTGAGCCGATTTTGACGATTTTGTTTTTGGCGACTCAAAGCTGCTTTAATGATTTAAGCCGCCATAGTCCGTCCAAGCTGTCTATTTTGTTTTCATTAAGCCAGAGGACTTCTAGGTTTTCACAGTTCTCGAGGCCTTCTATAATTTCGATTTTGTTATTAGAGATATGCAACCTTTTTAGGTTGACTGAAAATTCTAATCCTTCTATTTTCGAAATAAAATTTTGGTCAAGCCAGACTTCTTCTAGGAACTGCATGTGATTAAGCCCTTCTATTTTTTCAATCATTAAAGCGACCAAAGTCAAGCTTCGAATATTTTCAAAGGAACTTAAAAAGCTCATATTGTCGAGGACTTCTAAAGAAATTTCAATTTTGGTCACACTTGTTTTTTCTATGATTTGTTCAGCTTCTAAGCCACCTCATCTGCCTAAATTTTGTAAAATTTCGTCTTCAGACATTAAGCTCTTTTTTGACTTTTTACCTGAATCCATTTATGAATTAGTAATTATCCTTTGCTCCAATCTATAAAATGAGCTAAAGAATTTGGAATAGTCTTATTTTTTGAAAATTAACACTCTGTGAGCACTATTTTTTAATAAAAATATTAATATATAAATAATAATGATAGCAAATTTTATTTAAATTTTTACCTAAAACATAGATTTTATGCATCTTTATTTTATTAATTTTAATTTTCGAAAACAAATCAAATTAACTATATAAGCTAATTTTCTTGCTCAAGAGGAAAGAGTTAGTTTTAAGGCTTTTAATAAAGTTTTTTTATATATATAAAATTTAAATTTAGCTTAATATAGGATAAATTAGGATTAAGGTCCGCACTTAACAAAACACCAATTTTTCCATACCTTCGACTTGTCTTCTGGCTGGTAAAAGAAAGAGTCATAGTACACATTTCGCCTTATAAACCCTCCAATAATGTGCATGCAGGCCCATAAGATCACGACAACTATTGCATATGCTTCTCCTTCAGTTTGAAGCTGCCCAATTTTGCAGTCTCCGCTAGCTGTGTCATTATGCATTGCTTGCTCACAGTTTTTAAGGCCAAATACAAGCAGAATTTCGACGAGAACTAGAATTAAAGCTGCATAATGAGCCAAAACTATGAGATAAGGGAAACATTTGGACAATTTGCCTCCGCACCTTTGGCATCACCCGAGTTTTGCAAATTTCGCGATGTCTAGGTTTGAAAAATAATATAAAAATAAGATAAGAATAAAGAGTAAGCCAATTTCTGAGATATAGATAAAAGCTAAAACTATTGCGATTGCGGTATAGCTCGTTGATGTATCGGTAACGTTTGTAGTTGCCAAAAATCTGTGATTTTCGTCAAAATAGGTAAGGTTGACAGTATCTGCATAATTATAATCGGTTGAGCTGACATCAGCTAGGAAAATTGATTTTTCCTTACTCTCCACTGCATAAATTCCTTTTGGAAAAACTCTCTGTGAGCGATCAAAAATTAATTATAAAAATATTTTAATAACCATTACAATAGATCTCTCACTAGTTTTACTTTCCAATTGAGATTTTTTTATATTTCGGAAAAATTAACCCCCTTTTTAGAGAGCAAAGTTTTTACTAAATCACGAGATGGAAGATTTAGAAAAATCAATATCTGTATTATTTCCATTTCCTGATTCTAACTCCTCACCCTCTTTAAAAAGAGCAAAAGCATTAGAAAATTTATATTTTTGGTCTATTTTTTGGGGGATAAACCATTCATTGCAAGCAAGTAAAAATTTTTTAATAAAAATATATATTGTGTATTGGCCCTTTTTGGACACAAGTGTACGGGTCATATTGATGACTAGTTCTATATTTCCCAAGTCTGGAATACGGAGCTGGCCATCAGTATGTCCCTTGCACTTGTACCTAAAAAGAGTATGCACAATATAATATATAAGTAAGATTTTACAAATTTATTAAACCTTTCCAATCCTTGCAAATTTGACTATTTAAATTTCATACCATTATATATAATTTTTTTTGCTTGCTCATAAGGGAGTAAGAGCCTTCTTGTAGGGCAGCTCTCAACCTGCTTTTTTCCATAGCATTTATCATCTGCAAATTTTGAGGCAAAGTAAAAAGAGTATGCCATCAAGAATACAAATAGAAGGAATTGAATCTGATAATACCACTGAACCCCTGTGCATCTACCCATTTTTAAGTAAAATTATTTATGAACTAACGTATATTAATATAGCATCGTCAGCTTTTTATGAGACTTTTTCAAGTCGTTTAGCTGTTCTTGAATATTTTTTTCAAGGTCAGAAATTTCATGCATATACCCATTAATGTCAACGTCAGCCAAGGTCGGATGAATAAGGGAATATTTATTATGATTCTTTATGCTTGTATCATTGACAGCATGTTTACGAGAAGCAAACTTTTTAAGTCTTCCATGCACTTTTTTTATATCTTTTGTATATAAATGAGGGTGTTTATTGAATATTTAGAAATATATGATATTTATATGGTAAGATTATATGTCTGGCAATGGGCTCTGTTTTTCTTGAAATTCATTATTAGGTGTTACATCATTTTTTGGAACTGGGCTGGCATCTCTTATAATTTCAAGGCACTTTTCTGCTTTGGGCGAATAAAACCCTATATCTTTTTTATCAAAAGATGATTGGATATTATAAAACCCTACCGCTGGAAGCTGGACTCTTTTAGGAGACGTCAAGCGGTACACTTTTTGGTATTTTTTTCTGTTTTTTTCTGGATTTCCGAGCTCTTCGATACTTTCTAGTGGTTTTTTCCCAGATTTTGGGGATGATTGGTCGATATTTATTTCGGATTTTGAGCCTTTAATTATATTGACAATGCTAGGCAGAGAAGTCTCAGATTTGGAAGGAAGGATTTTCCCACTGGAATCTCGTTCAGATATGAACGGAAGAAAGGATTTAGAAGCTTGAGGACTTAAAGGGGAGCTGAGGGACTGGGATACCAAGTTTTGGGTGAGCCTGGTGGAATAGCTAATTTTGGTAGGTTTTTCGATGATCTCACGGATCCTTTTACTTGTAAGCACTGGTAGGCTGTTTTTTTGTATAAGATACTCGTTCATTATTAATTCTTATCTAATAAAAAATATGCAGATTAAGACTGGACAAAGCGATTTTTAGCAAATAAACATAAGGATGCTGAGTTAGGATTAAAGGGATTATTACTTATAAATCTATTCTTTTGTATTGGGTTTTACTAGTGAAAACTTCAATATAATCATCATAAGTCTTGCCATCCTTATAGACTCTCAACTCATCACTATCTTCTAAAAAGTAAATTATAGAAGGGGTGCTTTGAATATTATATATAAGTTTAGTAATTTAACAATTATTTATATTATTATTAAAAAATTATTTATCATCTATAATTCTATATATTTTTTCACATACTCTTTGTTGCTTGGATTTGTAATATCAATTTTTCCTAGCCTGACCGGAGTTTTATCGTTCATAAATTTCTTCGCAGCTTCTGAATAGTGAGTTAAAAATTCTTTGATTTTCTTATTGACTGGGGAATAAAATGCTAATACTCTGGTCTCATTTCTGAATTTCGCTTGAAAATCATCAATGCTTGGCCCCATTAGATCATAAACCTCTTTCTCTTTAATAAAGCTATAAGTCAATACTAGTAATCCTAGAATTACTAGAAACTTCATTTTTATTTATTTAAATTTCTCCTTATTCCCACTAATCTAAGAGCATAAAAAAATTTCTTCACTTCAGAAGGTTCTATTATAAGTTTTTTCGATATGAAAATGTTAATTAATTTGTAAAGCTTATGTTTAAAATTTAACAGAATTTGCTAGAGATTTCATTTTAATAATTAGCATTTGTATATTAAAATATTTTTTCATAAAAACCTTTATATTAAAAAAATTATGTTCACTCATAGGGGGTGGGTTTTATCCAATAAATAAGGTGGAGTTATATGATAATTTTTATTTTTAGGATTTAGAACTATAGTCTCATTTTAAAATAAAATACATGACTCGCTTGACTCGTTTTTTAATGAAGTCTCCTTGACTTCATCTCTCAGCTTTTTCGTTATATTTTTGACTGTCTCAGAGCCAACTCCTTCAATTTTTTCTCTTTTCCTCAATTCCCTTAAAATCCCTCTATTCAAAATTTGAGGAAGTCCAGCTCTCGGGGTGTTATCGTCACGGGTAGGAATTTCACAAAACGGGCTTACATTAATATCATTTAGCCCCGGCATTAGATTTCTCATAATAAAGTTATCTCTTTCAATGCTTTCACTTGGATTAAGTGTAGGACTTTCGCTAAAGTTCATTTGAGGACTATCACTTTGTGCGCCCATTGAACCTTTTCTCCTAGTTCTTTTTACTCTATGCAGTACAATTAAACTAGGTGACGAATCGCCGCTGGAGTTTCTATACTTTTTAAAAGCAAATATTCCCAATTTTTATATAAAAATGTCAAACCCTCTATTTTCCTATATAGTATATTTTTTTCCTTTCTATCGTTATCTTTGATTCTTTCCAATTTGGTAATAGACATAGACCTTCTTGGCTTTACTTTTATCATAACGTCGTCATCTGGGGCAATGGTTTTCGTTTTGACGCTTCTTCTCCTTGCTTTTCTTACTGATGAAGGTATTGAATCAAGACTGCTATCTTCTTCAAAATTGTCGCCAAATGACTTATTTTTCTGATTTTTTCGCTTTCTCTTGCCAGATACTTCTGAAAATGGGAGCCATTCTAAATACCCTGTCATATAATCTCTTGTAGCTGCATTAGAAAGTAAAGACTTTAAATACCTATAGTCAGGTTTTTCTTCAAATTTTAGTCCTCGGGAATAGTTCAAAAATTTCTCAAATTCTGGTGGGCAGCCATTGCAGAGCGTCGTGGGGCTTATTTTTGCTTTAAGGGCGTAAATAGACTGCCATTTCTCTGAATTCTCAAATTTATTTTGGTTCCATGGTAGACTCCCTTTTACCATATATACTAGCATATATGACAAAGACTCTAAATCGTCTCTTCTTGAACACTGAAAACCTAAATGAAGATTAAGGGAAGCAAAACTGGGACTGCCGATCCTATTGCAGTGGCCACGAAACGGTATATGGGAGTTCCCATAAAAATACTTGCAGGAGAGTCCGAAATCGCAAACATAAATGTCTTTCTTATTCATAGAAAGCAAAAATTGAGAAGGCTTTACGTCTCTATGAATATACCCGCGGCTATGTATATACTCAAGCCTGTCCAAAACTTGGTTCCCAACGGTTACAGCTGTATTTAGCTCAAGCTTTTTTCCTCTCTCTTCTTTTAGCGTGTTTATATTTGGCCCAAGGAGCTCTGTGATCATATAGCTCAAATCTGCGTATTTTCCTGCTGTATACAGCTTGGGAATTCCGTCTCCCCCTTGCAGGTCTAGAAGAATTTTCGATTCCAATAGAGTTTGGTTTCGTTTTTTTACGTCAATTTTTATGGCGTATTCTTGACTGGTTTTTAGGTCAGTCGCTCTATAGACATTACCAAAACCACCTGAACCTATTAGTTCAGTAATATGATATCGGTCCAAGAAGATTTCATTAATTTGCATGATAATTATTATAAGATGGGATATCGCCAATAATTAATCTGTAGTAGGTTTGGATATCTATAAAATAAAGAATTTATTGAGGGTGATCTATGGTTAATTTGGGAATTGAGACAAATTTTCAGAGAAAAATTTTGCATCTTGAAAAGATTTCTGTGGGTATGGATGGTGAATAGTGAGATGCTGTTGCTGGTAAGCTGGAAATAAATAAAGTCGTAAAGGTAATAAAGTATTTAAGATTAGCTAATTTACACAAATTATAGGCTACTTTGAGAAGAGACAGCAAGAATTGCTACTTAAACGGAATTTCGGAAAAATTTGATTTAAGCGGCTTTTAGGTTTTGGACATTGTTTAGATTTTATTACAAGGTATTTCATAATTTCTCTTACTCCCCCCCCTTTTAAATTGGAACAAAATATCGGTAAAATTTCCACTTTTTTGGTAAATTAACCCCCCTTTAAATTGGAACAAAATTTAATTTTATAATAAAAAATTATATATAATTTTTATCTAAAAAGTTTTAATATAAATTAATGTTTCTTATTAACTAAAAAAACTAAAAATTTAGTTATATCTTGCTCTTTTTTAAAGATAAAAGTATAAAGAGCATCTTATTTAAATAAATTTATTATCCTTGATTGTAAATTTTAAAAAAAAATTAATTTTTGTTTTTTTTTGATAAAAATGATATTTTTTATTTAAATAGTTTTGACATAAATTCAATAGGAATTCTTTATAAAATTTAAAAATTTACTTATTTCTTGCTTTATTTTAAAGAATAGAGTATATAATAACATCTTATTTAAACAAAATTAGCACTTTGATCGATAAATTTTCTAAAATTTTTGTTTTTAATTTTTTTTATCAATAAAAATAATAATTTTTATGTAAATAACTTTGATACCAATTAATAGTGGCGTATTAACTAATAACGAAAATTTAGTTATATCTTGCTTTGTTTTAAAGGATAAAGAGTAAATAGCGTTTTATTAAACAAATTTATTAATCTAATTCGATAAGTTTTGGAAATTTTTTTTTTTTTAAATTTTTATATATTTTATAAAAAATTTTATATTATATTATTTTTAAAAAAAAAAAAAATTAACCCCCCTTTAAATTGGAACAAAATTTTTAGTTCCAATTTAAAAGGGGGGGGGAGTTAGATTTTTAATGGATTATTAACACAATTTTTATTTTTCAATTATGTTTATTCATTCCATTTATTTTGATTTTAAGTAAAATTACTGAGGCATTTCTTGAAGGCTCATAAAAAAAATAAATAATTATGCTTTTTTTGGCACTAACTCTCTTTAATTTTAAGAATCATCTTCAAAAGCTCAGTTTCTAATTACAAATGCTGGGTAGCACTTAAAGACCCATAAGCATTGAGTTTTCTTGCCAATTGCTCCGTTTTTGAAAATTTTAAATCCATATCTCCTTAAGATTAATTGTTGAGAGACTTTAAACTTTCAGCAATTCTATAGGATTTAGCTAACTGTTTCAGCTAATGTTGCTGATAACCAGAAAAATCTGTTATAACAAATACCCAGCAATATCTGAATTCCTGCCATTCCATTACCAATGCCATAATGTACTGAACTCGGCAAGAGTTTTGCAATAGGAGCTAAATCTCTTTTTTATCTAAATAGTGAGCCCATCATTATAACTGTGAGTTAATCATCTTTTGAGACTAGGATTTTCCCATTCTGCATCTGGCTACTAATAGATTTTAGATAGCTTTTGCAGCTTGAATATTGGCTTTCTTGGTATCTAAGCTCTTGGCTCGATTTCTTTTCTTGCTCTTTTATGATCATAAAATACGAATTACTTATCAAAGGCTAAGAGCTGGCCTTAATTGTACAAGCTTTGCAATTTTTATAATAAGATTAATATTTTAAAAAAATTAAATAGCAAAAGCCTCTTCTTTTGCTGCAGAATAAACTTTTTCTATCGTATCTTTTTCACTTTGTGCTTCTTTTAGTAAGGATGATAGCTGCTCTTTAAAGCCTCCACAGAGTACTTTTTCATTTAAAAGAGCTTTACTTAAAGCTGCCTTTTGTTCTTGTGTCCTTCTTAAAGCTGCCAAACTCTCTTCGAGCTCTTGGTTAAGTTCTTTCTTTTGGTCTTCTAAATTTACCTTATTATAAGTCATATCATTTAAGCTATTTTCCATTTGTTTGACTAAATCTTGGCTGTTAAGCTCTTCTTGGCTTCTATATTCTTCTTCTACTGCTTCTTCTAACTCCCCCCCCCCTCCGTGAGTGAACAAAAAAATTTGTTCACTCACGGAGGGGGGTTAATTTTTTTTTTTATATATAAAAATTTTATAAAAAATATTTTTTTTCGAAATTTAAAAAAATCCTAATTCGCAAAAATTTGAAAGCAAATATTAATTTAAATTTATAATATTTTATGTTTTAAAAAGCAATTCGTTTAAAATTAAACAGAATTGGCTCTAGATTTCATTATACTAATTATCATTAATATATCAAAAATTTTTCCATAAAAATTTTTGTTCACTCACGGAGGGTGGGTTTTTTGGGCAAAAAATAGCGATTTTTCTAATGGTTTTGTTCACTCACGGAGGGGGGGAAGTAAGCTGTTTTTTAGGTGGTTTAGGTTAATAATCAAGCTTTCTAAGTCTTGAATATTTGACGCTTTTTCACTGCCTGGCCCAGATAAGTCTGTGATATAAGCTAAGCTGTCTTCAATATTTTTAAGTGAAGCTTTATGGTTTTCTATGCGCTTTTGGTAATAAGCAGTATCGTCAATATGTGATTGTTTTAACAGTGCGATTTGGACGGTAATAGTTTTGATATCATCGTCAACTTTTTCTAAGCTATTTTCTTGGCTAGACTGAAGAGAGGAAATTTTGGATTGAAGACTAGTAATAAAGGAATCTAAATTTAGTAGCTGTGACTCATATAATTGAACTTGTTGGCTGCACTCTGAAATCTGCTTATTGAGATCACTTATAGCTTGATGATTTTCTCTATGCAAGTCACCTGCGATCTGATCAAGCAGTTTTATTGCTTGGTCTTCTGAAGACTCCATTTCTAGGACAATTGTACTTGTGGCGTCTTCTAAATCTCCACTGTCAACTCTTGAAGATTGGCTTATTGTGAAAGCTAGCAAGAAAGCAATCAGCTGGGTTTTCATTTTAAATTTATTAACGGCAAAATGGTTTATATTTTCTAATAATTTCTATTATCCTATTTTTTTACTAATTTCTACAAAAATAAAAATAAGGCATTTCCTTATAACAAATATAAGCCTAATAGCTATAACTGATGAAAGATATCCTAAAATTATTCCAGCCACCAAGCACATCAAGATATGGAACAACCCAAATCCTTTATCTGCCGTTTCTGTCCCTACTCTTTTAGGGTCAAATTCTTTCCTTTTTTGCTCCTCATTTAATTTCTTTAGCTTTGCTTCAAGTTCATTGGATTTTTCTTCCAGTTTTGCATTAAAGTTTGCCTGCTCTTTAATTTGTTTTTTAATTTCCTCAATTTTTTCTACTGAAGGTTTTGGCTGATTTTCTACAGGATCTATATATACTGTAGGTCGTGGCTGAAACACTCGTTGCTCGTCGAGGATTTTTACGCTTAGTTTTGTATTTTGTGAGCCTTCTTTGGCGTTCGTCCAGATATCGTTTAGGTCTTGGGACGAACAAGTGGAAGGATTCAGCTGGGTTGGGATAGCTTGGACTAAAAATCGATGAGCGACGTCTCCTGGGTGCTCAGAAAGCGGCTGCATTATTATACTTAGCTCTTTAGCTTCCCCAGGATGCTTACTTACTTAATTATTAATAACACGCTTAACGTCCAATACCATATTCCCTGCACGGGTATCCGTCCTGCTTCTGGATTTCCCGCTCCACCAAAATGTCGTGCACCACCTGGCTTCAAGGCTGAATGGTCTCATCGGCTTCGGCGTTCGGATTTCGACGGCCGTCCTTCCGGCTCTCGGGCATACCAACTTGGGTCCATCAGGCACCCTAAAGGTCCCAGTCTCCACCGCCTGGGGTTGGTGGCATCCTTCCAGAAAATTCGAATTCCCTGAGGGACAGGAGTCCTGCGTTGCGCATCGCAGGAACTTGAAGCCCTGTCATAGCCGGGATAAATTCGCTGGGGAAAGCCAAACCTCATAATCAAAAAATTGAGGAAGAGAATTTTCGGTCGGGAGACCAGAAAATTCGAATGACGCCATTTTTTGATTATAGTTCCCCAGGATACAGAATTCCTTGGCTAGGCCTAACCAAGTAGGATTTTGGTGCAGTTGTGCGGACTTTGAATGCTACAGGAGCTGTGTGCACGTTTTTAAGATTTAATGAAGAAGTGACTGTAGCATTCTGAATGTACTCGAACTCAAGCTCTTTGTTAGGGATCATCATAAGAAATACACGTTCAGCGTTCATTTTGACTACAAAGATGATGTATTATAACCATTTTATGTAGGAGATAAAACACTTAAAAATTAATTAGTTATTTTAATTATTTTGCCTATTTGAGTTATTTATTGTAAAATTTTCATCAGTTGATTTTTATAAAATGCTAATTTTATATGCTTTCTCCTCCCCTGAGGAGCAAACCCATTGAAAGATCTGCTTTTTGGGCAAGAATAAAATATTTTTTATATAATTGATAATTAATACAATGATTTCGAGCTTATTCAATTGAAATTTATTCAAAACAATAGCCTTACTCCCCCCTCCGTGAGTGAACAAAAAAATTTTGTTCACTTACGGAGGGGGGTTAATTTTTTTTTTATATATAAATTTTATAAAAAATATTTTTTTTCGAAATTTAAAAAAATCTAATTTGCAAAAATTGGAAAGCAGATATTAATTTAATTTGTAAAATTTATGTTTTAAAAAGCAATTCATTTAAAATTAAACAGAATTGGCTCTAGATTTCATTATGCTAATTATCACTTATATATCAAAATTTTTTTCCATAAAAAATTTTTCTATTAAAAAAATTTTTGTTCACTCACAGAGGGTGGGTTTTTGGGCAAAAAATGCCGATTTTTCTAATGGTTTTGTTCACTCACGGAGGGGGGAGGTTAGTTTTTGCAAATTGAAAATTTTGAAATTTCAGGAAAAAATTGTTAAAATTTATATATAAATTTAATAAAAGAATAGGATCATCCCCGAACAAAATTTTTTTTTGCTCCATCATAAAGGGGGAAGCTAAATAAAATTTTATTAAAAGCTTTGCAATATAATATCATTCAATATCAATTTTTAATGAATTTTAAGTTAAACTTATCCTCTCTTGACTTTCAGGACTGGGCGAAGTCTGCACGCTGTTGAGTTTTTCGCAATTTGGCAGTGTGCTAGAATTCTCCATTCTTTTGGTGGTATTGTGACTTGTATAATATTAGTTCTCCCACTAAATGATAATCCTTCACTATTTGTGCAGTCCAAAGTTGCTTTGACTTGATATCTATTATCATTATAAGCCCCATAAGTAAACGCATTCGCAGACTTCTCCATCAAGCAATACAGCTGCACCCCATCAGTTATCCCTTTCTTTTCCCCAGACCTCTGTATCAACATCTGGTTCACTTTTTCATGCAGCCCGCTTCTTTCTGCATTCCTCATCTGGATTTTCAGTCTTTTCGGGCTGTGGAACGTCACACAGAACGCTCTTGACTGTACAGAAAATAAGTCATCGTCATATCCCCAGGCTACCAGCCATTTTCTTATGGTTTCTTCTCCATATCGTTTAAACATTTCTCTCATAAATTCAATTAGCCCTTCTTGGGTAAGGCCGTCTTCATGGCTTGGTAAAGAATTTATGAGCTCTCTGAACTGTTCTTCAGGGATTTTGACTTTGGCTTTTTTCATAAGTTCATTAAATTCGGTATAGGACAAATCTTCGCCAATCATCCTGTTAGCCTTGCGGAAGACGTCTTTTATGGTAGATTCAAAGAGAGGGTGGAGCTCGCCGTTGTCGTGCCAGACAATTTTTTCAGGGTTAACACCTTGAGGACGGGATAAGGCACAGCCGGTGGTGCGAGGGTAAATAATGTAAGTTTTGCCGCCTTGTAAATCAAGATCAATTTCGACCTGACGCTCGACGACACTTTCTTTGGCTTGGAAAAGCTTACAGCCGCCGTCAGTTACATCGAGGACGACAATAGATATGCATTTTAATAGAAAATAAATTATTTACTGTTAGAGGATAATAGTAATTTGTGGAGATAAATAGAAAAAGTATTTATATTTTAGTAAGATTTAAACATTTTTATAGGAATAGATCGATATTTGCTCTTTTGTCGACGACGCCATACATTCTTTCGTCTTCTTGATGTACACCGACGATGACATGAGTATCTTCTCTTGCTTGCACACAATAGTACCACTTGCTGGCTACAATTTCATTCCCATCTACTTCTTTCCTTTCGAAAAATCCTTTAATTCTGCATTCATGGTAATTGTCGACCCTGCAAATATTGACACCAGTGAAATGGACAATGAAATCGTTATAGCTCATCCAAAAAGAATTTTATTATAATAAAAAATTATTTGTTTAAATTATTTATAGACGAATAGATATATTTAAAAAATATTTCCTTAAAAAAAGCCTAAACCATCTAAAAAGTCCCATCATTGTCATCTAAAATTGGTCTAATTGATTCTATATATATTAAAATGGCGTGACAAACCAAATAGCCTTTAAATACTTTAGCTGAGACCAGTAGGTGTGCAGAGACCTTGAGGAAGGGAGGATGGCGTTTGAGAATTTGTATCCGACGGGTCTTTCTTGGCTTGAAGAAGTGCAACGTCAGGTTGCCGACCGCAAACTTTTAGATGGAAATGAGTCTCCTAGCATAGCCAGTGGTTTATTTCCTGACAAATCATGAGTATCCCCAGCGTTAAACCGGAGTTAGGTCCTGGGCTTCAGATTTCCATTTTGGCAGAGATCGACAAGATAATTCAACCTTTTTGAATTTTAAATGCGAGCAGCCCTGTAAAATTATGGCACGGCGACTCATCCAATTACTGGTTGTGATTGCAGACCCTCGTCCTGCAGAAGCAACCTTTGTGAGGTTGTGTACGAACAGGCGAGAAGGCGAAGATAGCGTTGCAGGTAGATATAGTCCCTGCAGAATACAGCGAGCTTCTCTATAAGTACTAGCAAGTTAAACTAAGGTCTAATTGCTTCTTTCATTTCATCAGTCCAAAGTGTTGATCTATCAGACCAATCTCCATCCCATTCAAAATTCCCCCACGGGTTTCTAATATTAAGCAGCCTATTCCCATATGCTTCTTTACACTGAATAACTGTATAAGCATGTCCCGGTACCAGTCCACCTTTTTTATTAGGACCTCCTGTTTCAGTCCACCTATCTTCTCCTGCAGTGCTAGCCGAAATCAATGACCCTTCATTATCATATCTTTTAAGCATGTCCCACAGTCTATCGTTTTGTATAAGCTGTTTTGATTCTTCATTATTAAAGTCTAAATTCAATGTCGGGCAGCCTGTAAGGTCCATCATTCCTTCAGCAGCCCAGCCACCTTTTAATAAGGAATAGCTGCCATGAAGCTTGGCATAAGCTTTTTCTAATAGTAAAACCCATAATTCATTGCCATGGGATCTTGAAAAAATTGGAGTGTCTTTTGGAAAACAAGGGAAATAGTCATCTACGGTCACCCTGACCCACTCACCACTTTTACAGAACCAGACTTGGTAGAAGCCAATGTCACTTGATTCTCTTGACTCAAATAATCTTTCAACGAGGGCTGGTCTTTCAGCTAAACTTGCTAAGGCACACATAAACCAACAGTCACCAAGTTGGCCTTGTTTTATGTCGTTTGGCTCAATATCGTCTAAGAAAACTGAGTAGTTTCCTTTAAAGAAAGATTTTGGTCTTCTCCATTGTACAGCGGTTGACAGTTTTTTGTCGCTCCCTAAGAAAATCGACCTGTCACAAGGTGAAAAATAAGGATCAATGAAAATTCCTAATTCTGCTGGGACTTGGCTTCTCTGCAAAGTATTGAAGTCAACCCACCGATAATTGTCCCTTGCCAGCTGAATTCTGCCTTCCATCTTCTTCAAGCTTTTTTCGATCATAGAGGTGGCCATATCTGCAGGAGGTGCTTTAAGGCCAAACTTGAACTTGGTTGACAAAGAACACCCTCTGCCCAATTTGATGGTCGCGACCAATACCGTTTGCTTTGGAGGAATATCAACTGTACGGACTAATTTTTAAGGCAAAAATATAAAAAATTTTTTTTGGTATTTCGGCTTAGAAAAATAGCGTTTTCTTTATTAAAAATCTGATACGGACTAAGGTGTTTGGATCTTCTTCAATCGTTACTTTTACTGAGCCAGAAAGATCAACGGTGAACGAGAGAACTTTCATCATAGAGTTCTCAATTGACATAAGCATTGTGCTGGAGTTTGCCTGATCAGTTATTAACACAATCCCTTCGTGGATTTTTTGCCTATTAGCCGGCATAATTATTGTTGGTTACTAATAAGTAAAAAGAAGCTGGGATTTAATTATATTCAAAAGACGGTAAAATAGGATTCAACAGAAGGAGAAGTTGGAAGCTGGAGAGATTGGGAAATGAAAATAGAGATTAGAGAAGGAGCAAAGAGCTAATTATGCTTCATAAAAGATTTTGGCTTTGTAGGGTTTTTATATTTATTATCGTTTAGTAATATTATTGCAATATTTATGGGATGGGCTACACACGTCAGGGCATTTTTCCGCTTGTGAAACCCAAATCACACATTTGGAGAGTGGCTGCATATTTAGGATTTGGTTTTTCACATGTATGAAAGCGTCTAGACGTGTGAAGCTCATCCAAAATAATCCCAAAGCATTATAGTCAAAAAACTGGAATATTTTGAAATTATAATAAAAAGGCCCGAAAATTAGATTTAATCCTCCATATATAGTAAAAAATAAATCAGAATTTTCAAAATTGAATTATCTACCTAAATTTTAATTTTCTTATATATTTATTTGATGAATTTATTAATTTCTCTTTGAATATCTTTTCAAGAAAACTTAATTATACTTTTTAAATTTCATAAACTGCTTCTAATAATAATTATTGAAAATATTTTTTATTCAGCAGATTCTAGTCTGAATATCACTGATCTCAATAATTATTTCAATTAACGCTTATTTTTTCTAAAAAATTTATAAGAAATCATAGCAAAAATGGAGCAAATCCAAAAAATTCCTTTTAAATTATTATCTATCTGCACTACTATTTTTCCCAAGTATCGTTAAACCAATTTTACACTATATTCTAATCATATGAATTTGTTTTATTAATAAACAAGATCAAGTTTTAGTAAGTAGGTGAACAGATTATAATGGGTTGGATTTCCAGGAGGAAAAAATGAGTATTTAGAGTCAGTTGAAGCAGCAATAGCCGGGCTTAAATCTTCAATAGAGAGAATCAAGGTATTTAAATTTTCAAATTTAATTGCAAGAATACAAGAACGTTCACTCGGTTTTTATTCTGCCATGCAAGCTCCTAAAAATCAAACTCCTGCAAATCTCGAGCTGCATAAACAGTGCCGGCTGGAAAAGAAAGGCAAGGGAAGAGACGATGAAGCTTGAGCTTTTTTATCCACCTCAAATAGGACTGAGAGCTATTTCTCCATAGTCTGACAACTTGACTAGAGCCTAGAGGCAAGGAGGAGACGGCGACATAGAATGCACTTCATGAGACTATGATATCAGAAGTTAAAGGAGGAGTAAGATGGTGTTCTAGCTAACTTTCAAGTGAATTCATAATTTATGCGAAATCAAGCTTTGTGGCAAATCCATGAAGCAGATTAACCTTCTGAGAAGATCATTGTGGCTATATAAACAATAGGCAGCAGCCAAACCTGTATAACCTAGCTTCAGAGAGTTATTTCTCCATTTGAAGTATGATGATATTCCAGAATTAAATTTTATTTTTAATAAAAGAATAGTTTAATTATTTAAATAATAGTTTTAAATTATTTTTTCTGCATAATTTAATAACTGACTTCTCATGTTTCTAATAATCATAGAAAAATTATTGGAAAATAATATTGTAAAGCAGCATCTAGCTTGGATTCGCAAATATTTCAGTACAAAAATTATCTATTTTTGCTAAAACATATAAATATCGCATTAAATCAACCTGCTATCTTAACACATGCAGAAGGAGACAAACAGAGGATATTGAGGAGGGGAATCAGCTGAATTTTTTCTGGATTGGTGAGGCAGCAACAGCTGACCGACCTAGAGCTTTAGATCATGTATTCCCTGTGATGAGATGGTATTTGAAAATTGGAAAGGCAAAGCCTAGTAGCATAGAGAGAGTTCGCTTGACAATTTAGTATTTCTCCAACACGGTTTCGATGTTGCACCCTTAGCTAAATTCGATTTTTGAATTGTATGTGCATGAGGTCGCATTGACGTGTGAATGTGACCCGGATTTCTTGCTCTCGAGCTACGATGTAAGCCTCGTCTGATAGGATTAAGCTATTAGACCGGTGAGTAGGCAGCAGAGCTAAACAGTTGTCGTAAAATCCCATTACAGCTCTACCTTATTAAAAATTTAAGTTAAATTAAGCTAAAACATAAATATAACTTTAAGAAATTAGCAAGAATAAACTGTCTTATAAAACTATTATTTTTTGATCATTATCAGACATTACCTGCACTCTTTAAACCATTTACACTATACTGATCCTACCTAATATGGACTCTAATCATATTGTTGTAGGAGTTGTAGTTTTCGTTATTAACAAGCAAGACCAAATTTTAGTAGGCAGGCGAACAGATTATAATGAATTTGGCTTACCAGGAGGAAAACTTGAGTATTTAGAATCAGTAGAAGAAGCAGCACTGAGAGAGCTAGAAGAAGAAACTGGGCTTAAATCTTTAATAGAAGATATAAAGGTATTTAAAGTTGCAAATTTAATTACAAGAATGCAAGACCATTCAATGGTTTTTTATTCCGCATTGCAAATTCCTGAAAATCAAACTCCTGAAAATCTTGAGCCACATAAGAACGAAGGCTGGATATGGGTGACGTGGGAAGAAATGATGAAGCTTGAGCTTTTTTATCCATTACGAATAGGGCTTAGAGCGATTTCTCCTTTGAAATATGATGAAATTCCAGACTTGCGCTCAATTTTAATAAAAGAATAGTTTAATTATTTAAATAATAGTTTTAAAAATGTCTTCTATGTGAATTAATAACAGACTTCTCATGTTTCTAATAATCCTAGAAATATTTATTGGAAAATAATCTTATAGAACTGCATTTAGATGGATTCAACTGGTCTCATTTCAATATAAAAATTATTTATTTTTGATCATTAATTTATAAAGCACTACTAGCACTTTGTAAACCATTTTACACTATACTGATCCTACCTAATATGGACTCTAATCATATGTTTGCAGGAGTCGGAATTTTCGTTATTAACAAGCAAGACCAAATTTTAGTGGGCAGGCGAAAAGATTATAATGACTTTGGCTTACCTGGAGGAAAACTTGAGTATTTAGAATCAGTAGAAGAAGCAGCACTGAGAGAGCTAGAAGAAGAAACTGGGCTTAAATCTTCAATTGAAGATATAAAAGTATTTAAAGTTGCAAATTTAGTTGCAAGAAAGCAAAGCCATGCAGTATCTTTCTATGCCGCATTGCAAATTCCTGAAAATCAAACTCCTGAAAATCTTGAACCACATAAAAGCGAAGACTGGATGTGGGTGACATGGGAAGAAATGATGAAGCTTGATCTTTTTTATCCATTACAAGTAGGTCTTAGATCGATTTCTCCTTTGAAATATGATGACATTCCAGCCTTGCCCTCAATTTTAATAAAAGAAAATTAAAATTATTTAAATCAATTTTGGATATGATATTTACACAATTTTAATAAGTCTTCTAATTCGAAAATATATTTAAAATAGTTAACATTCCTGCTTCTCTCTAAATATCAAATTGATTGTTGCTTGATTTATTAAAGGGGTTTTATTTTAATTAAAAACTAACCAATACTTCTGCTTGTCAACTCAATACATGCATAAAGGTACCTAATCACTATTAATCAATAACAAATAAAACACATTAATCTTCGCTTTCAGCTTTATAGCAAATTAAGCTATCTCTCTATATCCCTAAATATTATTTTCATCTAGAAAAATCTTTCTGATCAAAAATATCTTTGCTTCACAATCTGAATTAAATTTAATAAAATTGCTAAGTATTATCTTAATTTACTTCTATTCTTTTAAATTAATAATTTTCTTTGCGTCTGCATATTTTTCCTATTTCCTATTTACAGTTAATAATAATAAAATGAACATGCAATCTCAGCCAGGTCTATTTCGCCAGCCTGCTCAAATGGGCATGCAAGGCTTCGGCAGTAATTTTTCCTCATCATTCCAGCCTACATCTCAGCCTTTTGCTTCAAATTTCAACGCTCCTCCACAAGGAGGTTTTGGAGTTCCTTCTGCAATGCCAGCGTCAGTCCCTACAACCTCCTTTATGACGCCTGGCTTTAGCCAAGGCACTTTTGGTGCAAACCCTGTCCAGCAACCCACTCAATTTTCTCAGTCTTCAGTTCCAGGCTTTGGAAATCAGCAATCATTTGGTATGCAGACAGCCCCAACATTCCCAAATAACACTATGGGATTTTCTCAGCCTATGACAAGTCCTATGGGAACTTTTCAAACTGGTTACCAACAAATGCCGATGGGAAATATGATGAATCAAGGCAAAGGATCACTGATGAGCAAATATCGACCTACCGCTATTAGAGATGATGCTGGGGCGAATATAAATGTAGCGCATATTACTGCAATACAAGAATATCAGTCAAAGACGACTGAAGAATTAAGATTTGAAGATTATAAATGTAATGATGGCCATAAGAGAAATACTCAGGCTGGTATGACATCAATGATGGGGCAGCCTACACCTTCATTTTCAGGACAAACTGGACTATTTGGAGCGACCTCAACACCTATGCAAAATAACGCTGCGTTGCCAAATTTTGGAGGAAATAATCAGCAAAACCAATGGAAACCTCCAACAACTACACTTTTTGGGAATAACACTATGATGCCTAATCAACAGACACCTGGACAGTCTACATTGTTTAGGCCTACAACAGCTCCAAATACATTGGCAGCGCCTGCTTCTGGAACTTCTTTATTTGGTGGTGGAGGAAACCCATTTGGCCAGCCTCAAGCTCAGCCTCCTCAGCAGTCCTCATCATTATTCCCTCAGTCAAATTCACTTTTCTCACAAAATCCACAGCAAGGCCAACAGTCTTTATTTAACCCAGCGACAAATATACTAGATTTCATTAATTTTTTCAGCTAATTTTTAAATATATGCTGTAAATTAATAACCTAAAAATAATTAAAAATGGTATATAATGAACCCAAATAATCAGTCACCAAATAGATCTTTATTTGGAAATAACAGCCTAACCCCAGGTCAGCCTGCTTTTAACCAGCAGCCTGCACAGCCTGGTTCTTTATTTGGAGGAGCTACAAGCCAGCCTCAAACCTCATTATTTTCAGCAACTCCTCAGCAAAGTAACTTAGGCGCAACACAGCCAAATTCTCTATTTGGAGGAGCTACATCTAATAGTCTCTTTGGAGGAGCTTCTACAAGCCAATTAGGTGGAACTTTATTCAATAATAGCCAGCAGCCTGGCTCTCAGCCTTCATTCTTTTCTCAGCCTCAACAAGCTCAAAGCAGCTTATTTGGTGGGTCACAGCCTATGGGCGGAGGAAGCCTTTTTGCAAATACCCAAAAACCAGGATACTTTGGAGCTCCAACTCAACCTGGGATGTTTGGCCAATCTCAGATTCCTCCACAGATGGAAACAATTTTAACTGCATCAAAAGACCCTCATGGGCTGTCTTTACTTTTCCCTGGAAAATCCCCAGATAGCCTTCTGGATGAGTACAAGAAAAATATGGCTTCTATTCAGCAGCAGCCTGAGCATAAAAGTATAATTAACCGTGCATCGTCTATTCTTTATTAAATAATTTGCTTATTTTTATATAAATTATTTTCTATTTTTATATATAAAATAGCAATTTTTTATTTTTTTAAAAAATAAATAATAGGAAAATACTGTATACACCAAAAATTAACTATGATTTGGGTAATGACAATTGGAGACAAAATTTAGAAAAAAAATCATATACACCTTCAAAAAAATCTGAGCCATTTGGATTACTATCAATTCCAAGCAAGGAAAGATTTATCATCACAAAGAGACCATCTTTTGAAGGAGTCAAGCTTGAAGAATATCATGACGAAGACAATACAAAATATTTCAAAGTATTCTTTTTTATAATAAATATACACTTTCAATTTATTTTTATCTTAATTCAATATAAATAGATATAGTTTCCCCTACCCCAAGCACAGTAAGACATGTCAATACAACTGAAATCTTGGTAGTCGCTTATAACCCATTTCCAATAAGAATGACAATTCCAGTCGCTTCTAAAACTTCAATAAAAGAAATCAGGTATCAAGTCTCAAAACACCTTGAAGGAATCGAAGAATCTAGAATTCAATTAGTTTTTAAATCAAAAATACTACAAGACTCTGATACAGTAAAATCTCTCAGCATGGTCCATCATGATGTAATCGACGTTATAGTCACCCAAGACCCACAAGATTCCAAGCAAAAATTAGCTCCAGCAGAACAGCTGCCAAAACTAACGAAAAATAATTACTCCACAAAACCTTCAATTATAGAATTGGCAAGAATGACTAGTGATGAGCTTAAAAGAATCAAAAACTTTACTGTAGAAAATGAGTATGGAAAAATCGTGTTTGAAGGGGAAACAAGTGTGATAGGACTGGATTTAGATAAGCTTGTAGATATAAAACAGAGCGAGGTTACTGTTTATCCGGATGATTCTGATGAAAATAAGCCAAAAATTGGGGAAGGACTCAATAAGCCAGCGACTGTGTATTTATTTAACTGTATGACGAAGAAGGAGGTGCCAGATAATATTTTTGTACAGAAGCTTAAAAAACTGGGAGAGCGAGACGGGAGTGAATTTGTCAGCTGGGACTCAAATTCCAAGATATGGGTGTTTAAAGTCAAACATTTTTAATTTGTGCTTAATAAGTTAAATTTATTACTGAATAATTTGTGCCATTTTTAAGAAATATTCACCGGCTCTATGCCAAATGAGATAGTGTGCATTTCATCGAAGGGCATTTGGTCAAAAATTTTTTAAGCAGTGTGGCATTTAGTTATTTTTTCGGTCAATGTTTCACTATAAAAAGTTTCAGCCATTTCCGAATAAAATATACATTAGTGAAATGCACTGTCATTGGACCTGAACCCAATATTCACCACATAAGTTATAATAAAATAATGGCTTGCCAAAGAACATATTGCCCTAAGGTTGAAATCAGAAAACCAGCTCCAGCTTTTACAGTTAATGCTTGGGACGGAAACAGAATCCGCCAAGTTTCTCTTTCTGACTACAAAGGCAAATATGTTGTGCTTTTCTTCTACCCACTAGATTTCACCTTTGTCTGTCCAACTGAAATTTGCCAATTCAACGATATGGCTCCAGAATTCAGAGCTAACAACTGCGAAGTTTTAGCTTGCTCTGTAGATTCTGTATTCACCCATAGAGAATACACCCTCAAATCAAGAGCTGATGGAGGACTTGGAAGAATGCAGATTCCTATGATTGCAGATCTCAACAAGCAGATTGGAAAGGACTATGGCTGCTATCTTGACCACTCAGGAGATGAAGGAGTTCACCTAATTCTCCATAAAAATTAATAAGGGAAAATTTTCCTTTTGAAATAGTTAATTAATTTAATAAAAATTTAAATAAATATGCGAGAAGAGTAAGAGCTACTTATATTATTGATGCTAATGGAGTTGTAAGACACATCGCAATGAATGACCTTCCAGTCGGAAGAAATGTCAGAGAAATCTTAAGATTAGTCCAAGGCTACCAATACACTGATACATATGGAGAAGTCTGCCCTGAGTCATGGACTCCTGGTGCAGCCACAATGGTTCCTGATCATGAAAGTGACAAACTTCAGAATTTTTGGCAGTCCCAGCACGGATCAAAGCACTAATTAGGCATAAATTAGATTAATAATTCTTTTTTTTATTTTCGATTATCTCAATGTCAGGCACTAAACTATTCTGCTATAAGAGCTTTAATATGTGTTAAGAAAATATTGTAGAGAATCATCATTGGCACATCTAAGGCAATCATTTTAATTATTAATAGCATATAAGGATTTCATAAATTCTTTATAACTGATTATTGATATTTATGAAAATATTTTATTGAAATGCTACCTAAATATGGTTGTAACAAAATCAATTTCTTGAAATTCCATCCAAGAATTCTATGAAAATTTCAGTAGCTAAATATGCATTGATTATATATATAGCCCTAAAGAGAAGCAATTATTCGATATAATGAAATTTTATAGAACGCCTAATATTTTAAATGCTATTTAAACAATTTTTAATCCTAAAAAATCAAAAATTTTGTCATTTTAATTCTTTTTTCAAAATCAATTTTCTGATTGACTTTTATAAGCTTGAATTTAGCATGCTTGAATAAATATGTAGAATTCGTTGTCGTAATAATTATGGCCCAGCAGGAATTGAATTTAAAGTATCCTAACGTAGCAAATAGCCAAGCACCAAATACTTTGAGAACGGCGCCAAGGAATTCACAAGATGGGATCAATTTTTTACCCCCAGGCCAAGGGATAGCAAGCCACCCATATCAACCAGGGCAAGGCTTAAATAGCTTTCAAATGTCAAATATGCCATCTGGAATTCCAGTGCTTAATAGACCTCCATCAAATGTTCCTCAGCCAAGGGCCAATATTGACCCTAATGTTGGGAACAACTTCATACCTCAACAACCTGGCTTGCAAAATTACCCAAACCAGATTTTCCAAAATCCCCAAGCAGGACTTAATCGACCAAACATCTCCATACAAGCGCCTCAGTTTAAAAGTCCTCAAGTAGGTGGCAATCCGATAAATATCCCTATGAGAAATCCACAACCTGGCATGTATCAAAATCTTCCAATCAATCCTCCAGTGCAAAGACCCGTGAATTTTCCTCAAGCGTACGCTCAGGCTCCTAGTCCAAACCCTCAATATGGGAATCAGCCTAATTATAACCCACCTATGCAAAGCTCTCAAAATTTTAATCCCCCTAGTTTTGGTGTGCCTAATCCAAATTCTCAAAATTTTAATTCCCCTAATTTTGTTCCACCTAATCCGAGTCCTCAAAATTTAGGTTCTTTTAACCAACCTTATCCTGCAAATCAGCCTAATCAGCAGCAAGCTTTCCAAAATCAAAACCAAATGATCGATCTAGAAAAAGTTGAACCCTGCAGCCCAGACAAGGCAAACCTCATTAAACAATTCGGGCTTGAAGTTTTTATCAAAAACCAATTCAATCTATCAGGATTGACCTACAATGGAAATCAATGAGTTTTGAGAGGAAATAATAATGCTCAATTAGAGCAAGCCTTAAAGTTTCTAACTTCTCCCCTCCATGAGCGAACAAAACCATTGAAAAAAACCCTATTTTTGGGTAAAAACTCACCATCTGTGAGCTAACTAAAAATTTCTTTATGGAAAAATTTTGATAATAAGTGGTACTTAGTATAATGAAATCTTCAGATAACTCTGTTTAATTTTAAAAGCTTTCATTTTAAAATATAAATTTACAAATTAATATTTGTTTTCCAATTTCGCGAATTGAGTTTTTTTAATATATATATTATAAATTTTAAAAAAAAATTAACCATCATGAGCAAACAAAATTGTTAAGTTTGCCCATAGAGGGGGAGTAAGAGAAAAGATTAATGAAGTCAAGCCTAACATAATATGATGCTGGATCGCTGACGATGGCTCACCAGTCAATTATTCAGATACTCAATGCAGAATAATAGAAAGTGCATATTACAAGCGTCAGGGCGTAGCAATAAGCAACAACGGCACAAATTATAGGATAATATTCGGAAAACCTCATATACAGCAAATGATGAACTCAAATATTACAAGGACTGTAAGGAGGTTGGATGGGAATAATGATAGAAATCAAGCTATGGCAGGAGATATCCCATGGTTCTGGCAAGATGACGATGGGCAGTTCAAGCCATACACGGCAGAAGCGTCAAGACAAATAGAGCAAGCTTATAAATTAAGAGCAGATAACCAGCTAGCCCTTGTGCAAGGGTCAAATGATAGAGCATATCTTATGGACTTTACTAACATGAAGCAGCTTAATGAAAAAACGCATTATCAGAGATGCATCAAAAGAGGAAGCCCAAATTAAGATATTATTTGAAAAATTAACTAATTTACTTAAAATAATTAAATTTTAAGCCCCAAAAGTTTGTAATGATAGATATTTTATGATATTTAAAAATTAATTGTATAATTTTATGAACATCTTTAATACCGAGGTACAAAAAATACATTACAATATTACCTCTTAGCATTTTAAATAGATAAATCTTATAGTTTTTTAAATTGGAACAATTCCCGGAGTTATATGAATCAATTTTTATTCTATTATTTATGTTGATATCACTCCATTCATTATAATCACATTCTTCTAATTTATATCTTCCTAAATAAAATTTCTGATCTTCAGCCATATATAACAAAACTTACCCCTTTAACCCCATAATCCTTCTTCTGCCACATTCTTATCCAATAATTCCCCTTTAGATTATCTTAACTAATTTTAATCGTCTTCCAAAAACTCTTAATAAATTTTCCACAAACATCTCAATTTAATAAATTTATAGAATCATGGAGCTATTTAAAATATCAGCTATTGAAAAAGTTTCAGTCAAAGCAAAGTCAAATAATCAAGAAATTAAGATATGTTTTGTCGATATAGTTGCAGATGTAGAGAGCAAGCAGAGGATCGATAGAAATAATATTAAAGTTGGGGATTACTTACACGTAACTTTTTTAGCAGACGGAGAAATTGACCTTGGAGTTTATATTCCTAGAGAGCGTGTCAAAGAAAATCATGCTGACCCTTCAGAAGAATCCAATAGCCAAAGACGGTCTAAAACAGAGCCACCAATCCCTAGCTCGCCAACACCCCAGCTGGGACCAATTGGCTTGAAGAGACAGGAACTAAAACATCTTCTTTTGCCAGAAAATGTGCTAAAAGCCTTAGGAACTAAATATTTCTCCTATAGATACTCCAGGTTGGACATAAACAGCTTTTATCGAGCTGCTGGGATTGCAGTAATGGAATACATTGCTAACAGCATTGCGACAAGGGAATTTAAGGAAAAAATTTATAATTCCATGTTAGATGCAAGAATAATCCTGAAAAACTATTGGGAGGATGACAACGATACCTGACTAGCAATGATGGGCTGGTTTATTGATTACGATAATAGCATCACAACCGCTGATAAACTGCAATTTCTGGAGCAGCAGGTTTATATAAGCACAGCTTATACTTATGAGTCAGGGTTGATACTAATGATAAAATTTTTGGAGTCTTTGTGGGTATGCAAAAATGGCTTAAATGATGAAAATAAATGGTATTTTGATAGCCAATCACCTGAGCAATTTATTAATGCAACTATTGGTGTGGGGTCCCAGCCTGGAGAAAATGATATTTTATTCTTTTCTTTTAGTATTGATGCTGAAATAAATATAATTAGAGTTGATCCAAGTTTTAAAGTCATCAAAAATACCTATAATGAAGGCAAAGAAAATGTCTTAAATTTCATAGAGATCAACGAAACTTTTTACCCGATTTTTTCATATGAGCAACTTTACTATGAATCAAATCCTATTGAAAAAGCTGTATTAGAGCCATATAGAAGTCTAAACGGTGGAAAGTGGCCGATCGAAATTATCAGAGAAAAAGCCAAATCAAAAGAAAATAGTGACCAAAGCAAATTCGAAGCCTTAAAAGCAACACTTGACTTATTTTTAAAAGAAGAAGAAATAAGCCATTTCTCATGGCAGACTTTAGGAAAAATAAAAGAATCAATAAGCAGCTTAGGCATATTTAGTGATTCTGATACAGAGCTTCTTGATAAAATAATAGAAGATAAACAATGCCAATACTGCTGTGTCCTTAAAGATGTAATTACCTTAAAATGCAATAATAAAGTTTGCCAAGAAGATTTATATAATTCTATAGTCCAAGATACCGGCAACCTTATAGTGATAAATAACTGGGAAAAAGAAAACCAAAATGAGCTCATAGCGAAATGCCCGGTTTGCAAAGAGCCTTTAGATGAACAGACAATTGAGCTAGCTGTCGGATCAGAGCTTTATCAAGCCAAAAAACAGGAATCTCTCGAAAGAGAAAGAATACAAGTTCCTATAAAAATCCAATGCAAGTGCTGCCTTGTAGAAAAAGAAGAAGGCAATTTTTATAAATACGACGTGGCGGACTGCGCCCATGTTTGCTTAGAATGCATGCTAGAAAACATCAGAAGAAACCAATTAGAATGCCCAGAATGCCATATACAATACTCTGAGCCTTTTCTTGCAACTATCAAATTGTGGGGGATGAGATGCTGTTTCTGCAAAGAGGGAAAAAATATATTAAAAGGATATAGTGGGAAACTTTGTGAAGCTCATAATATTACTTGTCTGTCCTGCTTGAATCTATTCCGAGAGTGGAAATATTGTATGGCATGCGGAGCACAATTTGATGAAGATAAATTGAAAGAATTAAACAAGCTGCTTGAAAAAGAATGCACCAAGTGTGGAAAAAATTACTCTCGATTAGAAGAACTAGAAAGTAAAGACTGTCTTTGCAATATCTGCAAAAGTTGTCAATGTGAGTCCATTGATTCTTGCATTATATGCAGAAAAGAATTCGAGGATGGGATTAAAAATATATTGAGGAAGGCTAAAGATGATAAAAATGAAGAAGAAAGATTGAGAAAATTAAGAATTAGGCAATGCGTAATTTGTCAAGAAACTCGCTATATAACTGATATGAGAGGGTTAGATTGCAACCATTATTTCTGTGAAGCATGTCTAGCTGATATGCTGAAATATTATATAGAAAATAGAATGCTTGAGAAAGCGACTTGTTGTCCTCATGATGACTGCGGGATTCAAATAAATCCTCATACTCTTCAAAGTCTTTTATCCCCAGAGCTCTGAAACAAGCTGAACGTATTTTTAATTTCCCAACAATTTAATTTGGTAAATTGTCCGAACTGCAAAACTCAATTCGAAGCGCCTCTGTCAAGAAAGGCAATCTGCCTAGAATGCAAATGTGAGTTCTGCAAAGCCTGTGGCGATCTCTGACACGAGCAACCCAATTGTGAAGAAACTCAGATCCAAAGGAGAATAAAAGAAATGGAAGATGCTGGAGAAGTCGTGAGTCAATGCCCAGGATGTAAGCAGCCGTATATAAAAGATGATCATTGTGAGCATGTAGTGTGCATGAATCCAAAGTGCAAGACTTCTTTCTGCTTTACTTGTTCCTGTCTGAGATCACCGACCATAGAGCATGGAAATCATTATCATAGGCCTGACTGCAAATGGTTTTTCCCTCTTCCTGAGGTAGAAAAAGCAAATGAGAAATACTTACCAGATAAATGTGATGAGTGCAAAAGATTGGGAGAATTGTGCAAGCCGCCGATGCAGCTGGCTGTGCAAAGAAAATTTGCTCCTGGAGAGATTTAAATCAAAATAATATTCAAAAATAAAACTTTGCAATAATTATAATAACCTGGCACTAAATAAAGTAATTACATAATAAAATCTAGAACCATGAGATATATAAAATTATTCAGATATTTTAGATATAAATATATTGATAATTTAAAACTTGCTAATTGCCACATTATACGATCATACCAATGTTTAGTCATCAAAATACTGCAGCCTGATTCTTTTAAATTTTCTCTTTTTTTGATTATCAGAACCCAGCCTTACACTTCGGCATGGATTGGCTTCCCCTTGATCAAAATGTAATCTCTCTTCACCTAAATTTAGTCCCTTTCCACAATAAAGGCAAAATCTTGGCTTTAATGTGCACAGCGGATACTTACAAGTTACAATAAACCCTTCTTTGAGCCAATAGCTATGCAAGAAATTGCAGCAGGGGCAAATTTGTATCATAAGATCGTGTGTTTTTAAAAACTCGTTTTTTTTCCATAAGTCTTGGTTGATAAATTTCCCATTTCCAAAAAAATTATCTATACAATGATGTGGCCATTTTTTCCCTGTTAAACATTTAAAGCATTTTCCGCAAAATTTTTTCTCGCAGTTTAAACATTGAAATTGCTTTTCATTAATGTTTTCTAAGACCCCTATGAAGCATTTTTGGCATTGGCTAATTAGTAATTACGGCCTTGAGTTTATGGAAGGTACTTTTGGGATTATTTCATTTGGAATTTCTTGATTTTTAGTCATTTTATTTGGAAATTTTTGAGGATTTTGAAATATTTTATCTGGGTTTTATGGATATAGATAAAATTGCCCGTGATGAGCAATCTGTTCTCCTTGGGTGTCCTTATGTATATCCGGACGTGGTTTTTTGGTGCAGAGAGCGGTCCAAGGATTGGGTTAGCCTTAGAGCAAGAGGCCAGCACTATTTCCACTGATTAGCAGTCTTCTCGAGCGACAGTTTTTTGCGTCTTTTTTTTGCTAGCTGCGCCCAGGCCAAGAACGAATGTTCGATAGAGGCAGGACGACTTGTCTGTCTAAGCTGCTTTTCTGGTCTGTTATTAACCTGCGCAAGCATCTATAGTTTTTTCCCTTGGGATGATCGGAGGAAAGGGGGAGACAGGCTAGAAGAAGATCTCACGGCTAGTTCTTCAGTTTAAAAGGGTCCTATCTGTGCGGAGCTGGACAATTCGCTTGGTCCTAGTAAATCTGGATTTTTCAGATCAAGAGAGAAAATATTTCTTCCGAGAAACCGGGGTTTAGACCCGGGCTCATGAAGCCTTGAAAGAGCCCATCCCGCTAGTGTTCGCTGCGAAATACACGGTGCTTCAGGAATCGGAGACTATAAATAAATCCCTATCGTAATCTAATCTGGGTCTTCTGCCAAATTATTTTGGATTATTTCATTAGGATTTTCGCACATATTAATCTGTAATTTTTTATAAGAATATTTTTCATCTAAAAATCTTGGCGAATGGTCACTTTTATCTCCTTCTGCGGCAAAATCCTGCTGATTTATTGGGTTATTTATTATTTCATGAGTATTTCTATCATTTTCTGAAGTATCTATACATATAGGGCAAATCAAGGCACCTTGCGAAATTTCTTGTATACAGCTTTCACAGAACTTGTGACTGCATTCTAAAGCCAAAAATTGTGGGTTAGTCATACAGTAGTCACACTGAATTATCTGAAATTCATATACATAAATACTAATCCTACACGTTTTGCACTCAATTCAGCTATTTCTCTCTAAAAGTTTTCTATGTCATTTACAGACTCCATGGAATTTTGCTAAATTTATTTTGTAGTCTTGAATTTCATTACAAGCTAAACACTGAATTAAACAATCGTGAGGGTTTTCTAGGTCAGGAATATCCTTCTGCATGACAATTATATTATAGAAATCAGCCTATTTTAGCAAATATTTTAGAGTTAATAAAATGGTGATCAAGGCACCCTCTTCTGAAATTAATTCGCTCAAAGACATTATTCAGTTAGAAATCTGAAGATACAGCCAAAAAGGGCTTGGACTGCTCCCTGCGCTTTTTATGGCATTTTTTACCTTTGTCTGCATCCCACCGCTGGTGCGTCCTCTTTATGAGTTACTTCCATATGACAGAAATATTCTGATGGTAACTTTAGTCCAAATAGTCTTACACGAGTTTATGTTTATTTTAGGGAATATTATGATTTTTATTATTTACTACCTCAAACACCCCTTTTTCGAGCAATATAAAACTTACCCAGATCCTTGGCCATGGGAAAAAGACCCTGTCCAATTTAAAGCCCAATTTAAGCACGCAGTTTGGAATGTCTTGGTTAATCATTTTATAGTCCATCCTATTATGCTTGCCCCTTATTTGACTGGGAATATTCCTTATCGTATGGACTTAGAGACTTTTCCTAGCTGCTCTGAGCTTATTATTCAGGTTTTCTTTTGCCTTCTGGCTGAAGATTTCACTTTTTATTGGGCTCATAGGACACTTCATACCCCTAAATTATATGGAATGATCCATAAGCAGCACCATGAGTATAAATACACAATTGGATATGTGGCGGAATACGCGAATCCAGTTGAGTATGCTATAAACTTATTTGCGACAGGAATTGGGCCGTTTTTGTGTGGAGCACATTGTCATATATTTACGATTTATTTGTGGTACAGCATAAGGACGTTTGAAACTTTGGATGGGCATTGTGGGTATGATTTTCCTTGGAGTCCTTTTAGGCTGCTGCCACTGTGTGCAGGGTCGCAGTATCATAGTTATCATCACCAAATGAATATAGGGAACTTTGGCTCACAGTTTATTTTTTGGGATACAATTTGTAAAACTAATGCAAAGTATTGGAAATCTGTGTCAAAAAATAATGCTAAAGTGGATTAAGATGATACGAGTTATCAATTATCAAGATAATGATAAATAATCATATTGATAATCCTAATCATTTTTCTTTATTAAAACAAAATATTTACCTCTGAATTAAACTTTAGAATAAATTAGTTTTCTTCATAATTCTTAAGAAATCCTCTTGATTGACAGCGCCATCTCCATCTCTATCAGCTTCTTCAATCATTTCCATAAGTTCTTCATCAGTCATATTCTCTCCAAGCTCTCTTGCTACACGCTTGAGTTTGTTAAAAGTAATAGTCCCGCTTCCATCGTCGTCAAATAGTCTAAAAGCTTTCAAAATTTCTTCCTTTGGGTCTCTCTCAGCCATTTTGGCAGCCATCATGTCTATACCTTTAAATATATTTTTATTTATTTTTTTTAAAAAAAGTATTTTTAATAATTCTTATATAAAGGTATAGGAATTCTGGGAACTCAATAGTCCCTGAGCCATCTTTGTCGACCTCAGCAATCATCCTTCTTACCTCTTCTTTTTTAGGCTCAAAACCAAGGGCTCTCATAGCAACTTTAAGCTCTTTTGAATCAATGCTTCCAGACCCATCTGTATCAAAGAGGTCAAAAGCTTCTTTTATTTCTTGTTTTTGTTCTTCAGTCAATTCTTGTCTCCCTTTCCTTCCTCCTCTTGGTGCGGGTCTTCTGGCTGCTGACATTTAAATTATTGTAAATAACTGAAGAATTTTTAATGGAAAAACATAAGGATTTGTTTGGCTTTGAATTTCCCAAAAAATTTTGAAATACTGAGTTCTATAAGACTTACACATAAAAATTGTTATATAAACGCACCCTACTTTTTGGCACAATTTTAACCTTATGGTAAAGGTGAATTGGGCGAGAAACCAGTCGAGATTCAGGTCTGATATAGGTTTATGTATTTCTGGATAGGTAGTTAACTTAACAATATCCTTCGGGACAGAAGGTGGAACTCACCTTGATATCAGGGGCTATGACCTGAGACCAGTGATTAAGATTTTTTTCCTGTAGATGAGGACGGGCACACAGCATCCATGAAATTCCGGGGGTTTTCCTGGGTCATGCTATAACCAAATCACCTGGTGCAGGGCCACAGAAGTCCATTGTCCACCACTCAACACTGAAGCCTTCAAGTCAAGGAGGAGACTTTCTCAGCACACAACACTCCAGAATCCCTTGGCATCAGGGGCTGGAGAAGGAGCAAGGTTTTGCCGATGCTTTCTTTACCTATCTCAAACTGGTCAAGTTTCCGACAAGGAATGTCGCAAAGCGGATGATCCCTTTGCATTAGGGTTCTTGGTGATTCTGTAACCAATACGGCCAGCACATCTGTTAATTTAAGTTTAAGTCTAACAGTTCTATAAGACAACAAGCCCATTGAAAGAGCTATTAAGCTCTGGAAAAGGAAGAAGAAGAAATCGGATGTTAATTTCAAATAAAATAGAAAATTTAAAGGAAATAAAATCAATTTTGGAAGAAACCATTAAGGAAAATAGCAATTCTATGCATAAGCCAAGGTGAAATTCTGAAAATGAAGAAATTAAAAAGATTAAGAATGAGTCTATGAAGAGATCTATTAGCAGCGAAAACAATAAAAAGAAAAAAACGTTCCTGCTAATTTCTAATCATTCTGTCTCCCCACATACATATTTGCCATCACCGATAAAATTCCCAGCTCCTAGAAAGAATTTTTTTGCGAAAAGGTATAGTAAAATCCCAAATGTAAATAAAAAAGAAAATTGTCTAAATTTACAAATTATTAATATACAGAATTAAAATGATTGAAAATCTAGCATAAAAATATGAAATAATTAAGCTTTGAAAGCATAGTAAACCTACAGCAATTAAATCAATGTTTTTCAAGCAAAGGGAAGCTTCGAATTTAGATGAAGATAAAGAAATAAATAAAGATTTAAGCTCGGGGAATTTGTTTAGGGATATTGATTTGCGGGACTTCAAACGGATTACGTTTGATAGTGATGATAGCTGCTCTAATGAGAGCTACGGAAACTTTGAAATGACCCCGAAGCTTATGAAACGTCACTTTAATTAAAGCAATTTTCAGCTGATATAATTAAATATATAATAGACAACAATTGCAGCCTTTGTTTTATTAAATTGTCATTTTTTTAGGGTTTTATTGCTACTTATTACAAAATTACCTACTGATTTTCACTGAATAGTTCTTTATTCATATTTATTCATAAACTAAAAAAATCATTATACAGTTTACAATATAAATTTCTGTTTTATGTGGAAAATTAATTTAAATGATAATAATAAAAACACTTCAAACTACTAATTATAGTAATTTATTTTTATTTAAAAGTGACTTCAAATGTTTTAGGATTTTCTACGTAGATTTAAATAAAAATTATAAGTGCTTTTATTAAAAAAATGCATTCACTTACATTTTAAATTTTTGAATAATGAATAATCAAAACTGATACAAATTTTCTTTATTTTTTTGCTTAAAATTTCGCAATTAAAAATTAATGTAAGGTTAATATTAACGAAATTATATCAAATCTCAACTATTTTAAAATTCGTTCACCTGAGATTTAACAGATTCATTGATGCCTATGAAACTCCAAATGTAATAAATTATGGAAATGAGTGACAAAAGTCCACGCAAAAGAAGCCTAGTTCCGAAGTCAATTCTTATCTTTCCCCTCCGTAAGCGAACAAAACCATTGGAAAAAATCCTTATTTTTTGCCAAAAAACCCACCTTTAGTGAGTGAACTAAAAATTTTTTATGAAAAAATATTCTTATATATAAGTGATAATTATTATAATGAAGTCTCTAGATATTCTGCTTAATTTTAAACAGCTTGCATTTTAAAATATAAATTTCACAAATTAAATTAATATTTGTTTTAAAATTATTCCAAATTAGGGATTTTTCGAAATTTTGAAAAAAATTAACTCCTCCGTAAGCGAACAAAATTATTGTTCACTCACATAGGGGGGAGTAAGAAAATTATCACAGCTGACCAGTCTAATAATTCCCTCACACAAAGTATAAGCGATCCTAAGCCTAATATTAAAGCTAAAAAAGTCTGCTTTCCTGATCGTTCAAAGAATATGCCTCTATATACAGTAATCGAGGTGGAACCGATTATATACCCAGAAGTATCGAAGAAGACAGGATGCCATTGCATTGTATTTTAAATTATATACTTATCTACTAAAAATCCTTTTTATTTATTTAATTAATTTTTTTTATTTTAAATTTGTATTATTTATAACATAAAATATCCAATTCAGCATAAAACTTTGCTTCAAATTTTGCGTATTTAAAGTTCGTCAATTTTTATCGAGATTTTTTGTCATTTTGAATACAATTTAGCAGCTTGTAAACAGTTCTCGCTAACTGAAAATAAATTGCCTTTTTCAAAGATCTGTATTAATTCCAAAGCTCATAATTTTATCTAAATTAAAATTAATAAAATGAGCCTTAATCGCGGAAGATCAAAGCCAGCCTCTGAATCTTCTTTAAATAAGCCGAGAAGCCGCTCAAGAACCCCAAATCCTTCTCCTCCAAAAGCAGGGAAAAAAATTATGCCAGCTCCAGACAGCCCAGAAGACGAAGATATTGAATTAGCTCCATGGGTACGGAAAAATACCTTGAAGTTTAAAGACTCTCTTCTGCTTTTGCATGAAGAAATCATCGATTTTTACGATTTTATGCAGCCAACCCCTTCAGAAAAAGCTGACCAGCAGAGTATTCTCAATAGGCTGACTGAAAAAACTCGAAATATCTGACCAAACTCCGAAGTGAATATTTTTGGATCTCTTGCTAATGGTCTGTGGCTGCCAACAAGTGATATTGATATTGTAATTAAAACCCAGACTGACCAAGACTCAGCCACACTAATAGATTTGCTGTCAAGCGACTTAGTTCAGTCAGCTATGGCTAGTGAAATCGAAAAAATTTATAATGCAAGAGTCCCAATTATAAAATTTGTAGACAGATCTACTTACTTACTTACTTACTTACTTACTTACTTACTTACTTACTTACTTACATAGTCTTTAAGGTGTCTAGTGCCCACACCCCTTAATGAAAAAGGGTCAAAGCGACAACTAGTGACGTCACCAAGCCATCTTGGAATATGTGGTCAGCCCACACCCAAGCCTTCTACAAGGCTAGTCGCCAGATAAATCGCCGCACATCTCACCCGGCGCGTTGCCGTCGCTCGTTCAGACTCAGCTCCTGCGCGTGTTCCGCCTAAGGGTCATCCTCCCGTGGGGATGTGCTGAGAGGTAAAACTCCGAAATCTTGAGTGCACTGAGGAGCCGTGCCTTTGGTTATCCCCAAAGTTAGACGGCTGTTGCTGTGCAGAAGTTCTCGAGAGAAAACCCAACCCCATAAATAAAATTCCATGAGGGAGAGAAAATTGGCAGAGCCAATTTCTCTCGAACCGAATGCCATTTTATTTATGTAGACAGATCTACAGGTTTGCATGTTGATATATCATTCAATATTAGCGGAGGAATAGAAGGGGTAAATATTGTGAAAGAGTACCTTGCAAAATACCCTGAGGTAAAGTATATTGTTTTTGTTTTGAAATATTTTTTAAAACAAAGAGGGCTTAATGAAACTTATTTAGGAGGGATTGGGAGCTTTTTATTGTTTTGTATGGTAGTAAGCTCTGTGCAGATGCACCCTGCACATAAAGGGGATAATAAACATTATGGGAGATATACGCTTGGACATTTTTTAGTTATTATTTTTTATGATATATGTAATAAGGACTATGGAGATATTATCCATTTATATTTAAAAAAATATTTTTTTATAGGAAATATAGAAGATAATTAGTGATATTGAGAATAATTTTTTTCAATTGTATGGGAGCGAATTTAACTATTTGGATGTTGGGATTAGTATCAAAGGAAATGGGTCATATTTTCAGAAGCGAACAAAAGAATGATGCCAAACATTAGGAGATTTCTTATGTGTGGAGTGCCCACAAGATACAAATAATGATGTAGGAAAGGGAGCGTTTGGGATAAAAATGATAAGAAAAACGTTTAAGCATGCCCATTTATTGTTGTGCTCTCAATGCTACAGAGTGGCAAAAACTCCTTTAAACTTGATTTTGAGGACAGATGATTTAATTAGGAATAGGTACCCACATCATAAAAATTAATTTGCTTACATAAAAAATCACTTTTGGATATGAACTTCATTATTAATGCATCTAATAAATATTTAAAATTTATAGAAAAGCTGTCCTCATATCTTAATAAGAATAATTAGAAATCCAAATTTATTTGATTATTCGTCTTTTTTATTTTTTTTCTTCTTTGGCGCATCTGCTTTAAGCACTCTCTTTACAGCCCAATAGAAAAATGCTCCAAAAATCCCAACAATTAAAATAAAATATCTCCACCCAAATTTTTTCAATGGCAATGGCTCAGCCACTTTCCGTTGCTCCAGCTTAACTTAACTTAAGATTATAGAAAAACTTCTAGTAAGCCATAAGGGCATTAATCTTTTTTTGACTGCACCTATTGCTTGCCAGTCTGAGGACAGAATCTCTGTCGCTTCTCACGGACGAGGGCTTGCAATTACTACCCTTGAGCTCGATGCGCTGAGCTACTATACTGTCAGTCAGCGGGGTTCAGATTCCAAAACATTCAATAAATCGAATCTTCTGGCCAAATTGGAATTCACGTAGTCAGAACTCAAAGCTGGCATCGCGCTTGGAAGTAATCCCGATTGACGAGGAGGAAACTTACTGGTTTTTCTGGATCTTTCCTTTCCTTTCCAACTCCAGTTTCATCTTCCCACAAGATAAAATCTTGACCTGGAGTAGAATGCACTTGGCCTAGTCCGATATTGCGCTCCACTAGACCAATTAAAACCTGGCCGGATACACATTACCATCTTGCCTTCCACAGGGTCCCTGGGTTTCCCCATCTACAGTTTTTAAAAGGGTGGTTGATTCTCCTCGCCACTTTAATATACACCACCATTGTCCATCTTAAACTGTTCTTTTACCTGCTTGATTTCCTCAAACAGCTTATAATACTCCTCACTCCCCCCCCTCCGTGAGTGAACAAAACCATTAGAAAAATCGCCATTTTTTGCCCAAAAACCCACCCTCCGTGAGTGAACAAAAATTTTTTTAATACAAAAATTTTTTATGGAAAAAAAATTTTTGATATATAAATGATAATTAATATAATGAAATCTAGAGCTAATTCTGTTTAATTTTAAATGAATTGCGTTTTAAAACATAAATTTTTATAAATTAAATTAATATTTGCTTTCAAATTTTTGCAAATTAGGATTTTTTTAAATTTCAAAACAAAAATTTTTTAGAAAATTTATATATAAAATTTTTTTAAAAAAAAAAAATTAACCCCCCTCCGTGAGTGAACAAAATTTTTTTGTTCACTCACGGAGGGGGGGGGGGGAGTCAGTATAACTAATTTCTTCTTTTCCTCTATAATCCTCTTTATTCCATACCAAAATCCCTTGCTTTTGAATTAAATAATCCACATTCTCCTGATATTCAAAAATATTGACAGCATCCGGCACACTAATCCTCTCAATACAATTTATCATAATATCTCCAATAATTTTATTCATAGCTGTATCTCTGACTTTTTCATCTAATTCATTGACAAAGTCTTGGATTTCTTTTTCATTTTGAGAAGTTTTATACCTAAGCAGCAGTAAACACGAAGCAATTTTTTGCTTGCGGATTTCTTCATGAAGCTCTTGGCTGATTGCAAAGGAGAACAATATGAGGAATAGGAACATGATACTGCACTATAAAGAATATGAATATTTTTATTGATTTTTTTAAGGTAATGGCTTATATTTTGGAAAGGGTTTTATAGGGAAAAATGAATATTAATTATTATTTCTTAATTAAAATAGCTAAATTCTTGCAGTAGCCATTTTATATGATTTCTTTATAATATAGAAATTTCCCATAGATGGCGCTGTTTGCCCTTGATTTGCCCAGTGGGGAAATTTTTTGGTTCGACCAGTCCCATATGGTTTGGTCAAACCAAAAAAATTTTCTCATGGGCAAATCAAGGGCAAACAGTGCCATCTATGGGAAATTTCTATATCATGGATCGCGAAAAGTATGGCCCAGCTGCCTTTCGTGCAAACAAGTCAGCTCGTGCGAATGCTCAGCGTTTTTGTTATGAGACCAGGCATTTAATATCACTTTCTTCGAATTCTCCAGAATTCAGGAAAGCTCACAGTTCATTTGAAAAATACTTTGATAGGATATTAAAAATAATACAAGGAGACCATAAGCTTAGTAAAAAGCCTGAATCTATTGATGAAATAACTGCAGTCCTCGCTGAGGACGATTTCCCTGCTTTTTTAGTGTCGAATCTGACTAATTTTGACTTTGAGACTGCAAAAGAACTACTTAACTTAATATCAAGACTGCTCAGTAATGGGAATTCGCTGGAGTTTTATATATGCCGACACATTGATAGGGTTATAATTCCTTTGATTACATCGTACTCAACTGCAGAGCTTTTTTTGCTATGTGGGCAATTTTTAAGAGATCTCTTACAGAATCCTACAATATTTCGTGCCTGTTTGACTGTAGAAATCCTATCAACTCTTGTCCGAACCGCAATTGATATGCCTTTTGAGATTGGGTCAGATGCTCTTGATACTATGAAAATTCTGATAGAATGCGAAAAACCTGTTGCGGCAGAGTTTATCAATGAACATTATGTAGAAGTACTTCAAAGCTTATATTCTTTGTGTGATAAGGATTATTATTGCAAAAGACAAGCATTAAGCATTTTGTATAATATTTTGACAAGGTCTGGGACTGGGGATTTTAAAGATCAATATGTAGTAGGGGAAGAAAACTTAACCCCTTATATATAAAAATTCCTAATTTTAAAGCTGCTAGAAGACTATTTTCCTCTATAAATAAAAGATTTTTCATCAAAATAAACAAACCACATATATGGAAAATATATAAAATATGTCATGATGCTGATAAGAGCTGATGACTCTGCTCAAGTAAAAATGGAAGCATTTCACTTATTTATGGTCATTTTAAAAAGATTAGTCGAACTCGGGAGAGATGCCCACAAGCTGCCTGCTTACAAAATTCTTTTGAAAAATAAAGACAGACTGGTCAAATTTTTTGAAAAATTTCAGAAGGATAAAAAAGATGAAGAGTTCGTAAATGAAAGGAATCAAGCCATTATGATTATTCAAGGTCTGCAGGCAAGATAAATGTAAATAAATACCTTAAAATTTAATATAAAATATACTCATTGGTATATCAGTTTATATAAAAAAATTATATAATGATTATTTTGCTTTTACTAAAAGAAATTAATTAATTTCCATAAAATATTTGGTTTATTCCAACATCAAAATATTATTCATCTAATAAGCCGAATAATTAATGGAAGATCATTTTTCAGTTGGTGAGCCAACTCTTGCAGACAGCAAAGAATCTCCAATACCTAAAAGTAAAGCTAAAAAGCGATGGAAGCTATTAAAGAATGTAATTCATGCTTCACATTTATTTAAAAACAGTGAAATAAAGGTTATGCAAGATATTGATGAACTTGTCCAAGATGTCCAAAGCAGCCCAACCCGCATTGAGTACTCAAGGACCCACACTTTTTTGCTTAATGACGTTCTTGATGAGCACAAAGTAACAGAAAAATTATTTTGTCTAATACAGAGATCAAACAAGCAAGATTTAATTGATATAGAAACACTTATTGAAAATCACCCAAAACGATTTGTAAGGAGTTTTAAGGACCCAGACTCATATTTGAATAAGAAAAATGTCCAAGGTGTCCGTCCGCTATATGAAGCTGCCAGACATGGATATTGAGAAACCATTCAAATTTTACTTGATTATGGTGCTGATTGTCACTTAAAAAGCGACCTTAAGAAAAAAGATGAAGAAAACGCTTTACAAGTCGCTGTAAGATGGGGGTATTTTGAAGTCGTCAAACAATTTCTCCAATGCTGCTCTTGAAGAAGGGAAGAATTAAAAGCTGCCTTAAAATTATGCATTTTCCCCCTTATATTTCCCATTAGTCAATTTTTATTAAAAAAATAATTTGTAGGCTGGGATTATAGAATATCAAATAATCCCAAAATTTCTGAAATTATCAGATCATACATGCCAAAAGGTCACTTTTGCATGTGCAGATAGCTTGCCATAATAATTTTAAACTAAAATCATTTATCCGTTTACTACAATAAATCAAATGAAATGGCTAGTTTTTCTTTTTGCCAGTGCTTTTTCATTGATTTGTGAGGAAAGCTGCGTAAGGAGCTGTAGAGAAGAAAAAGAATTAAATAGATGCTTAAGTGACTGTGGCTGCGTGGAAAAAGAAATAAGTCTTGTGGTAGAAGCTGTGGATATAGCATTTGTGATGCAGAAAATTCCTTTAGAGTATAATGATATTGTATTTAGTTTGACTGGCTGCAGCTTATATTGTGAAGAACCATGCTGGAATTTTGAAAATAAAGCGGATATTTTGCAGTGTTTGAAGGAGTGCAATTGTTTTGAATTGGTAGGGATTGTGAAAACGAGTGAAAGGGAAAAGAGTCAAAAATTAGATTTAAATGAAAAGAATAATATGGAAAATGAAGAGGCTGGTAGAGAAAATATTGAAGGAATTATAAATGTTTTAGATAATAATATTGATATGAGCAGAAAATATAATATTTAAGTTTATTGAATTACTCTAGCATAATAGTGCCCTCAGTCTCCTTTTAACTTGAGGGTCCAGCTACGTTAACAGCCCTGAGCAACGGTAGGTGAACCGACCTAACCGTCGAACCATTAAAGTTAATAAGTCAGTTAAGACTTCTCTAGTCGGTGCCAGACTCAGCACTGACTTCTGCTCTTCCAGCCAGACTCTCACTAAGCTCGGATTTTAGGTCCTTGTCTGTTTTACCAGAAGCTAGGACTTATCCCTAACTGATATTTTTAATATTATGGTTATAATATTACTGAAAATGAGCAGGATAAAATAGAAAAAAATGATATAGAAAACCAAGAGGCTGATATAGAAAAAATCGGAGCTATAGATAACACTAAAAATGAGCAGCAAGAGGATGAAATAGAAAAAAATGAAATAAAAAATGACATAGAAAGCCAAGAGACTGATCTAGAAAAAATCGGAGGTATAGATAATACTGAAAATACTAGCAGAAATTATAATTTTACTGAAAATGAGCTTCAAAAAGAGGAAATAGAAAAAATTGAAGCTATAGATAATACTGAAAATATTAGCAGAAATAATAATTTTACTGAAAATGAGCAGCAAGGAGAGAATTATATTCAGTATGAACAAAAAGAGGCTGAAATAGAATATAATGAGCAGGATTCAAGATTAAATATCAGCAATAAAAATTATGTGGTAGAAGAAGAGGAATTTAAAAATCAAATAGATCAGGGTAAAAGTGAAGAAGCTGAGTCAGATATAAACAGCCCAGAGTATAACTTTACACAAATATTTGAAAGTTTAATTAAAAATCTGACTCTTGGAATTTTTGATCATGATACAGAACAAGCTGGAATAACTTTAAATGAAGATAAAAATATCAAAATTGATGAGAATGACCCTGAATTTGATATAGAAAGAATTGAGCCTTTTAATAATTCAACAGAAGATATATTATCATTAAATAGCTCAACAGAAGCAGATTTACCATCTAATTATCCAACAGAGGCAGAAAATCCTTCAGAAAATCCAACTGAATTCGCAAATGAAGTAATAAACAATGATACAAATATAGAGAAAAATGACAAACCCTATGTCGCTCAAATCGATCAATTATTTTTAGATAATACTACAACTCAAGATCTATTCCAAATGCAGCTAAATAACACTAGATATAATTCTACTGAAGATGAAGATCTAAAACTCGAGCCTAATGAAAATATTTCCAATAATTCTCATGAAATTATAGAAAATTCTGATGAAAAATTGCTAATAGAAAATATCAATAAAACTCACTCCCCCCCCCCCTTTAAATTGAAACAAAATTTTTGTTTCAATTTAAAGGGGGGGGGGAGTCAAGAAATAAAATCAGAGAATTTAGCTGAGCCACCAATAGAAGACATATCAGAAGAGCATACTGGTAAGCCAGATTTTATCTCAGAATCTTTGGTTGAAGAAGTATCAGAAGATTATATTAATAAAGCTCAAGAAACATCAGCTGAAGAGGTATCAGAAGAAAATACTAATAAAAGCCTAGAAGCTTCAGCTAAAGAATTATTAACTGAAGAGGAAATTCAGACAAGCAACCTATCCCTTCAAGCAAACTTTTCTTCTGAAAATGTAACAAATGCACCCCATTTTTATAGTGAAAATTCAATAGAAAGCAATAAAGAAAACCCTAAAAACAGCCAGTTCCTATATCAAGATTTAGCTAATGGCACAATGCTTAACTATAGCAATATAGAATCAGAAACTATAAAAATTGATAATAATACAAACGAAGAAATGTGCGATATAAATGAATGTCAAGAAAACTCAATGGCTAATGAAAATAAAACAAGCTTGAATGCAAATGACACAGTTATTAAGGAAAGTCAAGCTTCAGATATAGATGATAAAAGTACTTCAAGCCGTATAGATGACAGACTCCCTTTGTATTATGAAGCTCAAAAGCTTTCAGAGTTGTGGGGAGAGGCTGAAACATATGGAGATAAATCTCAAGAGATCGCAGAAAACAAAACAAGTGAAAGTGAAAGCGAAAACTCTATAGAAAACATAATTGAGCCTGAATTAGAGACAAAAAATTATTACCAAGCGCAACTAGAAGAACAAATAGAAAAACTTACTCCCCCCTCCGTGAGTGAACAAAAAAATTTTGTTCACTCACGGGAGGGGGGTTAATTTTTTTTTTTAAAAAAATTTATATATAAATTTTATAGAAAATATTTTTTTTCGAAATTTAAAAAAATCCTAATTTGCAAAAATGGAAAAGCAAATATTAATTTAATTTATAAAATTTATGTTTTAAAAAAGCAATTTGTTAAAAATTAAACAGAAATAGCTCGAGATTTCATTATAATAATTATCTCTTATATATCAAAAAATTTTTCCATAAACAATTTTTCTATTAAAAAAATTTTTGTTCACTCACGGAGGGTGGGTTTTTGGGCAAAAAATAGCGATTTTTCTAATGGTTTTGTTCACTAACGGAGGGGGGGGGGGGGCGAGTTACAGAAAATACCACGAAGTCTGAAGACGAAAATATTAAGGAGGCAAAGGAGAATACTAATTTATCTGCAATAAATAGAACTGAAGACATACAAAAAGATATTCCTAGTCAAAAAGTATATGAAAATTTAAATAATCTAGAAACAACCAAGGCAGAAAACAAGCAGCAAGTCTCTGATAATAAACTTGGAGAGACAAAAACAATTTCTAATAACCAGGAAATAAACTTAATAAGCCCTGATCCTGAAAAGCTGAAAAATCCAGAAACTGATCTTGAGGCACCAAACAAAGAACAGAACTCTGAGCCATTTCTTGAAGATAAAAAAGCAGACCCAAATAATAAAGAATTAACTCTGACAGAAAATCTACCAAATAACCCTAGCAGTCAAACCCCCAAAAGTGAGACAAATCTTCAAAATAACTCAGTAAACCCATCTTCAACTAAAGTCTCAATTGCTCCTTCCAATTGTATGGTCCAATGCTCCCAAATGTGTAAAAAACAAGACAGTGAGCTAAAATGCCTTGAAGACTGCTTAACGACATTTTGCAAAACTTTTGAAGAAAACTCAAGCTGAAGCAGCTTACTTGTAATAGCAGGGAATGGGTTTTCTCTTATGTTTGTAGTCTACTGCATATGGAAATTCATAAAGCGAAAGGTGAAATATGATGACGACGACTCTATGTTTACTCCAAGATATTACAATATTTCATAATTAGATTAGATTAAGCTATATATTTAAAGTCCCATTTCGTGCTGTCGAAACGTTACACGGGATTACCCCGTAGGGTGGCAGGGCATAGCCGCTTCAAGCCAGGGCTGAAACCCCCGATTTCTCAGTAGAGATGATGGCCAAGGGACAGCTCATACTATCTTCGCTGACCGCCTCCATTTCCAACTTGTCACGCTGCCCTATTTTTACGCCAACTCTGTCCTTACTGATCTCCAGATCTGTTCACTGAAAGCGCCTTAACTGGAGAGACCCTATTGAGATGTCTAGTTTGCCTTCCCTCTTTTCGGGTCAGCCCAAGAAAGAACTCAACAGCTTTCGCCATTCGAGGCAACCCACAAAAGCAGCTTAGGCAGATAAGTCTTTCTGCCATCATTTCGGGCACTCACTGGGTTGGGCGCTGCTGGTAAAAAGAAGTTGCAAGTAACTGCTCAAGGATCGAGTCACAAAAATAGCGATTCTTGTGCTTAATCCTCTCGACTCGAGGACCTGATATTGCTGGGCCAACCCGGAACTCCAAAAACCATGCCGAATACACACGGGTTACCGTCTACGAGAGGATGGGTCGGACGTTATCCGACATTTTATGTATATAATATTTCATAATTAAAAAGCAATTATTTATGATAGGAAATAATTTTATAAAAAAATATACAAAAGTTATAATAAATGATATATAGCACTTTCCCTTGAATAGCCCGATAACGGGCTGGCTTCATCCCGCTATCGGGCTATTTAAGGGAAAGAGCTATATTATTCATTTGGTAAAGCTCTGCTTATAATAGCTTGCTCATAATCACTGATGCGTATATTAGTGCCTACGAGCTCTTCTCTATCAATTTTTGGAGGAATCCCACGCTTTTCAAAACCAATTTCTTTCCAATTTAGTTGGCTTTCGATACTTAGCTTTGAAAATCTTTTTCTTTCTCTCTGTATATTAGAAAAACCACTCTCAAGCCTTTTTATTTCGTCATCAATAAATTTCTCTAATTCTGCAATTTCTTGGACTTTTGCTAATTTCTCAATTTTCGATATACAAACTTTTGTCCCTGATTTTATATTGTCAATCATTTTGGCTTCAGCTTTTTTAAAAGCTTGAACATGGCATTCAAATTGCCGATTTCCTTGTCTAATTGAAATAAGTTCTGACTTAGCAGTTTTTCATGTCGAGATCAGCTCATGCAATTCTGTTTCTAATGACGTTAATTGGCTAAATTTTATATTCGTGATTTCTGATACTCTGTTATCTGTTACTAAGAAAATATCATGGTTTTTGTGAGCAATCATACATTCAAGGCAAAGTGATGTGCTGTCATCAGCACAGTAAGCAAGAATTTCTTTATCGTGGGATATGCAGCCTTGGGTACCGACTTTTTCTATTACTTCAATTAAAGCATAATTGGTGGTCAGCTTCGATGCTGAGTTTGTCTCATTTTTACAATTTGGGCATTTCAAAGATAGAGGAGTTTTAATCCTCTCTAAACAAGGCTCACAAAAAGTATGGCCGCACGTCAGGATTTTAGGAATTCTGATTGTATTATAGTCTTCGGTACATATCGAGCAGCACAATCCCAATTTATTTCTCGTCGTAAAACCTCCACTTTGGCTTTGCTCCATATTTCTCTAAATAGTATAATTTTAATTTATTTCCTGAAAATACTTATTTAACGCTATCAAAAGGAATTTCTTCGTCTGCTGCTTCAATGCTAAACTTAGAAAGGTTGAATTTAATCAAATGGTAATTTCCAAAGCGGACTAAATATATGAATTCTCCATATCTTACAGGAGGACATTGGCACCATCAACTAGTTTGCTCTGAAATGCGCACTTCTTGCAAAGTTTGGCAATTTTCGTCAATTAAAAAGATTTTTGAAAGCGAAAATACGACTATGCCACTTGGGGTCGGCACTAAAGTGCAGCCTTCACCGATTTTTTCTCTTATGCTGACTGATTCATTGTAATAGGTATCTAGATGGATTTTTTCGATGGTTTTTGAGTTGTCGCATCCAGCTACAAATATGAAATTTTTATAGATGCAAGCGCCAGGAGACCTTCTTTGGAACTGCAAAGGGCCAATATTTTCCCAGATATTTGTTTTTAAGTCATACTTTTCTATTTCAAATGGCGCTTCTGATTCTCTTCGCTCATTTATGCCCCCTATAACAAAAATTGATTTATTAAAATAAACTGCTGAATGATAATATCTTTTATGCCCTATTTAAATTAATTAGATAACGCTGAAATTAATTGAAATATAGGTGAATAAGTTTTCTTATAATAAGCCAATCAATTTTTAATGATATATACCTCATTTTGGCTTTTTGTTCAGCGTTTCCTGCTTTTAGGTTAATGAATCAAGCTTCATCTGTTGTCAGGCCTAAAATATTGGCTCCTCCAGTAACAAAAAGGCCATCTTCTATTGGCAAAATGTGTGGAGCGACCTTACATTCAAAATTATTTATATTAGATACACTGATTTTCTTGCTTCTTATATCATAGGATTTTATTTTGTTTTTTCTTCCATTGTATAAGTAATAATTCAAGTCTGGCCTATATCAGTCAATTGAAAAGTGTTGGCTTTTATTAATAATTTCTTGGATTCCCGGCCATGGGCTATTCCATTCAATTGAAAAAAATTCGCTGTTTTGGCTTTGCATTTTTTGATATAATTGTTCTATTCTTTTTTCCTTGAATTTCTAAAATTAAATTTATATATGAAATATTCCCTCAAATATATCATTAACATTACTTATTTGAGAAGCTCGCTGCAATTCCCGAAGGGCTGCCTTTAACACTATCGTTTCACCCAATTGCTCACCAGCAATCGTATCACGACCTTCAAATGTGTTACTCCTACGGACGAGAGTATGCACCCGCAGTTGGGTGAGTTGTGCCACCAAATTTTCTGGTAAGACTGTCGGCTTAAATGGAAATCCAAAGCCTTAGAGGTAACGCACAGTTTCATGCTAGGGAGTTGCCCGATGGTCAAATGCAATGGCTTTGCTGAGCTTCCCCTTTCCAGCCTTGAATCCCATTTCCCCTGAGGCAAAAAAACCTGGTACCAGAATGAGCTGCGGTCGGCCTATCCTGACGTTGCGCTCAACTGCGCCAAGTAAAAACCTAGCCAGATATAATTCAACGAGCACCAATTTCCTTCCACAAGGTCCCCGCTGCCCGTCCAGCCTCTAGCTACAGGTATTTAGAAAAAGGGCTGACTCACCATCTCCATTTAATGCATATTCGCTCAAATATATCAATAAATATAAATTCAGTGTGTCAATATTTTCAACTAATTCACGTAATGATGCATTAGCCTGCTGTGTCTCGGCTTGTATCTTAATTTTTACTTCATTTAGAGTTTTAATTAAAGAGTCACAGGTTTTTGCTAAATCTTTGAAGCAGTCATCTGTTATTTTATCCAATCTTTGCATTTCGAGGATAACAAAGTTCGTGATTTCTAATTTTAATTGCTTAATCCTTTCCATATCTTGATTGGCTTGAGAGATTTCTTCAGAGTAATGATCAATTTCAGTTAGGACCTCTAGATGAGCTTGGAAGTGGTTTTCACATAAAGCAACCCCAGAGCAGTAGCAAATTTTCTTAGCTTGCTCTTGGCATAAAACACAATTACTCATATTTGTCTATACTTATAAGATAAAATTACAGAAAGATTATGGAGTTTGATTATTATGGATCAATTAAATTTAATAGCTTTTAATTTTATTTATTATGGATTTTACTTAAAAAATCTTTGGGAGGGCATTTTGATTGATATTTTAAAGAGAGCTTTTATAAAGATAAACCAAAAATACCTGATAAAAATTTTTTGGACTATAACAAGACGATTGGATAAATTTTATATAAATAAATAAATATAAGTCAGCATATTGGTAAATTTCATCTTGAAGTACTTCTCCTGTAGGGCTTTGCAAAAAATCAGTTTTAATGCTTATAATCAGGGACTTTGACTTTATGATGATATCTGAATTCAAAATCAATAATTTAACACAGGATTTCTTTAATATAGTAATTTAAATTCATATAACGCAAATTCACCCTGCTGTTTCATTTCTTCATTTATACCTATTAGAGAAGAATTGCCCACCAATAATCATTTTTTTTTGCCATTTTAAATTTGGTTAGCCTAAAAATATGGCTTACAAACAAATTTTAGCAAGCCATATCTAACGATGACCCCCCCCTCAATCTTCATGTCTATTGCAACAAAAATGCAATTTTTTAATATAAAATTTTATATAAAAAAAATAATAATTTTCATGTCTCTTGCAACAAATTATATACATGTAATAATCTTAATCTTAATCCTCTTGCAACAAATTTTCGACGCGCATCTTAAATTTTCCGTACTTTTTTTAGCTAGATAAGTTTAATAAAATGGTGAGTGATGGCAATAGCCGTCCAAATCTCGATGAGAAGGTCATTACACCTACAGCAACGCTGTTTTATGGGTTTTTTGAGAAATTCACCTAGAGAAAAATGCATTAATTTTTTATAAAAATGTTGTGTTGCAGTAGGCATGAAGATTTTTTCAAAAAATTTTTGTTGCAGTAGACATGAAGATTGAGGGGGGGTGTCATCGTTACTAACCAAAAATGCTTTTTAGTGTAGTATTCTTCATAAAAAGAAATAAATTTCTTTCTTCCTTGAGTCTATGCTTAAATTTCGGCTCATCCATTATTTTATAATTATTATGATTGTCTCCTTTGTACGAAGGCTCAGGCCTCTGATGAGAGGCTACGGCTGGGAAGACCCCAAGGACAAATGGTCCAAGAACTGGTGGCAATATGCAGACTCTGACTATACTGGCGATAAAACTCCTGAAGAAAGAGGCTATCAACTAGACCATTGGGAGAAAAGACTCAACGACGAGTGGAAAACAAAGCCAAGAGTTACCCAAACCAAAAGACTAGCTGAAGGTGGCACAGACTCAAGGCAAATTCTTGATATGGAACTTAAAGAAAACCCACTAGGAGATTACGATACCAATGAACATTTTATTCCAAAAGGCCAAATCAAGACCCGAATTATTCATATTTTGAGGCATTTTGAAAAGGTTGACTTAAGAAACTTAAATTGGGATGCCAATATCTTAGATGGGCTGAAGCTAGATGAATTTGAAAGAGTTGCCTTGCTTACGTCAATTGAGCATGAATTTGAGACTGTTATTGAAGACAATGTCTTTGATAGTATGAAGACTTTGAACGACGCGGTCAAATACATTTCTACTGATCGCTACGTTTTATAAGCTAATTTAGTTAATATTTGTTAAAAATTTAGATTGCTTATGAATTTTAAGCATTTTTATTGATTTTCTATAGAAAATAAAGGTATTTTTTTTAAAATTTATATAGAAAATGGTAGGTATTGGAATATAATAGTATGGACAAAAAAGAGTAAATTTTATTTAGGTCTGACCTAGCACTTTGCCACTTCTGTGATGAGACTGTTAACACTTATATAATCCCTGAAACGACCTATGTAACAATAATCGTTATCTGCTTGGTTATCCTGATTTTTGGAATCTGGTCTGTCTGCCTTCTACCTTTTGCAATTCCTCTATCTAAAGCAATGGTAACTAGATGTAGAAAATGCCAAGGGAAGCTAAAAGTAAGGCAGCCGTATGGGTTATCAGGGCTTAAAGATGAAGTTTTGTCATTTAAATGTGGGCAATGCGCAATTGTTTTTTCAAGAAGCTATTTGGTATCAATACTTACAGTGATTATTTTTATTATTATATTAAATTACAATAAATAATCCATTTTTTTTTTATAAAAAAAAAAAATAAAAATTTTCATAAAGCAGAATATTTTGTTTTGGGGCACTGATGAACATATAAAATCCTATGAATATTCTTCAGCCAGTTGGCATGAATATGTTCACGACTGCGGCTCAGAAGTTCTACTTCAAAACAGCGTCAAAGCCCACGACACTTTTGCAAGAAAATACCTAGGGAAAACGATTAGCTGGGAAGGATATTTAGTAAAAGCTACTGAAAACCAAGGTAGCTGATTCAGAGGCGACCATGCAGTAATTTTGCTAGTAAAAATGATCCCAAGTGAGTCAGATATCCACGCTGACTTGATTTTGTCAATGGACGACCACGATTTCCAAAAAAATATTCAAGCGTTAAGTTCCCTTGATAAAGGCTCAGAATTTAGGTTTAATGCGACTTTTATTTCAGTCGGGGACGAAAACAGCCTGCACCATCTCCATGCGGATTCAATAGAAAAACTATCAGGTTTTATGGCAATTCCAGCCCATCTCCACAATGTGAACCAAAGATACACCCCAAAAACTCCCAGTGTGCAAATCGTCAATATAGAAAACGTAAAACCTGAAATAAAACACAACGATACCCATACATATAGCGACTCAGACCAAGAAAACCCTCATGCTTAATCTAATTCTATTTTACCCCATATTTTAATAATAATTAAATGGAACCTGAAAATGTGTCTGTAAACAAAAGAAAGACGACTGAAGATGAGTCGTCAGCTATACTTTTTTATATAAATTAATATTTTTTATTTTTTTTTAATAAAAAACTTAATTAATAGAAAAAATTATAAATTCCCTGAGCCTGATAAAAGGCAAAAAAACAGCGATGACGCTTATGAGCAATATTGGGCTAAGTGAAGAAAGCAGGAACATGAACAGATTGAGAGCATAAAAAATGAAGGGAAAAATAAAGACGAGGATAAAGAAAAAATCGATGAAAATTCAGAAAAAAAAGAATTAGAAGAAATACAGAAAATCTTGCAGAATGCTTTGGCAATTAAGGATCAAGGAAATGAGAAATTTAAAAATAAAGATTATAATGAAGCCATTAAAAAGTATAATGAAGCTATTGATGCTGCACCTCAGGGACTTTTTAAAAGGCATTTGAAAGATTAGGTTAAATTTTAGAAGGTTTTAGGGGTTTATTTCAGCCCCTTGATGATTCATCGCAGGCTGCAGGCTCAAGTGGACTTAGTCAACTTGTGTTACGCCACGCCCTTTTCCTGCCGAGGTCACCCAATCTTTTGGAGACTCACGTGATGTTTGTGCCTAGATCTGATTCTTGCAGCTCTGACTCCCTTCAACCCCTGTTAGGATATGGGTAAAACGTTTTGTGCCCTTTCGGACTATCAGCCTGATACAGAAACAAATTTGCTTCCCAGAAGTTTGAGTTGGGCATGCGCATTTGTATGTTGTCTGCTGCTCAAGAAAAACAATCCTGCAGTCCCAAATAGATAAAAAACTCACCCCGGACCTCCTAAAAGAATAGTATCCACTCACCTAAAGCTGAGATCAACTCACCAGTCTTCCTGGACCTATTCATCAATCACCATTTTTAAAAATTTCATTTGAAAGAAGAATACGAGAAATTCAAATTGTCGATAATAAATAATCTGACACTTACGTTTGTTAGGGCAGAATATTGGGAATATGCAAAAATGCAGAGTGAAGAAGGGTTGAAATTATTTCCAAATAATCCCAACTTTTCCTTTATAAATAAGCATTTATTTGGATGAAAATGATTTCTAGTAAAAAATAATTTTTTATATGATTTTGTATGGCCAATAAAAACAAGTTTTTTCTATAAAGAAAAATTTTTAATGAGCTTATTTTACTATAACTTAGATAAATTTTTCCTTCTACTAAGAAAAGTAAGCTAAAATATTATTTGGGAGCATCATTATGCCAGCTAGGAGAATATGATAAAGCCATAAAAGTATTGAAACAAGCTAAAAACCTAGAGCCAAACAATAAAGATGTTACTAAAAAGCTTGAAGATGCAATTAAAGCGAAAAATGATTATGATGCTGAAATGAGAAAAATGTTCGGAGGCAAGCTTGAAGTCAAGCCTGAGCAAGAAATAAAAGCGCCAGAAGTCAAGCCAAAGCAATGGAACTGGACAAAAGTTATTACGGTAGTTGCAGCTGCAGCATTAGTTGGAGGAATTGCAGTTGCTGCATATAAAAAGAGTAAAGGATAAGTTAAGTGATTTATCAGAAAAATACAGTCTCAAATTATTTTCTTACAGTTAAATATTTAATGAAATTTTATTTAAATAGACAGCCTCTATTGAATTATATTCTAATAATTCCTATTTAAGTGCTATTTTAGCTATGTTAGCAAAAATTTTGTGTTCTAATCGTTTTTAGCTATATTTCAGCTGTATGAAAATGCGAGCATATAAGCAATTTCTGCAGACTTATAGTGAATTTCCAAGGAATTCGTGTCCCAGGCATGCATCTGAATATGAAGATAGGAGACGATACCATGTATTTATGTGACAAAATAGGAAACCAATGAATGATCTGCAATATATTATATGACTCTTACACTAAATAGTGTGACCTCAATTTTATAAGTTTAATTAGGTGTTTATAGTACTGAGTGTCAGACAAAAATGAGATAGTTGACCTAAAACTAGAGACATCATGGGAAATTCTGTTTATTAAAAGGTTTACAATATGGGGAGGTATTCCAAAACAAGACTTCATCAGCCCATCTGCATATCTCACTCAAGGCGTTGCCATCGCGTGCTATTTAGCTCCTTTTCGTGCTCCGCAAATGTGAATTTCCTCAGGTGTCCTGAGTGTATAAATCCTAAGCCTTCCGAATACCCAAAGGGATCAGGCCAGAATACTGTGCACCCCTACTTACCTGGTATAGCTGGATAAGTTAAATTAATTAAGTTAAGTGTGGCCATTGCCTTTTATCGGCTCCAAAAAGTTGCCCTTTTGGATTTCTGCGTGACCATTATGGCTAGTGCCAGTTTTTAATAATCCTAATCATATATCAAAGTCTATTCTGATAAAAAAATTTTGTTCGCTCACGGCTTGTTTTTACCCAAAAATAAGGATTTTTCCAACGGTTTTGTTAGGTCAAGGAGAGTGGAAGTTAGTAAAGTTCTGTTGACTTTTATTTGAGTTCACTCAAGGATTTCTGATTGAAGTTAATTTGAGATACCATTTTTATTTATATTATTAAAAGGGGCAGAAATATGTAAAACTATTAGAGAAGTAATCTAAATTGAGAATTTAAATTAATTTTAACTTGTAGATAGTGAATGTTTACTGAAAGTATTAATCTTTTCATCTTGATTTATGTCATATTAAATAATTTAATATATTTATGATGCTATTAGAAATGTCTAAACAAAATTATTTTTATATTAAGTAAAATGCCAAACATAGTTTATTTAGAAGCTTCTTGATGTTTGGTTTTTTCATTATCCATCATCTCAGGTGAACGCTCATTTGAAGACTCTACATCTTTTTTCTGATTAATTTCGTCAGCCTTTACTGATTTTCCAAGCTCAAATCTAAATAAAATACCTAATTCAGCAGGATCCTCAGTAACTAACAAAGACGGGTAGCATCTTGCTTGTATTAATATCCCAATTATTACCAAAATACCCCACCCTACATACTGTAGACTCATTCATAAATATACAGAATGATAATTAGACAAAGAATAAATAGAGGATAACAAAATGCTCCAAATATCAGAAAAATAAAGAATAATCAGCCATAGGTTAATTCTCTCATAATTGTACGGCTTGTGCCTGTAACAAAAATAAATTAATGCTAAAATCATTGCTATATAAAAAAACCCAAATAATCATTCATAATAAACTTTTAAAGCCTTGTTTAGTATTACGACATTTATTTGAAAAATGCTTTTTACCATCCAAAAAGTTGGCCTTGATTTTATATTTTTTTGGATGGAATTGCCAAATAGAGGCCTGAAATAAATTACTGAAGGTAAGTATACGATTAATGAGACTATTGAAAGACTGGCTCACAATATATGAGAATTTTTCCAGCAAAATGTAGAGCAGTCCTGATGTACAAAAGTTTGGGTAACCGTTGGACCAATTGATTCATAGCACGCAAAAGAGCTTAAAAGGACTGAAATAAATGGCAAAAAGCAAATATTCCCTACAACCGGCATCACTAATTTTGATAAAGGTCTAATGAATTCGCAGAAAAATTTACCTATATTTCCTCAACATTTAAAAGTACTTTCTATATTCAAAAAAATTCACAAAGCTACTACTATCACAACTGATAATACATAAAACCATATCCCTACTAATAGCAAATATAAACGCTCCTAGCTGTTCTTATCATTTTCTTAATGTAAATATAAATCGCTAACAAGTAGGTTTTTCATTATAAATAGGTATAGCTTTTTGCCTTTCGTAATCCAATCAATATTTAGAGTAGCCAAATCTGAAAAATTGTATCCAAATTTATCATAGCCACTCATATCAGGACCCATAGAAAGGATTTGCAAAAAATCAATAAAAATGATCCCCATTTCTATATAGTCTTCAAAATTAATTGTTGAGACTTTTATTAACTTCGGTATTTCAGTATTACATCATTTACTTCATATATAAAATACCATAATTAGAGTTATAACATCAATAAATAAGCACAATGCATAAAAAAATGCTGCACCTTTTCTAGAATATTGTACTTGGTTTTTATTAAATGGACAGTCGCTGTTCTCTTCTATAGTATCTTTTGGGATTTTTGTTTTATTATTATATCAAAAGTGCAGATTTAGTAATTTTTGGTAAAAAATATATTAAAAACTAATAAAATTTTTTTAATTAAATTATATCATACTAGATTTTCAGTAAAAGTGAATAATTGTTCACTGCCTAAGTTATAAACCCCACAAAGCGACTCATATATTATATTGGTGCTTGCATTTCACCTCATATTATAGATACCTAAAATAGCTGAATTTCTATTATTGCTTCACGATTCGATTGAAACTGAGCCTGAACAGCCCAAAAATTTTTGCTGCCTTAAATTCAAGTTCAATGCTGTAGCATTTTCCACGTTTTCTCCTTTATTTAATGTATATTTTATCCCATGCAAAAGCAGGATTGCCCCGTCAAATGATAAACATTTAAAATCAGGGGTCCTAAATGGGTAATAGTATTTTAAAAATCCTTGCCATATTTCTTGGCCATAATCACCAAGCCATTCAGCTTCATTTATTACAATAGAGCCATATAATAATTCAAGCAATATTTGCTTCCGAGCAACGTCTGATACAAGAACTTGTGCATATGCAATGCGATTAGGAATTAAAAATATATACTAATTTAAAATAAACAGCCCACTAAGGAGTATTTTTTGTTAGAGATTAGCTGGAAGTCATATTTTTTCTAGCAATATTTAAATTTTGACTAGTAAAAAATGCATCTTAGTAGGCTGTTCTTCATAAAAACATATACAATTTTTAGGCCTGAGCCCTGCTGTATAAAAATCTATTATCATTTCATATTCTGCAGGTGGGTCACAAAAAACAAAATTGGCCTTACTTTCAAATCCACAATTCTCTGCATCCAATCTTTAATTCTATCATAATAGCTTGTATTATAATTCTGCATCACCCACCTATCTTCCGGTGTATTTACAATACTAATTTTATAAGACTCAGCTCATTTTACAATATAATCATAAACTTGATAATTATCATCAGAATTTTCGCATATTAAAATAATTTTTTTCCACTCAAAAATATTTATTAAATTTGTAAGCACACTTGTGTGGTACAAATCATAGCCAGCCACTCTCATAAATAAAGGATAATCTGTTTTATTTCCTAATGCTGATGGGGTGGAATATTCAGAAATTATCGGCATAGAAATATTTAACGATTTTAGAGTCGACAAGTACCCAAATAAAGGAACAGGAAATGGGTCAGTCAGATAGGCGATCCCTGGGCTATTTTTTAATTTAGAAAAACAGTCATATGCAAATTCAGGAATAAAAACTTCAGCACCACAATCTGTGTGGGTTAAAAAACTGTCAGTCACTATAAGAGTATGGAATATTTTCTGGTGAAATAAGGAGAAAATGATATTGATTGGCAAGCTCTTTTAAAGTTTGGGATATTGAAATACTAAAAGTAAGGTCAAGCACAGCGTTTATTTTTTCATTTTGGAGTTGTAAAGTTGAAGAAGAGTTAACTAAAACTTCATTTAAGTCTACTTGATAAGGAAAACTTTTTGCTATCGATTCAGATATGCTAGTTTTTAAGCCTATATCTGTTGAAAAGGTATAATAGATATAAATAAGCCACTGGCAAAGGCACTGCTTCGCAATTAATAAGATAAGGAATCTTATCCACATTTAAAAAATAATCTGCAATTTATTTTATCTGCAAGCATGATTCTTATTGTTTAATAACGATGACCCCCCTCGATCTTCATGTCTATTGCAACAAAATTTTTCGAAAAAAACTTCATGCCTACTGCAATACAACATTTTTATAAAAAAAAAATGAATGCATTTTTCTCTAGGTGAGTTTCTCAAAAAAAATAAAACAGCGCTGCTGTAGGCGTGCCAATGACCTTCTCATCGAGATTTGGACGGCTATAGTCATCACTCGCTATTTTACTAAACCGGAATGGCGCCATCCTCGGGAAAAGCCAGGAAGGCATCCACACGGGAACTGGAGTTCCACGTGTGGATGCCATTTTGACATGTGGAAGTTTGGATCCCACATGTCAAAAATGGCATCCACACGTGGAACTCCCAGTTCCCGTGTGGATGCTTAGTTGACTTTCCCGAGGATGGCACCATTCCGCGCCATCCTCGGGAAAGCGCTATAACTAAAATGCACGGAAAAATTTAAGATGCGCATCGAAAATTTGTTGCAAGAGGATTATGATTAGGATTATTACAGACAGGCGCTAGCCATATTGGTGGCGCAGTCACCAAAGACTTCTCGTACAGAAGGTTCTACCGCTTTTCGACTCCAGCCCAGAGGGTCTATCCCTCTTACGAGTGCCCTTCTGGTACCTTCTGTCTCCTCCTTACCTTGCAGCTTCAGTCTTGAGTGGGCGGCTTATGGATTTCTGCGGCCTTGCTACTTGTGATAGGAGTAGTTTGATTCCAAGGATCAGCTCCTTGGAGTCTATCGGGTGTCAAAGTGCCTTCCTTCGACAGCTACAAGAAAAAGACTGTTCCCCTGTGGCCTGGGCCGAGATCCCAGTTTCTCGGTAGAGGAATGCCCATGATTCATCAGATCCAAAGGGACATTGTTGAGCACTTCCATTTCCAACTACAGGAAAGCAGCTAAAACCTACCCGGATACACACTTCTTGAGCCTGCGTCTGATTCTCAGCTCGGAGTCCGTCCCAGTTCGCTGTATCCATAAGGTCTGGACTGCTGCGGGCAAGAGGGCAGGTTGACACGTGTCGCCATTTTAATGTATATAATTTGTTGCAAGAGGCATGAAATTATGTTTTTTTTTATATAAAATTTTATATATTAAAAATTGCATTTTTGTTGCAATAGACATGAAGATTAAGGGGGGTCATCGCTATGTTTAAAATATTTTCCAATAAGCTTTAAAATTAGGCTTATATGATATATTTTTGATATAAGACAAATGCAACTATTTTCAACAAATTATAAAACGATTATTAAAATTGAAATATGTATGATATATCAAAATAAAGATGTCATGAAAAAATGGAATATAGGAAATATTACAGAAAATTAAAATTTATTGTTTAAGTTGTAAAGATTGCCATTAATATTACAGCAGAGTTTGTAGAAAAATATAAGGGCTCGATCAATTAATATACCAGCGATGAATTTTGTCTGCTTTCGATCTTATCTATTGAATTAAGCTTTTATTGTAATACTTCTTTAATTTTATAATTTTTATCATTTTCTATAAATTATATTTGATTGAATTAGAAATAGGAATTAGTAACTATTTTATATAAATTAGCTTTTCATAGAAAAGAAGATGCTGTAGGGCTTGAACACTTTTGAGCAGAGTTTTTAAGAAAAATTATGATAGCCTAATACAAATTTTTGAAAATGCATAGTAATAAATAATAAAATAGCCAAGAAAAAATATTTCATAATTAAAAAAAGTTGATTGCAATAAGTGGTTTTGAGATTCCCTGATAGTAAAAATCTTTAAAAAATTGTAAGCAATAAAATATAAACACTGCTAATTAATTGACTTATTTTCCTATTTTTAAAAGATTTAAATCTCCTTGAAATATCAAGCTATTTTTAATTATCCTATTGAGACTATTCTTAAACTGTTTATTTTAATATTGCGATTTTAGAAGATAGCATTTAATTAAGCTAACTAAATCAGATTACAATTAATATAAAATAAATTTAAGTTTATTTTAGTTTAAATCTCTTTTAGCACATAATTATATAAAGGATCTTTATTCTAATGCATAATTTTATTATGAAATTCCATCTTTTATATATGAAATTTGAGCATAATTTAGCAAATAACTAAGATTTAAAAATAAAATTTTTTCATTATCTTAATTAAGATTCCAAAATTGCAATCTTATTATATTTACATTTATTATTCCATCTTTTCACAATAAAGATAAATTATTTAACTAAAATGGACACGAACTCTTATCGTATGGTAAAAATAAGGTAGATCGCTGACCTTTGCATGCTTGCATCGACTTTTTTCAAAGATGCCTCAAAAATAATTAATAAGCATTGTGATGAAGATAATGATCAAACTACTACTCCTAAGAAAAAATCTAACTCCCCCCCATCCTTGATCGAACGATTGACTGTAAAAATTCCTAAAAATTGGGGAAATTAACCCCCATCCTTGATCGAACGATTTTCATATCATGACAATTTTTATATATATAAAATATATTAGTTATCAAAAGCTTGGGAAGATGTACATAATGAAGTTGTTTTCAGAACTTTGAGACGACAGAAAGCTGCGGAATCAACCATCTGAAGTGATTTAATCATCAACCTAGGCTTAAAAAACTCAATAATCTAATAAAATAGAGATTCTTTAAAATTTTTAAAAAAAAATTAATTTAATAAGGAACAAATTAAAATTTATACAGTTTAAATGTAACTAATAAATCAAAATATTAAAATTGGTATTTTTATGAAATAAATTCAATTTTTTGCTGTAAAAATAATTATTAAATACTCTTAACCCTCTTATTTAAAAGTAAATAAAAAAAATATATATATATATATTTTTTATTTTATATATAAAATTTTTTTTCCCCAAAAAATTTTTTTTTTAACCCCCATCCTTGATCGAACGATGGCGAGTCGTTCGATCAAGGATGGGGGGGGGGAGTAAGAAAGAAAAGGTCCATGCGAAATCTGGCTATCAAATGTTTATTCAAAAAAGGATGAATGATTTAAAGCAAAACCCTGAAAACACAGGAAGCACAATGGGGCAACTTTCTGCAATCATTTCTAAAGAATGGCAAGCAATGGATTCATCTGAAAAAGAAGTTTGGAAAGAAAAAGCTGAGGAATTAAAGCAGCAAGTAGAATCCTCAGAGGCTCCAAAAATACCTGTTGAGACGCCTAAAAAGGTAGAAGAAAATAAGGAGCCTGTGATCAAACCTAGAGAAGAAGCAAAAACGCCAGTAAAAAAGGCAAATGAAGAAGAAAGCAAAGAAAAAACAACAAAAAAAGCTAATGATGAAGAAAATAAAGAAAAATCGACAAAAGAAGAAACTAAAGAAAAAGTTGTGAGATCAAAAGAAGGGAAAAAGAAAGCAGAAAAAAATCAAAAGAACGCAAATGATACAGAAAAACCCAAAAAACGATCCAAGAAAGCGGAGACTGCTGCAGCTAAGGTGAAAAAAGAAGAACCTGAAAGTTTAAGCGAGACCGAAAGTGAAGAAGAAAAGCCAAAGAAAAAGGCTAAAAAGTCTGAATAAGTCATTTAACTCCGTGAAGTTTATTTTAATTAAGTTTTTTGAAGAATTTTTGTCATTATTAAAATACGCTTATTTATGAAAATCATCTTGCATTAAAGAATAGTTAATTAATCGATAATTAAATATACTATAAAGCTAATTAAGTAATTATATCTTAAAACCTAAATGCAATCTTTCTATTATTACCTAAATAAAAATTATATTTAAATCTTTAATTAAGGTTTAAGCTCATCAATTAAATTAGCAATTTGACCTTACTCCCCCCCTCCGTGAGTGAACAAAGCCATTAGAAAAATCGCTATTTTTTTGCCCAAAAACCCACCCTCCGTGAGTGAACAAAAATTTTTTGAATAGAAAAATTTTTTTAAGGAAAAAAATTTTGATATATAAAATGATTATTAGTATAATGAAATCTAAAGATAATTCTGTTTAATTTTAAACGAATTGCTTTTTAAGACATAAATTTTAAATTAATATTTGCTTTCCAATTTTTACGAATTAGGATTTTTTTAAATTTCGAAAAAAAAAATCTATAAATTTCTATATAAATTTTTATATACATAAAATGGCGGATGACGTCCGACTCGTCCTCTCGAGACGATTACCAGTGTATATCCGGGCATGGTTTTTTTGAGCCAGGGATTGGCCCAGCTATGTCTTGAGACCTCAAGGCGAGAGGTCTAAGCGCAAAGACCACTGCTTTTGTGACCAAGACACTTGGGTAGTTATTCGTGACTCCTTTTTGCCAGCAGCGCCCAGCCCAGTGGGTGCCCGAAATGAGCAGGGCGACTTACCTGCCTAAGCTGCTTCTGTGATTTGCCCGAATGGCGAAAGCTGTTGAGTTCTTTCTCGGGATGACCGTAAGAGAGGGGAAGGCAAATTAGACGAGAAATCGCAGATCTGGCGACGTACGGACAGAGTTGGCGCAAGATTCAGGGCGACGAGTCAAGTTGGAAATGGAGGCGGTCAGCGAAGACAGTATGAGCTGTCCCTTGACCATCACCTCTACCGAGAAACCGGGGGTTTCGGCCCGGGCTTGAAGCGGCCACGCCTTAGCCACCCTACGGGGTTAATCTCCGTAGATAGTCACGGCGGCGAAGTAGGGACTTAAAAAGCATAGCATCTTAACATAACATATATAAATTTTTTTAAAAACAAAAATTAACCCCCTCCATGAGTGAACAAAATTTTTGTGTTCACTCACGGAGGGGGGGAGTTAGAAATATTTATTATCCCAATTTAGCTAATTTTTTAAAAAGAAAGAAAAATATACAAAATAGAAGCCTGCTTTTTGCTTTTAAAGGCTTTTCAATGAATTTCAGTCTATTTTGACAGATTCTAATTTTTAATGTGATCTAAGGCCTTTCTTTTAAAAGTCCTTCTTCTTCCGCCATCTTTAATATTTTACCATTTTGACTTACTCCCCCCATCCTTGATCAAACGGTTGACTGTAAAAATTTTTAAAAGCTGGGGAAATTAACCCCCATCATTGATCGAACGATTTTCATATCATGCAAATTTTTATATATATAAAAATATATTAGTTATCAAAAGCTTGGGAAGATGTACCTAAAGAAGTTGTTTTCAGAGACTTTGAGACGACAGAAAGCTAGGCAATCAACATCTGAAGTGCTTTAGTTATCAACCTAGGCTTAAAAACTCAATTATCTAAAAAATAGAGATTCTTTAAAATTTAAAATTTTTAATTCAATAAGGAACAAATTAAAATTTATACAGTTTAAAGGGGTAACCGAAAAATCAAAATATTTTAAAATTGGTATTTTTTTATGAAATTAATTCAATTTTTTGCTGTAAAAATAATTATTAAATACTCTTAACCCTCTTATTTAAAAGTAAATAAAATATATATATATATATAAAATTGTTTTCCCCCAAAAATATTTTTTTAATCTCTCCCATCCTTGATCGAACGATGGCGAGCAGTTCGATCAAGGGAGTTAGTCATTTTTCCAAAATGGCTCCATAGCAAAAAAGTAAAGAAAAAAATTTTTTGTATATATAAGAGGGGTTGAAAAGAAAAATGGAAACAGAGTAAGAGTGCAAGTACCCATGTGAGGAACGACTGCGAAAATTTCCATATTCTTCTGCAGAAAGACCTTATTACAAGGTTATTACTGCGACTGACCCCTAGATTCCACAAATGAGTTTTGACCTGCAGCTGTTTCGCGATCAGGGATACAGCTGTTTGCCTGAGGGTTATTGTGCCAATTGCCTGGGTATCACTTTTGAAAGAAAGTGCAGTAACTTAGGGCTGCTCTGTAGTTGACCTAGCTATACTCGTATGGCCAGTCTCAATTAGATAGAGTGAGTGAGGTGAATGTGTCAGAATTGACGTTTTCATTGATAGTAATCTGGTTGATCCTGCCAGTAGTCATATGCTTGTCTCAAAGATTAAGCCATGCATGTCTAAGTATAAGCAATTATACGGCGAGACTGCGAATGGCTCATTAAAACAGTTATAGTTTATTTGCTAGACGTTTATATGGATAACCGTAGTAATTCTAGAGCTAATACATGCTGGTTACGCTGTGCGTAGTATTTATTAGATAAAACCCAACGGGGGCGACCCTGTGGAGGAATCATAATAACT